TGACAAAGTAACAATTTATAGCTAATAATGTTTTACAGCCATTTATACATAAATTTGACCTGCATCTCATATTTTTTTGTTTAAAATTTCTTGAGTCAAAAGCTGAGTTGTTCATCTCAATATTCTCAGTATTTCTCACTCAGATGAGTATACTGTGTTAGTTTAAAACATTACATTGACTTCACCGACTGCTGACATTGTCAGTTGTTTCAGAATGGAACTGAAATTGAGAGTGAAACGCTGAACGTTCTGAACCACTGAGTTTTTGCTGCACGTCAGCCAGAACACTGCAGCATCTGTATGTCACCAGCTCAGATTCACAAGAGATCTGTGAAGCTTATTATCATCATAAGACAAAATAAACTTGGACAAAGTCAATATGGAAAGGTGAGGTATCATGTAAAATGTACTTTTGTGAGCTTTGCATCATGTTACTCCCTCATCAGAAACATACAATCTAAAAAATGTATTTGGGTTGTAGTTCATATTATGGACTTATTTATTAGTCTCACTTAATTCTTTTGTTTTACTGTTGACAACTTACTTGTTTGTGTTGAATTAACTTAGAAGTGACATATTTTTAAGTTAGTGGAACTTTGAAACCATTAGCTTTCAGTGGGTGTTTGTATCCTACATCTGACGTCATGACACAAGCTTCACCAAGGACAGATCCTGTACCGACCAGGTGCTGTGGTAGAGAAGGGCTAGAGCACAACCCACAGCAAATTTTAGTCCTAGATGCGGATGTCACATGTTCGATTCCGGCCTGATGATCTTTGCCGCATGTCTTCCCCCTATTTCCTGTCCAACTAACTGCTCTCAAATGAAAGCCATCTGAACCAAAAAAAGATCCTTTATTAGTTCATTTCTTCATTTGAAGTAAACTAAATGATTTGAGTAAGACTGACTTAAACTTAATTGAGTTACTTGTTACCAGTTGCAGCAGTTCAATTAAGTTGGTTTAACTATTTTCTTTTTTCATTTTCTTTAATTTCTTGTACTATTTATTTATTTTATTTGAGAAATTCTTTAATCTCCCATGGCAATCATTAAAGATTGGCATATTTCACACAGCCCCTCCTTGGAGCTGCCGCCTTCTGCCTCACAGAGCAGGGAAACTATTTAATCCTGCTTATGTTCCATCTACATTTAAAAACATTAGTTGGTTCTTTATCAATTTTATCCTATGTTAAGAAGAAATTCCTAATTGGACGATTCTTATGTGTTTGTGTTTGGAAAAATTTGTATGCCGAGATTATAAAATGTCTCAGAAATGACTAAGCATGACAATATCCATACAGCACTCGGAGCAGTTTTATACCACCGTAGTTTATTTGGGATTATCTTAAATTATTAATGAGACCGACAAATCAGTGTTTCTGCTTGTTGTCATGTTGTCACCAGGTTTTACTGTAATCAGGCATATTTCATCTCTGCTGTGTCGTGTTGACAGCAGAAGCATGCAAGCAATTAGGAAAGATTACACTTTTGAGGAGTTTGGCTCCCTCCCTCAGGCTCTCCACATCTCTGGTTTTGGTCTGTTGTTATGCAACAGAATCTCCTATTTCCCCTCTGGACCTTCTGTGACTCATTCCCAGTGGCAGACACTCAAAATGTGTGTTACATAAAATGATTTGACATGCAGGGATTATCAGCCCATCGCCTTGGGCCAGTGGCCTGACCTCTCCGACTCAGCTGAGATCATAGGCACATTTGTGGGAAAGGCCTTTCCTTGTCCACTCAGCTTACCATTAAATGAAGGATTGGGTGGGACATGAGACTAAGCAGGGCAAACCACGTGCTCTAACTCACTGAAGACTGAGGTATTGCTTGTTCAAAAAAATAATCGTTGATTATTTTCTGCTCCTTGACCTTTTCTTTTTGGAGTAAATAGAAAGCAAGATGGGTTTTAGATTTCAAAAGATCATTCAATTCAAGTATTTCAAATAAGAAACATTGAATGATAAAATGTAACTTCTTTAAAAAGCTACAAAAACACTCAAATGAACACATTTTCGCTTCAACAGCAGTTCAACTATTCTTCATGTGAAATGATAAAGAATAGAAGATACTTCATATCACCTTCTCCCAACATTTCCTGTTCTTCTCATTTTATTAGAATTGCATTGAAAAATGGTCCTTACACTTTCGGTCTTTGATTAATATTTATGTGTGAGACTTGCGCTGGCATTGGGCGCTGCAGTCAGAGGAGATACAGACCAGTCATCTGTTCATCATTGGAAATATGAACTCTCTTCCCAACAACCGAACCAGCTGGTGGTCCTGAACCTGCACCACCACCTTGGCTAAGCTACTGGTTGGTTACTGACAAACTTGAGTTGAGTGGAGGCTCACTTGTATTTTAAGGTCCCAACTGGAGCAATCTGCTTTGTTGTTTGTCATGATGTTAAAGTCAAAAGAAATCAGCCAAAATATCAGGAAGAGAATTGTGGAGCTGCAGAAGCCTGGTTCATCCTCGGAAAACAATTTCCAGATGCTAGAACGTTCCGCGATCATCTATTAAGCACTTACATGCAAGCATCATCCCACTCAGCAAGACGGGTTCTGTGAACAAGTTTTGATCTGAAATGTGCAAATCGATCCCAGAACAAAAACCAAAGATCTTATGAAGATGATGCAGAAGCTGCAAAGACGGAGTCTTTATCCACATTTTAGTTTTGTTGTTGTTTGTAATTGAAATCATCAGTAATCCTGAAGCTCTTCAGGTTCTGAATATAGAGAACACTGAGGAGGGTGGAGCAGTGCAGACTCCTCATCCTGCAGTACAGGACAAGTGTGGTGAAAACAGAGTGGCTGGCCTTCGGCAAAATCAGATGAGCACATTCTGTAAAAATGTTGTGCTACGAGGCGATCTCTGCTCCACTGCTTTACTTCTCCCCTACAGCTTCCAGCTCCTCTCTCTTCATCTTACCATCATCACTCTTTTATTGCCCTCCCATCCACTTTTCTAGCTCTCCCTTATTGTCATCTGTAGCTTCAGTTTTACAGATTTTAGAATTAATTTGCTCATCCCAACAGTCTTTTTGACGATTGGATCCCAAATAAAATCTGACTGCCTCCAAATTTGACTTTACCTTTTTCTAATTCCATGCTTACTTTTTCTCTCATCCTGTGTTCTCCCACTCTGGCCTGCTTACTCATGATGTTTGCCATTTCTGCCTATATATTGACCTCTTGGCAGGCTGACTTCCCTCTGAACTTGATGTATACACTATGAATTTATCACAAGCTTGAAAAATGACATTGGCACGTGTTGTTTCTCATGTCCTTGTTCTAAGAACCATGTGATTTATTTCTCTAGGCACTTTTCTCAAGAGCTCTTTCACTTCGCTGCTTAGACGTGAGGAGATGTTGCCTTACAGCCAGCAGTACACTAGGAGCTGACTTTGTGTCCTTCACCGAGGCAGGAAGTAACCCCATCCTTTCGGATAGCTATAATCCTCAACGTCCTCAGCAGGACTTGTGTAACCTTCCTAGGATGCTGATGTTGTGTTTGCTGTAGCTAGACTGAAACAGCAGATGTGTGTGTTTCAGGCCAAGTGCTGATCATTAGCTGATACCTTGAACTCAGAGCTGGGATGCTATGGAAATTCAATTAGCAAATCTTTATGTTTATCTACTGAAATTAAAGCTTTGTTTGTCGTTACTTTTATGAGGGCTTTAGCTTTTGAGTGTGCACTTTGTCTTAATGATAGTGCAGTAAAACTATATTTACAATGATTTCATGCATACCAAAAGGAAATATTACTCAGTTCAGTCTTTGCATATATAAACAGCAAAGTTTAACAGACCTCAAGTGTCTCTTGATGAAAAGTCACAGTATAGACATAGTCCTACTTACTATTAAAGAAAATAAAAATATGTTGTATTATAAGAAAAATACTGAATACCTTATATTTTTCATTCTAGGATGCCTTTAATTTTTCTGTGTAAAATGTTGAAATGTCTCCATGTGTAACCACTTGGTCCAGATTCATATTCTATGAGTGATATGACAGTCCCTTCATGTCCCAGACGTTTCCCACATTTTCTCATTATAAATGCTGTGTCGTTGTTGCGACACAGCACCCTTTCGGATGCTACCCTTCCTTCACTCTACTCTCTCAGTCACTACTTCCTCTTCTGAGAGGGCAGATGTGCTACCAGCTCTCTGCCTAATGGGTGAATTGAGTTTCCTAAATCTGCTGGGATTTACCCTATCCAGAACTGAAGTAAACTCTGTTTAAACTGGTTTCAAGAAAGGATTCGCCTGATTTCTAACAGCCTATATCCAGATGTCTCACCCTTCTTCCCCCTGTGAATTAGCCAGACTGAGCAGCCTGCAGCCAACTGGTTCCACAGGGCACATCTGTTAACGGTCGCTCCATCTCTTTATTACAACCTGCACTTGTTACTGAACCAGGTTGGTTTTAGTGACTCTGGCGAGTCCCAAGGATGTTGTTTTAAATTTGGGCTAAAGCAATCTATAAAACATTACCTACTTTTCTTCCCCAGAATCAAACATCACAGCTATTTTACTACCATCAAAGAACTTAATTGAACGTCCACAACATCTTTTAGATTGTCTTTATGCTAAATATTTTATTAGTCAAGCAATTTTGCAAGGGTCAGTACAGCTTAATTCAGTAGCAGAAATAATCAGATAAGTAAAATCAATCATCTAGCCTATCTTTCCCTAACGCTGACACTGAAAACTAAAAAGGGAACCTTTTGAGAGAGAGACGGACGAACCCCAGAACTGGCTCGATGATGAAGAAGGTGTTGCAGCAGGAGGTTGATTGATGAAGGCAGGGATCTCTGTTGGTCTGATGAGCTGTCATGTCTGTAACGATGGTGAGGTCACACAGGACTTGGGTCTTTATCTTTGCCTTGATCTTCATCTCTGTCGCTCCATCTCTTTATTACAACCTGCTCTTGTTACTGAACCAGGTTGGTTTTAGTGACTCCTTTGGGGACTGCATCTTTGTCTTGATCTTCATCTTTGTCTTGATCTTCATCTTTGTCTTTGGGGTCTGAACCCAGCTGATGAGAGAAGTGTGATTTGAAGCCACATGTTGTGGGGCTGATGGGTTGGTCCCCATGTGCAGGACAGTCTTCGGCTCTGTGGCCCCGGCTCTTCTTCAGCTGCAGAGTTCTTTGTCCATCTCGGTCTTGGCTCGAAGCTGCCCAGATGATCCAACCAAAGATTCCTCTTTTATAAACCTTATATAGGGTTTATAAACCCTATATAAGGGACTTCCTCCGCCCAGAGGAAGTCCCATCAAACAAAACAAAACAACAACAAAAAAAACTACGCAATTATTTCTAACTCAAAACCTTGAAATATACAAAATAATAAGGAAATATAAATAAATTTATAATCAAAATACACTCAAACAAAAAACAACCAGCACATTGTGATGTCTACATCACATTACATAATTTGCTCCTGGTGCGCTCCAAATCGGAAACAACTTCACTCAAAAGAAAAACGGAAAAGCATCTACCTGAAAATAACCGATTAGAATGAACGTCAAACAAGAACACCGCGTGTGCACCCACGATGAACCACCTCAGTCCAAACTAAAAGGAAAAGAAACAGGTAAGTTGATAACTGTGCATGTTTATATATATTTGCTAACACGGACTCTTTACTTGACTCTCAGATTGTGACGGCTCGTCCGTCACAAACATTTAAGTTGTTCAACAATCTATCTCCAAAAAAGGCATTGATCATCTCTACTCTCCCATTAGTTCCCATTTTACCCCTGACCTTTCACCTTTCACCTACTATCTACCTCCAACACATCATCAGTGATCTTTAATAGCAGTTACATGTTTTACAAGTTCAATGTTAAAATCACATTCATAACCCTTTTAGTTTCTTCAATTTAGCATTCATTTATAATTTTATGATAACCACAACTTATTACTCTTATTATGATCATAATGTGAGGTATAACAGATGTTCTGAAAAGAAACCAAGAATAATCTGTTATTGTAATTATTTGAGACCAAAGTTACTTGTTTTACTCGTGTTCCCACAAATGTAAATGTAAATATTCTTGCAAGTAAATCAATATTGATTTAAGTGCTTTACTTTAAATCTTATCTAATTACTCAAAATGTTTAGATTTCATCCTTTAAAACGTTCATGCTTTGAAACAAGGAAACTTACTTCCTCTCTAGGAAGTAAGTTTGTAGCTTGCTGGAAAAAGTTCCAGGAAACCTGCTCTTCCTGTCTCATCTTTCTCTGACTATGATTTCTTATGATTAGATAGAGAAAAGAAGTAGAATCAAAGCTAGGTTTGCAGGAGACAAAAACAACACACACAACCAGATTTATTTTATTGAAGTCTGAGTCTACTGTTGGGTCTAGATGTCACTTGTGTGACTAATTTTAAAGGTAACTTTATTTATTGTTACTGTTAACTAAAATCTCCAGCATGGGGAAGTGGGATGATCTCGGATTTTCTTGACAGCTGATAAGAGCTTAAAGCTAGTCATTTGTGCAGAAGGTAATTTTTCATTGGGATATACTTGGATGTTGGCTTTTCTGATTGTCAGCTCAAATGACTACAAGAATTTGAAGAAGTGCTGGTTTCCTTCCGGAAGCACAGGAGATCAGTAGTAGCTGAGAGGAATGGGAGCTGATAACATCTGCTTGGTCACTAACTCTTCCTTTCACTGTCTCTGTCGTAGCGGTGAAGAGGCTAATGAAGGAAGCTGCAGAACTGAGGGATCCGACGGAGCACTACCACGCCCAGCCACTGGACGTACGTTGAAAACAATCTCACCCAGATGGTCAGCAGACCACGTCTTTTAAAACTCTAGAGGTTGATGGGGTGGAGTTTTACTGAGCTCAGTGTACCTGTTGAAGCAAGCCAGGGTTTGGCATTATATTAGTGGGAGCCATGGAATAATGAAATGGTAAACAGTTGAGTGTAAATTGGTGTAAGTTCAAGACAAGAACTGTAAAGTAATAATGTAAAAGTAGGAGAAGAAATCAAAAGTCAGTATTTGTTGTACAAGACATAGTGAACCTTTTAAAACTGGTGAGTCAACAATTGTAAGTAAACTAATTAATCATAGTTAGATATTAAAACTAGCATCCGTCTAATTAAGTGATGATTTTCTTAACAGTCTCAAGTCTATCACAATTTTACAATTCTGAAGGCAAAATTTTCTTTTATATGGCATATTATGTTTGACTATTTCAATAAAGACAGAAGACCTGATCAAAGAAACAGGAAGTGAAACTACTAAAAGGGAAGTCCTAATGGAATTTAGAACAAATATTGACCATATTATCATCTGATCAAAGATTCAGCCAGATTCTCACCACTTCAACAACATCAGGCTTTTACCTCAGGACGTTTTTTTTCTCATTGTACCTGTACAATGAGAAAATCAATACAACAGACCTCTGTTACGTTGCTGTCAGCTGTCACCTCCAATCAGTGTATGTTCCTGTATGTGTTCACACATTCTAATCTCAACTAATTGTGACATTTCTTTGTGGTTCCAGGACAATCTCTTTGAATGGCACTTTTCTGTACGCGGGCCCCCAGATTCTGATTTTGATGGTGGGGTGTACCATGGCAGGATTGTTCTTCCCCCAGAATACCCCATGAAGCCTCCCAGCATCATCCTGCTGACAGTAAGCTGAAGGAAAAGCCCATATTTTCGTCCCTTCTCCTGAAGCAGAACAGGAACATATCAACTTAGACTCTAGTCTTTGCCTTAGTGGCGTTTTATTGAACCAGGGGCCGTGGAAGGTGTCCTGATTGTTTATTCACTGCAGGGCCTGCACTGTTTTTGAGAGAATGAGATTGATTTACATTAACACACCTGCTATAATAACCATGTAAATAAGATTATTCCAAAGGATTTTGAAGACCCATTTCTTATGCAGTTTTTCTGTCTGTCATATTTTATGTATTTTATTTTTAATGTATGTTAGAAAATATTTCAATTAGTATATTTTGTTGTCAGATTTTCTAACCTCAGTCTGTGTGTAAAAACTTTGGATTATTTGTTGCCTGTGTCATATCAACTGTTGTTTTTTCTCTCTCACAGCCAACTGGGAGATTTGAAGTAGGGAAGAAGATTTGTCTGAGCATCTCAGGGCATCACCCAGAGACTTGGCAGCCTTCTTGGAGCAGTAAGTAGTAACCAATTACTACTGTTTCAATCTACTGTTTTTCCCTTTCCATACCGATACAGATACCTAAGGTTTCAATATCAGGAGTGATACACATGTTATCAAATCGGTGGATCTCTAGATTGTTTCCCATATTCTCAGTCAAACATTTTTCTTTTTCTTCTTTCTTGTGCCCCAACAACCTCCGGCTTGAATTTGACATGATGCTTTAAATCCAATTGTTCACAGATATTTTCAGCAAAAGTAATATTTTAAAAAACTACTAATAATCGCCAGGAAGACCATCACCTTAAAGATTGAGATATGTCCTTGACATTTGGCATGAATCATCTTTACAACATACTTCAATTAAAATCCAAACAATAAATACAAATAATTAGTAAAGAAAAAAGGCTGAACAGCCTGGTGAAGGCTGGTTATGTTCTGGAGAATACTCTAGAACATCTGAAGATCATGGTACAAAGAAGGACTTTTCATAAAATCAAGAAAATGTGAATCTGTAAAATATGTATCACTACAGGTCCATTCTGGATGTTCACATAGACAAAGTTTCAGATCTGCTGTAGGAGAAGGTTGTTAAACATGTGTAAACAGTGATGCAACATAAACTTACTTATTTTATTACATTATTAAATTGGCTTCACCTATTTAAATTTATCATATTTTTATTTGTTCTGTTTTTGTTTTGCAGTCCGAACTGCACTTATAGCTATAATTGGATTCATGCCAACTAAAGGTGAAGGTGCAATAGGATCTCTGGATTACACCCCAGAAGAGAGAAAGGCCCTCGCTAAAAAGTAAGATCTTTTTTAGAATCGTTTCACTCATTTGCTATGTTGTATTGCAGCTTGTGTTTGCTGTGCTGTGGGTTGGGAGTGATAGTTGAGCATTAAAGATCTTTCTACTGCCATTTTTCTCACCACAACACAAACATTAGATAAGGCACCGGTGTGCTTTCAGTGTGGATTCAGGTTTTGACTTGGAGATGCTCCACAAACCCAGATGTTCATGCTGTGAACATCAAGGAACTGTTGCCAGTTATCCTCAGAGAAAATCATCAAATGACAATGAGGGCCTGAGTTGGGGCCCTCATTTCTAGCTCCAGCGTCCCAGGAGCTAGAAAGCTGTTCTGATCTCTGAGCTGCCCTGGATGACAGCAACATGAAGATTCACTTTATTCAGGTTTTTTTTCCAGGAAGTAAGCCCATTGAGATTATGAATCTATTTTTCAGGGGTGTCCTGGTCAAAATTAAAGCAGAGAACTATAAAAGACTCTAATAAGCCACAAGCTCTTTTGTAAGAGGAATTTGCAGCAGAACCTGGCTGTGTGGGAACAGCCATCTGCGTTACTGACAGGAACAGTGATAAAGGACTACTTTCAAAAGTCAAGAGTTAACGGCACCACTAGCTCCTTTCGTTTCTTTATTTAGGAGAGAAGTTTAAAATAACAAGATTTTATAAACTGTTTTTATGTAAAAAAAAAAGTGCTTATTTTATATGTCTTACTATAATAAAAGAGCCTTGTTTATGTACCATCAGCTGTTTTCACAACTTATATCTTTGCTGTAAAGAGTGTGCTTGACAAACAAACATGGTGTGGTCAGGTCACTTGCTTTTGCAAGTCCACAGAATCATTATCACCAATACATCTGGTGTCATAATGGTACATGAACTGGCTTCATTCTGCACTACATTTGAGGTAGACAGGCAGCAAGTTGCTCTTCTATCAACAGATGACATAAGGGTTGGGAACAGACTATGCGTTTATTGGCACTTTAAAACAAAGTTTCAGAAAGACAACAGAAGAGAAGCTTCCTAGTTTTTTAGTTTCTGAAAGGGAAAACAAGAATATTTGAGTTTTCAACATAAAAAACAAATATGTTTTGGCTCTTCACAACTGTTCCCTTCTCTTCTCTTCACAACAGAAGAGAAACTGTGCTTTGTGTTTAAATAATATGTAAAAAAATCCCGTAGGCGTCTAAAACAATGTTTTTAAGGTCCTTAGTGTTTATAAGTTAATTTATCCATACGTCATGATGCAAAAATGCCTCATCAATGGTTTGATGCTGTCACAGTTGACTTTTTCATTGTATTAAAATGTGAGCTGCAAAATGAAATATGTCCTTGAGACATGATAAACTGATCCTTGTTGGTTCCAGGTCCCAGGACTTCTGCTGTGAAGCTTGTGGTTGTTCAATGCGATCTGCCCTCCTTCCTCTGACCTCCAACAGCAACCCCAGTGCTGAGGATCGCCAGGCCAAAGAACTAGCTCAACAAATTAAATTCAAGGTACAAACTCCATTTTTGGCGGAAAGTATTCTTCCTTGTTGTGTGTGTGTGTGTGTGTGTGTGTGTGTGTGTGTGTGTGTGTGTGTGCGTGTGTGTGTGTGTGTGTGTGTGTGTGTGTATATATATATATATATACACATATATATATATATATATATATATATATATATATATCGGAAAACTGATTTAAGCTTTCAGTAAACTGCCAAATGATCAGAAATGTGTTAGATATTTTTCAGTATTATCATTTTGTTGTTACTTTAGTTTATATTCAGTCTAAAGTATTATTGTGATTTAGTATAAACTGACCTGGAGGTTACGACTGTCTTCATGCGAGATAGTAAAACTTTATGGTTCTCAGACCCTAAAGTTTTCTCTGGTGTTTATCTACCCAGTCTTAGGTGACAGTTTGACCCAGAGCTGAACTGGGCTCAGATTGTAGATTAGATATCACACCTGGAACTGAGTTGTTGGTCTGTTTGTGTTAAATGTTTTACGACCTCTGTTGTTTGATGTTCTTTGACAATAAAGAGGGAGCTCACGTGAAAGCAGATCAGAACTCTCTTTTGACCAGCCCGGAGGAGCTGTTGATCGGGATTTCTCCTTCTGCAGAAGCCTGACCATATTTAATTCATATACGTTGTCTGTGGTTATTTTATTGTAGGTTCGAGGAAAATACCTAACAAAATGTATTAGTCAGTATTGTTCAGAGAGCTACTTCTACAAATGTATTTCTATTAACAAAATTACTTGTTGAAAATGTTGCATCACACTAAACAGAACCTGGTGCACATACATATACACATATATATACAAGCTATATATGAACCTGTGAAAAGGTGAAATCCCTGAATACTTTATACCCTCTAAAAAAATACTGAACAGTTTATTTTATCACTTCAAATGCCAAATACACATTCATTTTACCTAGCACACTAACTGGATAAATGGGCTTGCACTACTGAAGAAGCTAACACCCAGGATCCTTCACATCTCTGCTCTTTGGGCTGCTGCCAATCGGTGCCAAGGAAAGTGAAAGGAGCTCCTGGATTGGTTCCTTTGGAAACGTCAGTTATTACCATGTGAAGTAGCATTGTGCCGAGGTATTTTAATTTCACAAACTGCATTCACAAAAATATTTTTAATATGCTCTATAAAAAGCGTTTGTGAAAACAGAACCAGGAACAGGCAGGGATCCGCTGTAATAAAAAGATTACAATTGTAGAGTTTTATGATATTCCTACTCACCATTTATCTATTAGTGTTTAATTAGCTGGATGTTTCATAGCCTGTCTGGACATAGCCTGTCTGGACATAGCCTGTCTGGAAGGCATCATTACTGGAAGGTTCAGGCTGCAAGAAGTTTTCTTCTACCAAGTTTAAATTTTCTTGAAGTTTGAGTGAAATCTGTGAGCCACTAGTCAGAGTATGATGTTATGAACAAATGAAGATGTCATTCCAGCCTGGACAAAACTGATTAAAGATATGACTATTCATTTAATTCCCACGTCCTATCATTTATCATTACATTAGCACTTAAGCAGTGTTAATTATCAATACTGCCATAAATGTTGCAGTGGAAGGCTTCAGATATGGTTTTTTTCTGTTGTTCATATCCTAATAAAGACAAAGTTCTGGTTGTTGTTGGACATACTTTCAATAGGTGAATAAGGATCTAGGCCAACGAAAAGTGTAACTCTGTCATAATAAAGATCTATGTCTGAATTATTTGCTCTAACACACCATGCTGATGATTGCAGTTTCCTGTGTGTCCGTACAGGCAGAATCCAGTATTACACCACAGGCTTCTACTAGTGGAAGTAAAGCTTCAACTATCACCCAGGGAGAAACGTCCAGCTCTTCTGAGCAGCACGCTGAGGAAAGACCCCAGGCTGAACAGGTAGGTGGCGCTGTGTCATGTGGGACACACTGAGAGCCATACAGCTCTGCTCTCTCTGTCAGGTTTTATTTGGATTTCAGAAATCACTGAGGCAAACTTATTTTTAATCCTTACACACTCTTCCAGTGACACTAGAGATGTCTTTAATATCACTTTACAGGTTGAAATTAGAGCTTTTATGAAAGGACCCAAAATACTCAGAAATGTATATTTTTAACTGTTCATCAAGACTGGTTTGGGTCAATTCTGAAAACAGGGTTTGGACATCTGTTTGTCTTTCCACTATATTTGCTCAGAGGCTCTGTCTGACCTTCTCTGTCTGACCTTTGTTCCTTATGTTCCCCTTTGCCATATTAGTACAGTATAACACAGACAGACCCCATACAACTCGGGTCATAAAGACACCTGAGCTGATATTTCTATGATTAGCAGCAGTCAGAACAGGAAATATCATATCAACATACATGTAAAAAAAAAACAGAAGAAGAAAAGTTAAATATTTCTTCTTCACTCATTTCACTCAATAGATTCATCTCAGATTAAAATATCTCAAGCCTTTCTTTCTTGTCATTTGGATTATTCTAGCTTTCAGAGAACTAAAACCCTAAATTCAAGAAAGATGGAAATCAGACAAAAGAGGATTCTAATTCTTACAGAAATAGGGTAAATAGGGCGAGCTGTTGCCCATAGTTGGTGCTTTTAGTTCTTCAGTCAGATATCAGCTCTCTAACAGCGTAAGAGCAGACGAGCTCTGTGGCTTTCAGCTTTTATTTCCACAGCTTCTCTTCAGCAGATCTGAAAATATCAGCAAGCTGTGTTGCCTAAGAGGATTGATTTTGCTGCCAGATGCTATCCAGGGAACCACTGAGACTGATTCTGAAGGAGCAGAGGAGAGGGTCAACTTAGATTAGTATCCTGTGTTTAAATAAACCAAGCAGAGCTGAAATAGTCCCTACCATCTGTTTCTGAAGTTGAAGCTAAAACTCTAAAAAGATGGACCACAGCATTTTGCCTGGCCTGCTGGTCTAATCTCCAGCTTCCTCCATCAGTTTCTTCCCTTATGGGGAAGTCAATGTTTTGTGTGCAGTGATTTCCTGTTCTTCTTGCAGCCTACTGTCTGATCTTGCTAGGTTTAATTAAACAAGATCTAATTTATTCTAAACTTTTATGCACTGTCTCACACACTGTGCTGAAGCTCATGTTGGGCTTTTAGTACAGTATAACACAGACAGACCCCATACAACTCGGGTCATAAAGACACCTGAGCTGATATTTCTGTGATTAGCAGCAGTCAGAACAGGAAATATCATATCAACATACATGTTAAAAAAAAAAAAAAAAAAAAAACAGAAGAAGAAAAGTTAAATATTTTTTCTTCACTCATATACTTACTAATGATGCCGCCATTGACTACAAATTAGTGCTGTGAGAAACCAAAATAGGGTTTGGGCTGCTGGAGTAGCAAGAACACAAACTGTCTCAAGTTCATGTTGGTTTGGTTGATCCAAACAGAAACTGAGCTCTGAGCCGGAGAACCACACACTCACACAGCCTGGTCTAGCACACCCTGAATGCATCTCAGGAGGACCAGGAAAGACAAAAGTATCTGAAAACATGTAACTTAAGGTTTAGTCTGAAGGTTCCATGTCTCCCTGCAGGCGGAAGCGTCTTCAGCAGCAGATCCAGAGGAGCCCCAGGCCCCCGATGAGAGCGGCCCTGTTCGTCGGCTCAGTCCCAGACAGCGCCGGGCCCAGCAGCTCAGCCGACAGGCCCCCAGGGCCGGCAGGGAGCCAGCAGCTAGCAGAGCTCTGTTTGGTCCGGCGCCTCGCCGTGACAACCATGCAGCCTCTGCAGTCCTCATCGTGGTTCTCACCCTGGCCTTGGCTGCCCTCATCTTCCGCAGAATCTACTTGGCTAATGAATACAAGTTCAACTATGACCTGTGATGTTTCCCCTTGCCACTGTAGTCCACAGAACTCTGAGCAGAACCGTGGAAGGCAAGCTGAGGCCGTAGCTAACAGTGAGGTTGGGCCTTTTCCACTAACATGCTTCCAGGACTAGAGCAGGCTGGTGCCAGAGCTGTTTCTAATCGGGTTCTATTACACAGGTAAAAACTCCTGGTTTTATTCACAGCTGTAGAGCAGACCCAGCCTCATCATGATGTCTTCCAGGATGTTTCCTCCCCTCTCTGGTGTATCTTGTGCTTCAGCTTACCCAGACCGACTACAGTCTGTCTCATTGCCTCTGCACACATGTTTTAATGTCATATATTTGAATTAGAAGTGCTACTTTACACAACTCGTGATGTTTAAATGAAGCCCAGAGCACAGTTCACTGTGAAAATCCCCGGAATCCAAACTGTCAGCAGTTGATGGTAAAACGATGGCAGCAGAGTAGCAACCGCGTCCAGCATGACAGCTGGTTCACTCCTTCTCCTCCTCATGCCTCCACTTCATGTTCCTATTAAAGCTTAGAGGTTTTCATACGTCAGCTTAATACAAACACTACAGTAAATCCAAAACTTGAAACATAGTGCTTATGTACTTTTCATAATAACAATAATAATGCATTTTATTTCTAGGCGTCTTTCTTCACTTCAGAAAGCTGAGTTTTAGTTGGTTGTTGGTCTCTGCGAACCTGCCTCTAGACTCTGATGGAGGAGGGTCTTTTCCATGAAGTTTGTGTGACTGTTGCATCACTTCCTGCTTTCTCATTTAGCCTTAGAACATTAAGCAGAAAAAATACTTGGTTTAAAGCTAGCACTAGCTCTTATTTAGTACTGGAACCAGTTTGCTGGAAAAGCCCTTCGTGCTCAGCAGCCTCAGCAGCCTCAGCAGCCTCTGCAGCCTCTGCAGCCTCAGCAGCCTCTGCAGCCGGCTCCTCTCCGGAGGCCGTATCATTCCTGCTGCTGCAGTCAACAACTCCTCCAGGGTGTCTTTTAATCAGTGTGACTTTTACTCTCTGCGGCATTGTGGCCTGCAGCATTAAAAACGGGAAGCTTTTTTCATTTATAGAACTCATGCCGCGGCCAAAATGTCTCCCTCTCCTCATGTAATTGTTGAATCTCCAACGGCTGTACTTATTCTGTCAATTAAAACTGTAACTAATAAGTTAGCAACATGGGCCAATGTGAGCTCTTTCTCTCAGACTGATGTGTGTTTGAAATTCCTGCCACATAGAAATATGATTCCATGATGTTGGGCCCAGTTTGGAGAAAGTCTTAGTTTTAAAACAAGATATAAACTATCACACACTTCTCATGTTTTCCTTGATCTTTTAAAAGATGGGAGTCAGAAAATATTCTGAATGTTATGTAAGTTGCCATTTACTATGGACACAAGGAGTTCTTATTAACTTAATGTGTGCGTGTGTATGTGCGTGTGTAGGTGGATGGTGTGCTTTAAATGAAATCATCAGATTTTTAATTTAGTACAGTTTTTATGCTAAATTGAAGATTTCTGTTGATAGATATTCGCTCTAAGCAGATTTTTAGAGTTTTCTCATGCATACATGCAGCGTGCTGCTCTGTGAGCTTCAGGTTTTATGGCAGGACTGTTAGAACTTGTAGGAACCTCAGACTCATAATTAATTTGCCAAACAATCACCATCGACAAAATTCTCAACATGTGAATGTTCACAAATGATTTTATGAGTTTATGTTTGCAAATAAAGATGTAACCCAGTTTATCCCAGTGGAATAAATCTGATGAGGAAAACAACTTCTTGGTGATTTATAAAGTATTTGCTGAAGAAAATGTGAAACTCTCAACACTGCAGTAGGATCAGTCCTGCTTATATGGCAGCAAAATTTTGCTTCATTATTTGAGTATAGCGACATTTAATATCTAAATGATTAATAAAGAATGCATGTCTTAGAAGTAGGTGAGAACTGGACTGAACATGAGTGAAGGCAGTCAAGTCACAATTCTTGGAAGCAAATTGTGCTTCCAAGGCTGCACAGGCTGCACAGCACTGTGCAGCCTGGAACTGTGGTGTCATTTGTGAACATTCTTTTAAAAGCTCTACATCTTATTACATTCCTGGCCATCAAACCGCCACTGTTTTCAGACCAAGTGGCTAAGCAGCAAAACTATCTTTCCAACATGACTGAATGTAGTGTGAAGCTCTTAGCGCTCTGCAAGTACGACTTTCAGCCTTTCAGGAGACTGGTGTTTGTGTGAAGTGATAAATGACCTGTACTTGCACAGCACTAAGAGCTTCACACTACATCCAGTCATTCACACTCACAAATGATAGATTCCCACAGCTGCTTCAGAAGCCACATCAGTCTCAGGAGTTGATGAAAACCTTGATTTAAAATAATTAAGGCCAGAGGATGCTGCCTGATCAACGTCCTGATCAAGCAGGATGCTGACGCTCCTTGCAGGATAAAGAGTTCACATCTCTCTCCGTCTAACTCTGGATAAAACTTTACAGTTTTTAATGAAGGATCGTTCTTCTGCTTTCATTGTGCTTGACTTTTAAGCTGGAGAACCAAGACAAAAAATGATTCATTTACTGTTTAATTCTAAATGTCTTAATGGGATAATAATACATGGAGTCCATACACCATTTATTGTTGCTTCATTTATCAGTGTGGTGGCATGACGTGAGTGTAATCTTTGCTATGATCTCTTTTTCTTTGTAGTGGTGATAAATTCATGAGACAATTGAAGTGCTAAATTAAAAGAAGTTATGAACAGTTTAATGTGTTACTTTTGGAATTGCCTTTCTTGGTACCAGCATTGTGTTCTGTTTCACAGAAATTGGGTGATATTTTCACCATCACAATGCAGCCTGGTTGGTTTGTGCTGCTGGTCACACTGGGATGTTTCTGAGCTTTTCTTCCAAACTTGATCAGCTGCTTGAAACAGAATCACTGAACACAACATGCTCACCAAAAAACTATGTGGGGAAAGTTAAACAGACCATGCAGTCAACAGTGATGCTTCCCTATCAGTTCAACACACAAATGAATATCTGAAAAATCTATTTACAGTGAAGCTGATGATTTAATATAATTGGGGTTTTATGCTTTTTGTTTCCCCATAGTCTTTAAGCCTAAATTAAGTCTATATTAACATATTATTTATATATATATATATATATATATATATATATATATATATATATATATATATATATATATATATATATATATATAAAATATGTTTCCCAACATTCATATGTTCCCCAAACAAGTAATATATACATGTATTTTCGTTTTACAGTTTACACTCTCCTCTCACTGTATTCAGTCTACTTGTCAAACAGTATGAGTTGTGATCTGCCTTGTTCTGTTTTCACTGCTTGAAAGCAAGGTTCAGATCCTTCCCTCTCCCTCATGTTTGCACCTCCTTCATCCTGTTCTGAGTTGTGGAGTGCTTACCTTACTTGAATGATGTTGTTATTCACAGCACTAACTGGAAGAAGCAACCTGTCCATTGTCCTGGACAACCTTCACTCGGCTGGGTTGACAATGAATCCATCAAAGTGCGTCCTCGCTGCTGCTGAGACTGAATACCTGGACCGTATCATTGTTAGTGATCAATAACAGATCAATAAAATCCAAGACACAGACTCATGCCCTCTGCCCCAAACAAAGAATGTTAGATTGTTTTTGGGCCTGGTTGGTTTCTGCCATCCAGAGGACAGAGGAAGCAGTCCCTGTTTCATGACTTCCAACAGTCAATCTGTAAGCAAGCTGTTTTATACAGTTACAACATTGTTGAAGCGGTCATATGACAGTGTTATGGATCTCAGAGCTGTCTATAAGAGGCTACCATTTCGTGGCATAAATGTGGTGGAAGGTGTTTGTTTCATATTTTTAGGTCAATTAAAACCTGCCTTGTTGAATTAATCACCTGTGTCCTGCTTGGTCCCTGACAATGTCTTAGGATTCATGAAGGCCTTTTTAGTAAATGTTCAGACTGATCTTTGCCTTCTTTTTGATTGGCAGTGGTTCTGGTCTTGGAATTGTCCCATAAAGACCATTGTTGACTCTGATCATAGCTTTGAAGCATGCAGTGCTTGTTCTGGACAAATTAAAACAACTAAATGATGTTTTAATTTGTTTTACTTTTGTGTAACAAGATTGTTGTGTGTTGCAGATTTCTGCTCAGCACCCTCTTGAAAATTAGGAAAATATCTATCTATCTGTGTCTGTCTGTCTGTCTGTCTGTCTGTCTGTCTGTCTGTCTGTCTGTCTGTCTGTCTGTCTGTCTGTCTGTCTGTCTGTCTGTCTGTCTGTCTGTCTGTCTGTCTGTCTGTCTGTCTGTCTGTCTATCTATCTATCTATCTATCTATCTATCTATCTATCTATCTATCTATCTATCTATCTATCTATCTATCTATCTATCTATCTTATCTATCTATCTATATGTGACCTAGAAGCAGACATAATGCTATATTTAACAGTTACAGTTGTCCATATTCATTCTAATAATACTACTAATAAAACAGTGCTTATGAAAGCAGAGGACAGTATTTCCTATGTAATGTTATGTCCACGCATGCAGGTCCACGCATGCAGGTCCAGGTCCGCGTGGACTTGCATGCTCCACTCAGTGTTGCTTAGTGACCAGCTGTTCACAGTGATTTGTTGAATTAATGTGGCGGTTTGGCCAATCAAAGCGTGTCTTCAGCGGAGAGAAAGGGGAAGTGACGTCACATGCTCCTCCCAGCCTCTCCAGCGCCGGGATTCGTCCTGTCGGTTTGTTTGTTTATTTCGCTGTGCGGCGCGCGCCGTGTGCTGCTGATGCCGCGCGCTTCCCAGTGAGGTACAAAAGCCGCTCTGCAGTTTGACCAATCAAAGCGCTTCTCAGACTTTATCTCTGTGGCGAACAAGTTGCACAGTCTCATGCCTGTCACATTTTTGCCAGTGCGTGAAAAGAAGAGATGGTACCGGGTTCAGAGCGCCCCTCCTGCGGTCCCAAGCTCTGTTTTGTGGAATCGCCGCTGGACCTTTAAAAGCCAACATGCCGCATAACGCCAGGGTCCTGCTGCTGCTGCTGCTGCTGCTGCTGTCTTTGAGTCTGACGGCAGAGTCCCGGAGGATGGGAGGCAGGAGGAAGCGGTGGTCCGAGCCGGAGGAGACTCTCAAGCCAGGAAAGTAAGTATTGTTAGTTGGTTCAGTACCACCATGAGGTCAGAGCTGATGGTCAAAACACTGCAGATCAGTGGAAGACTCTCATCCTCCATCCATCCGTCCTGCGATACGTACTCAGTGTCGGGCAGCTTGGATTGGTGAGAAGGAACAAAAGCGGATGTGTTCTGTTGATCATGTCCATCCGAACTCCTCAGTTTCCAGCCAAGCCCAAGTCATGCATATGACTTATATATATATATATATATATAACCCTAACACTGAGCTACAAACATTTCCTCTGAAAGGGCAGGAAGCTGAGAAGATAGAAAATAAGGTTAGAAGAATTGAGCTTGTGTACATTCAAAAGTCTCATATATATATATATATATATATATATATATATATATATATATATATATATATATATATATATATATATATATATATATATATATAGATTTATTTATATATATTTTAAAGAACCATAATTATAAAAAAAAAAAAAAATTCCCTTCTCACCCACTGCGGGTGGTTCTTATCCTCTGAGCTCCGGTCCTCTACCAGAGGCCTTGGTGCTTGAGGGTCCTGCAGTATCTTGGCTGTGCCAAGGACTGCTGCACATTTCTGGACTGAGATGTCTGATGTTGTTCCTGGGATCTGTTGTAGCCACTGCTCCAGTTTGGGGGTTACTGCCCCGAGGGCCCCGATGACCACAGGCACCACTGTGGTCTTCACCTTCCAGGCCCTCTCCAGTTCTTCCCTGAGGCCCTGGTATTTCTCCAGTTTCTCGTGCTCCTTTTTCCTGATGTTGCAATCACTTGGTATTGCTACATCTACCACAACGGCTTTCCTCTGATGTTTATCCACTATGACAATGTCTGGTTGGTTCTCCATTACCATTTTGTCTGTCTGGATCTGGAAGTCCCACAGGATCTTAGCTCTGGTGTTCTCCACCACCTTAGGTGATGTTCCCCACTTTGATCTCGGGGTTTCCAGTCCATATTCTGCACAGATGTTTCTGCCACTTGGTTATGTCGTTCCATGTACGCTTTCCCTGCCAGTATCTTGCGATATATATATATATATATATATATATATATATATATATATATATATATATATATATATATATATATATATATATATATATATATATATATAAAAGACAGATGCAGAGGGGAGGTTCTTGTCATTCTGTAGCGAAAGAGGACTTGTGCTTTAACTAATATCAAAAATAATAATAATGAAAAAAAAATCAACATTCTCTCTTTTTGTTTTCTTTTTCACCATTTCAAAATAATAAATTCAGACATAAGAAACATACATTTCCAAATCCAGGATTTTTCACAGCATAAAGCCTTTCAAGCCAATGTTCACAGGAGGAGGAGTGTAATGAACCTTACCCCAACCCCTAACCTCTAACCCCAACCCTAACACTGAGCTACAAACATTTCCTCTGAAAGGGCAGGAAGCTGAGAAGATAGAAAATAAGGTTAGAAGAATTGAGCTTGTGTACATTCAAAAGTCTCAGTTTAACCTTTCTTTGGGTGTTTATGTCTGGTGAAATTTAGTTAATTAAGTTAATTCAGTAAATTTAACTGAGTTGAGCTAATCTTAGTGACTACCCACCTCTGCTCTAAAGCAGTGCTCCTCCCAACATTTCTGACTTTCTGAGAGCTGAAGTTGCATTTTTTTCACAGACAGAATTTAAATTTCCTGTCAGAAGAACAAGACATTTACCAAATAAAACCAGGTTTTCATCTGTTTATTGTTTGTGCTGCTGGTTACCTATCTCATTGTCTCAAAATCTTTCATAATGTAACTTCTTTTCCATATTCGTTAAGAGGAAGAACAAACCAACACGGCAAACATCCTTCAAGCAGAAACAAGCATCAAGATAAATATTGTTATAAAGTGAATCTGAGATGAGAATTTACATTGGATAGTAAAATAAAAAGATGTATGATGTTCTTTGTCACACCCTCAATGTGACAAAGAACACATTTCTGACTTTGAAAATAGTTCCAAACATGTGTATTTATTCAGCAGTTTAATTTAAAGAACCATAATGATCTTTTTTCCGTTCAACCATTCATTTACATGATGACCTTAAGATCCCAACCCACTGCCCTGTGGGGAGACATGAAGACAGACGTTATGATGTACTGCACTGTGTCAAATGACACCACAAGGACATAAAGTGGACCCCACTACATGGTAGAGTAGTGACCAGTTTATGTGGAATGACTGAAACAATCCTCTGCACAGGAGATCCATGTAACCTCAGACCAGCTGGATGACAGGACATAGAAAACATCTTTCTGGATCCCATCCTACAGATCACCACAATCCCATTTGTGATTCTAACAGATTTTAGCAACACACCCATTGTGAAGCTGACTCTGGTAACCATCAGAAAGGTGACATCAGGGATACCAGCAGCCATGTTTGAATGTTTACCAGGGACCAGAATGGGCCAGAATGGGCCACATCAAAGAATAAGCATAAATAAAGTAAAATAGTTATTTATGCTGGTGGTAATGACACCCAGTTACGGCAATTGGAGGTCACTGATGCTTGAGTGTGTACGTTTACTAAAACAATGTTGTTTTCTCTGAACTCCACCCTGATTGGACCATTGATGACATGGTGCTGTTCAACTGCTGGTTGTCGTAAGTGGAATCCTGAAAACCATGTGGGCTACCTACATTGACAATTGGCAAACATTTTGGGAAAAACCGGGTCTGATCCAGAGAGTCATCCCCCTTTGGATGGAGCAACTTCTTCTCTCCTGGAAATTGGTCAAATCGATTATTCCTTCAAAACAGCACAACAACAAAAAAACACTTTGAGAAACAAACTGCACATGACTGCATTATTTGAAAACTACCATCAATTGATTGGTTTGAACTTCTGTTTTATGGATTGGGTCTAAATAAACCAAAATGAATTCAATTAAAAGAGGACCAGTTCCAAAGGAAGTCCAAGAATTTATTTCATTCAGTTTTTGATTCCATTTAGTTTGAATCAAAAACTAAATTGATTCAAACTATCAATTTAGTTTTTTTTTTTTTCAGTAAGACATCAATCAGCATCAAACTACCCCTTCCTATTTCATTTAATTTTTAATAGTATATTCTGTGCCTTGCAAAAGTATTCAAACTTTTTTGCAATTTGTCACTTTATAGCCACAGACTTCATTTGATTTCATTGATCAGGGATCAGGGATGGATTTTGAGTTTGATTCCCTCACTGAAGTGTCCTTTGGCAAAACACTGAAATTCCAGTTTTCTACAAATCTTCACATCTATGTAACTTGGAAGTTCACACAGTTTTTCTGTACAGTTTTGATAGTAAACAGAAGGTTCACATAATATGATTATGGTAAGAAAGAAAGAAAATCATACTATGACCCATTTATTTACTCTGATCTCCTTTTGTCCTTAGCATTGTCACTCTGTAACTGTTCAGTCATGCTTCCTATTTGCTCTTTCCATGATCAAGCTGAACATGAGTCTGTGTCTTTGTAGGACCCTGGGGGAAACACCTGATGCTGTGGTTCTAATTGGGAAGACAGGCTTGGAGGCTGGCATGGTGAATGGGTGTGTAGCTCATAGAACATTAATGTCAATCATTCAGCAACAAAGATTCAATTCTATCCTCAATCTGTTGGATGAAAGGTTATCAGATGAGAGCGCTCCAGGAATCATAAACTCATTGAGACACATATGAAAATAGACATATGCCTTTGTGAAAATAAAAAATAGTGAAAGTTCAAATAAAAGCAGCTTATCAGGTCAAAAAGGTCTGCATAAAAGTCTGGTTCCTCTGAAGCTAAATGTAAAGAAGTCATAAAAAGCCTTTGTAGTCTGTAATTCTAAGTACAGTGTGTATTTCTGCATACTTCTTTGCGCAGAATAAGAATTTATTTATTAACATAAATAAAGAGGCGTAGTTTTGAGAAACAAAGATTAGTTTTGCTGTTAACATGGTCACCTTGTCATTGTTTGAAATGCATTGATTCTTTCTCCCTGTTTCTCTGCTTACTCTTCTCAGTCCTCTGTCAAGGAAGATCATTGATGGCACCAAAACACGAAAGCTGAAAACCAGCCACCTTCTGCGTGTGGATGAACACGACTTCACCATGAGGCCAGCATTCGCAGGTGAGCAACTTCTCCTGAAAGCAATTCATTTACTACTTTCACTGCTTAGCAAATACCAGCTCAGGTATTCTATTCTGTTCTATAGTCGTATTCCATGAAATTAATTGATATGGTTTTAAATTCAAGTCCAAACAATTCAGTTCACTCCATTCCAGTCCAACCAATCACAAATAGTCAGATTCAGATCCAGTACACCCGGTGAGTTGTTGACAGCAGGAGTTCTGCTCAGTGGTTCCCCAACACCATTAGTTTTTATGGATCAGTTGGCTTCCCTCACTAAATATTTTTTCTGTTTTTTTTTTTTTGTTGTTGTTGTTTTGTTGTCAAAATTAAATATGTTAGATGATAAAACTAATTTTGCCATCAAGATAGCCCAACGAAACACATAAAGCAACTCTGATGATGATTTCTTTTATGAATACAAAAAAAAGTTATTGAAACCAATCTGGCAGAGTGTGGACAGAAATGTCTGATAGTAAATTTGCTGTAAAAAGTTTTTCTTTCTTTTTTAAGCTGTACTTTATTCCTGAGCCACGCTCTCCTGTTATCACTGTCACATTGTAGAATTAAGACAGATTTGAATAAAATCTGAATGACAACAGGATACAGTATAAAAGACCCCAAGAAGATAAAAAAAGAATCAAAAAGTCATGAGAAGCAAGGTCCATCAGTCTGGAAAGGGGAAGAAAGATATGCAGAGCTTTGGGACTAGAGGTAATCATGAGAAAAGATAGAACACTGGAGACCCATGCAGTGTTCCACGGACTGACCAGCCTACCAAGACGACTCCAAGAGCTCACCAATAACTTCTCAGTCCACTGTTGCCCAAGAATACCACCAAGACCCATCCCCAAACCATCGTGATGTTTTCCAGGATGTTTTCCAGGACCTTTAGGAACATATTCTATCGACTGACATGAGAAAACTGGAACTTTTTGAAAGGTGTGCTCCCTGTTCCATCTGGAGTAAAACTATAGCAGAGACAATTATACCAACACTGAACAGTTACTTGTTGCAAGTAAATATAATTTCAGCTCTCCACCTGAAAATTCTGAATTTAGAGAATTTCAAGCTCAGACAAACTTGGGTCTGGCATTAAGTCCAACTCACTACTAATAAAAGTTGATTCTGGAGTAGCCTTGTCAAAGTCTGCATTTAAATCTGACTGGAATGATGTGGTTCAAGCTCATACATGCAGCTCATCCTAAACGCTTGATGGCAACTCTTGTTGCCAATGGTGACACAACCAGTTTTTTGGTTCAGAGAAAATTTTTTTCTTCACATTGGAAAGTTTGTTGTGATATATTTTGATTCATAAACAGGGTAAAGGTTAGGGTTAATGGAAGTAATACTTCCAAGAGTCACAGTGATAGAACCATGTTCCATCACACTGAGTTAAAGTGACAGAACCCTGCAGAACCCTGCAGAACCTGGAGCAGAACTCCTCCCCTTGCTGCATTGTTAACCATGGAGTCGTGCTTCTTGCATCCGTCTAAAGCACTGCCAGGATTTTCTTAAGCTGTTTAAGGTGCTTTTTTTTGGTATTTTCTTCAATACACAGTTGCTACCACGTGTTGGCAGAACCATGCTGTCATGTTCAGTTTTTGTAGTCATTATCTGTGTGGTTGCTTTGCACCTTGAATGTCAGAAAAATCCCCTGCTGCTTGAATTTTAGCAGGAAATTAAAAATAAGGAGCTTATGTATCAACTATAGAGTCCAGCTCTTTGTTGTTTAGAATTACACAGCTCTGTTTAAACCACTAGAGGAAATGGACCATGGTGAATTTTCGGACAACAGTTGCAGCCACAGATGGAAGCATATGTCCCACTGAGGAGCTTTTTGTCTTGTATTTATTTATCTATCGTTATTGTCAGATCCTGCAGGAAACTTGTTCTAGCATCATCAAACACTGATTTGTGAGCAGTGAGCATCCCATTCCCTTTCCAGGGAGATAGATTTCAGTGAAATCCTCTGACTGAGGGAGAATTGTGAGTTAAACAGCTGCTCTGGTTCCTCTTAGTTTCATCAAAGCTTCTTCTAGGACTACTTCCTATTTGTTGACTGCACCACAATAATTGAAACCTTCTTTCTGATCATGATTCTGACCAAGTAAAATAGTTGTTTTTTCAAACAGTGTGACAGTGAAGTTCATTTTATTTGTCCAAAACAAAATCTAAAATAGATTTATTATTAAAGTTCACCTACAAAAAACTGTTTATGTCCAGGAGAATGATCTGTTTAAAGTGTCATAACTAAATCAACAGCACCAGCTCCTTTTGGTCAGACATGATTCAAACAGTGGAAGAGATGGAGAATACCTGTCATCACGTTACTTTTAAATTTCTTTGGGTACAGCAGTTTGTTCCTCTCTGTGTTAGGTTGAAAAAGATAGATGAAAAGAGATAGATCCACCATGCATTAGTCCATATTTGTATAAAAATAGCACTGAGACATTCTGCCGAAAAATTGACTCTAATGCATTGCATTGCTGGAATTCCCTTTTCGGATTTACTCTTGTAATGCATAGGCCTAGCTGTCTGATCCAAGCGTGATGAACTGGTGACGGATTTACAGCTGCTAATCCGAGAGCAGACGAGTGAGGGATGGGTGTCCTCACCATCTGTAGAAATGACATGAAGATTATTCTGTGAACGATGAGTTTGACTGGAGAAATAAAGAGCTGGGATTCCTTTCAGGTGCATCTGTATACAGAATATATAGAGTTACTTTACATGGTGTACTTGTTTGTGACTTCAGATGTAAAGTGAGTACATGTCAAATCAAATTGTGCAAAATATAAAACACTCAGTTAGGATGGAAATGAATAAATTACTAAACAAACCATGTGCTGGTATTATGTTGAGTTAGGGTTATGTCAGATTTAATAATTATCACAGGTTTATATTAGCATCAGAAAATTCTAATTCCCTTCATGCAAACTGGTGTATTAGTAACTAAAATTGCTGGACTTATGGAGAGCATTCCCCAATAACGAAATGGTTTATTACCTTTATTTTGATTGTACATATGTTTTAGCATTGTGTTTTATGTTATTTCTGAGTTGTTACTGGATAAGCAGTAAAGTCAGAACATCATTCTGCCAACATTCAGCCTGGAGACACGGATCATTTAAAACATCTGTGCTCGGAAATAATCAACATTACTGAACTGGATTTCTTAGCGGAGTGGGTATTATACATTCAGTGGTGCAACTTTCTGGATTAGGAACAGATTGTTGCTTAATGACTCACACAATTAGCTTAATTAAAATCACTTAAATATAGCTACTTTTATGACAAAGTATGGAAACAAATAACTTATTTTTTATTGGTAATATTTGCATTTTAAAAATGAAGATTTGGAATTAAACAAGCTGTTGGGCTTTTGCAGAGCTTTGAAAAAAGAAAAGCCGTATCATTAAAACTCCTCTGGCAGCCTGGGCCCACAGATTGATTTGCATTTTAATTTGACTTGAAGTGTTCTCTCCTCATGGATGTGTGTGTGTGTGTGTGCGTGTGTGGGTGTGTGTGTGTGTGTGTGTGTGTGTGTGTGTGTGTGTCTGTGCGTGTGTGTGCGTGTGTGTGCGTGCGTGTGGGGGGGGGTGTGTGCGTGTGTGGGTGTGTGTGTGTGTGTGTGTGTGTGTGTGTGTGTGTGTCTGTGCGTGTGTGTGCGTGTGTGTGCGTGCGTGTGGGGGGGGGTGTGCGTGTGTGCGTGTGTGTGCGTGTGTGTGTGTGTGTGTGTGTGTGTGTGTGTGTGTGTGTAGCTTTCTGGCCATGAGGAAATTACACTGAAGTGCTGCTGAGAGCCATAAAGAGTCACCACTAGCTGTTTAGTGGAGCTTTGCTCTGACACACTAGGAGGTGTCATCTAAGAATTAGTGAATTCTGGGAAAATTTGCTGATGCAAAAAAAAGAAAAAAGTTTCAAAACACCAAAAGAGCTTTGGATCAAACGCTCATGCACCCTGTAACCAGGGGAACACACACTGCTCTGAAAAGCTTTCTGAGTGGAGCTGCAGCCGTGTGCAGCTGCAGGCTGAGCTGAGGCACCAGCAGAAACAGACCTCTGCTTCTCATTTCTGCTTTTTCAGCAGGTGTCTGATGTTATGTCACATCAGCTGAAGCTCAGGATTTAATGTGTTCAGCACGTGTTGTGGGGCATATGGTGTGAGTAAGAGAAAGGAGGACAAGACCGACAGCTGGAACTGGGCAGGAGTTAATATCCCATCTTCCAGGTAGCAGATTTGCTGGGCCGTGGGTTATGTAAGGCTGGCACCCATACAGCTTCACAGATTAACTAGACCACAGCAGCCAATGTCACTGCACTGAACAAATGACAGAAGGTTCTGTCTGTTTGTTGTTTTTCTACTAATGATCAGGGTAGTAGGATACTCTTCCATATCCCTTTAAATCATAAATTATTTCTAATCCACTCAGTCAGTTGAGCAACACATATCAGTAAACTGATATGTGTTTACTGAATCCTGTCAATGATTCAACCAAACACATTGTGTGAAATGATGTGTATTCTTAGTCATGGCTTAACAGAGTATTCTATCCTGTTATTTTATGACAAGGAAGCAGACGACATGATGAGGAGTCAGCTCAATTCATTAGTAGAATGAATTGAGCTAAATGTTATTTAGCTTGTATACTTAATAATGAGCTGAAATCCGTCTGAACCTGATCCCAGTTCATGTCAGTTTAGCTCATTTTAATTCAACATCTAATACATCAGTCATACATTATATTAGCCCTTGTGAAAAAATATAATATCTAAGTACATTTTAAATATGCTGCATTTTTCTGAAATACATTTTTAGTGGTCATTAAGTTGATATACTTGTTGTAGTATAATATTGTCATAGTATATTGGCAATGTACTCTTGAAAATGTGGATATATTGAATACACAATGTAATTTATGTTCAGCCGGAAAGTGTGTTGTTCTTCATCCTTCTGTAAACTGATGGCCTGATGTGTTTGCAGAACTGCAGTGTGTATGAAGCATGTAAAGAACAAAGTGGCAAAGCAGAATAATAAAAGACATTGATAAATCACTAAAAAGTGTACTTCATAAGCAATTATGAAGTAAAAGTTTAATTGGAGCATACTGAGATCACAGTACTAATATACAATATATCATGCTTATATATTTAAAGATATTCTAAATATATTTTGTGTAATTCTTTCACAAAAATGGCACACTTAAGATATACTAATCAAGCATGGAGATTGTACATTTTAGGTATAAAGTTGTTTTTTTTATGTTCTAACTAGTATACTTTTTGTTGTTGCATTTTAACAATGTAATAGGATACTTCAATTTGTTTCTGCATGGAGTTAGCATGTTCTCCCTGTGCATGCGTGGGTTCTCTCGGGGTACTCCAGCTTCCTCTCACAGTTAATTGGTCTCTCTAAATTCTCCCTAGGTGTGTGTGTGTGTGTGTGCGTGTGTGTGTGTGTGTGTTTGTCCTGTCTGTCTCTGTGTTGCCCTGCGACAGGCTGGCGACCTGTCCAGGGTGAACCCCGCCTCTCGCCTGGAACCTTCATTGGAGATAGGCACCAGCACCTCTCCTGACCCCACTGGGGACAAGGGTGTTAGAAAATGGATGGATTTTGTGACAAATTATTGCTTTCGGCTAAAGAATGCATTTTAATTAAGTAGATTAAGGATAAACCGCCAACTATCACACAGTGGTATAAAGAAATATTTCGGGTCTTCCCTCATGAAAGGATTGGTGCAGGTCTTAAGGGTCATGAGAAACACTTCATTGATATGTGGTCTCCTGTGCTCTGCTATTTACCTAAAGAGTTGACGCAACTTGATGAGAGGTCAGAATCTTAGAAAGTGGAAGGTCTCCCCAGGTCTTAACTCAAGAACACCCTCCTTTTGTATTACTATGCATCTTTCTTCTTTCGTTGATCATCCGACTCGATATGAATGTGTTGTTGTCAGGCTTTAAATATCTCTGTAAATGTTTGCCGACCATTGAAGACATGATCTAACATGAATGTGACATTGTACAGCAGATCCTTTTGTTGTTGTTTTTTCTTTCTCATTGTTTCTTGTTTTTTTTTGTATTTCTCTTCCTTATTACATACTTACACGTATAAAGTGATAGACAGCACAGTGTACAATGTTCCATTTTCTCTGCTTGTGAAAACACAAAACTAATAAAAATGTTATTAAAAAAAAGAGAATTGATGGATTGATAATTACAATTAAGATATATGAAGCACAAAATTAGTTATTCCAAAATAGCATGCTTTCAGTTAAATAATTCTTAATGAACTTGAAGTACACTGATGATTAGTCTGGCTTTGAGTATGCTAAGATTTAATGTACTTAATATTTGTATTTTTCATAAGGGTGTATTGGGCTTTTAAGCATGTTAAAAAGTGCTATATTACATAATTACGTGAATACAATTCATGGTGGGAAGACTCAACTGATTAAAACAAATGTGAGGTTATGGGTGTGCCATATTGTCTCGTTTGCAGTAGTACCAATGGTGCTATATGCTGACGCTTTCTACACCATTACAACAAAGAAGAAGCTGATCAGCTGGTCCACAGTCTGGACTGGTCTGACTTTCACAGAATCAGCTGCTACCTGCGATGAGAAAAGGATTTCCAGAAGTTCTGTTGTCTGGCGGAGCGTTAGGGTGCGGTTGCATGAGAGGAAAAAAATCTAAACACTGACAGATATTTTATCAGTGGAGCTTTTTGAAGTTACATATTTATTTGGCCAAATCCAACAACAATAATTTAAAATGAGCAGAAAATGTGGAATATTGTCTGTGATATAGTTCTCAAGATTTTCAAAAAATACATATTGCGATATTTTTTGTCAATATTGCTCACCTCTAGTAATTAACAACCATCAGTTCTATGTGTGGTGAGTTGAAAGAGTTCAAAGCTAAGGGAGACAACAGAAATGTTCACCTGTTTATATCTGCACTATGCAGAAACATCATGATGCAACTTTAAAAAGTGAAAAAGCAATGCTGATAATGAGCTTTCTGCTATTGATTTGCAGGTCCGGCTGTCCCAGTTGGAGTGGATGTTCAGGTGGAGAGTTTGGACAGCATATCTGAAGTTGACATGGTATGCTGCTTGAATGTTTGAATGACATGCAGTGCAACCAGTTTCACACTATCGGGTCAGTCAAGGGCAGGTAAAAATTTCAACTCCAGCAGATAATTACAAATAAGAAAAATATGCCAGATTCAACACAACTGATGTTATCAGATGGTGGGAACATTGGAAGTTTGAAAGAAATGACCTCTGCTGCAACACAGGGACAGGATGCTGTTCAGTTGCTGCAGCTAATGAGTCGGCGCAGGAATATTTCTCCAACAGCATGTAAAGAAATGCTTGACTGCCAAACAAATTTGTCATACTGCCAGAATTTTAACTCCAGCACAAAATTTGATTCAATTCAACTCGAACATACATTATTGGTTCTGATGAGCAACTACATGCAGCTCAGAATAATTTCTAGTTTAGTTAAATTGAACTGTGGAGCTGACAGTGACGGAGCAGAGCAATGAGAAAAGTTCTGATAATCCAAGTAAAATTCAAGCTCTTTTTCAGAACACACCTCTTTTGTTGATCATCAGAATAAATTAAAACAGGTTTGACTGACGTAATTAAATCAGCCTTCTGCTCTGTTTATAAATTGGACGGAAAATGATGTTGTATAATCTCATGTTTGCAAGGGCACATGAGGATTATGTTTAATTTGGATCCCAAGGTTGTGGATTTAGTTGTTTTGGAACTGAAGGAAGAACATGACTGATTCCATTCTATAGCTGCTAGTAATGACATTCAATCAGAATGTTGAAGTTTGCAGAGTTCTGAGTCATAATCATTGGCTGTTTTTCATGACATTTTGCTGCTTTGTCCGATTATTCATCCTTCTTATTAGTTTGTATTCACATCATTGAAAATGATCTGAAACTGACCTGACATCTTAGGCAAACATTTTCATTACTGCTGAGTAAAGAACTGTCGTTCAGCGACTAGCACTAGTGGAGTGAAATGTGATTTTCAGGTCATGTTGTTGCTCTCTTTTCAGCAGCCAAAGTTTTAAAAAGCAGAGCGTCTTCTGCCAGGCTGCTGTCCAGTTTTAAAAATCACCAGCTCCACACCAACTTGAAAACTTTACTTCATTATTTGTAACAAACAATTCAACATTATAAACACAAGGGCAAATTAGAAAATCAGTGGGCATATTTGAAAATCTCAACTAACTGTACGATCACAAACTCCAGATATCTGTACAGTCATAAAACAGGATCTTCTTTCTAACAAGCCTCTTTGGTCACATTGAAAGTATTTTCTGACCACCTTTAAGTTTCACTTGGTGAACTCAGTTAGTGAAGTAAACAAACTTTTTTGCTGTATTCAAATTTATGGAATATGACTACTATATACTATATATGCAGAAATTTAAGACTCACATACAGCAAATAACTACGTACTTTCTGTAAGTCAATTAATTCAGGTATTGAACATTGAAGAAAAAATAATATATGTCGATGCGTTGGTTGTTTGCACAATTTTTTTTTCTCTGCCAAACATATAATCTAAAATAAACAGAGAGAGTAAATTGACACATTTTTTTAGGAAATAAAAAGTTTTGCTTGTCTTCCTATGACTTCACAAACTTCTTTAAATTAAAAATATATATTCTGATTTAGATTTTAAATATTTTGGAATAATTACAATTATTATTTCTCTTCTTAAAGTCAATAAAATCAGAACACTAGATCAAATATGTCTGTGAAAGCAGCAGAGTGAGGGCATAATTCAACAACTCATAAGCAATAAATGATATTCCAGTAAGTAATAATTACAATATGTATTATAAGAAGCATTAAAGACTTTAAATATTCACTTTTGATGTAATCCTTCAGAACCAAACCTTGTACAGTTATGTCAAAAATCGTCTGTCTAGTCACAGTCTATTTTATTTTCTTACATTTTAGAAATATTTCTATCCTTTTGTGTCTGTTCGGTTTTGTGTTTCTCCCCCTTTGGAGCTGAAACAGCTGAATTACCGGAGTCAGTGACAATAAACAATATTTCTTTGCTGTTATTTTTAATTGAGAAATGTCCAGTTTCTCCTCTTATGCAACAGCAAAGGTTCTCTTCTAGTGTGTGCCAATAGTACACTGTGTTGTTATAGCTATTATTTCTAAGTGATCTGGTCTTATGTAATGGCGTGAGGAGAACGGGGCAAAGAATGATCCGTCACACGGGGCTGCAGCTTTGCAGCAGAGCATCCTTCAGATGTAAAGTAGCAGAGTAACGTGAGGCGACAGCACTCCAGTCAGCTTGGATCAATAGAAACCATGGATCCCAAGGTTGTGGGATCCAAGTTAGGTGATTTAGTGAACATATGTTTCACACGTCTTTAGAGCTTGTGCATTTGGTCCCAACATAACCAAATAATCCAGCTGGCATGGGTCAGACTGCTGTAATCCTGGAGGAATTTAATAAACTAGAGAAAGCAAGCAAGTAGTCCCTCTACTGACACTTAATCCTGTATCTGTTTATGCCGCCCACCCTCTATGCCCCTCCCTTAGGACTTCACCATGACTCTGTATCTAAGGCACTACTGGAAGGACGAAAGGTTGGCTTTTCCAAGCACCACAAATAAGAGCATGACATTTGATGGGCGCCTAGTGAAAAAAATCTGGGTCCCTGATGTGTTCTTCGTCCATTCTAAGAGGTCCTTCATCCATGACACCACCACTGACAACATCATGCTGAGGGTCTTTCCGGACGGCCATGTTCTGTACAGCCTCAGGTGAGGAACCAAACTCAATCCAAGCTGGCAGGGTCCCACACTGCTGGGCTTTACACTGTCCTTTCTTTACCCCTCAGGGTAACAGTTACTGCCGCTTGCAACATGGATTTCAGTCGTTTCCCTCTGGATTCACAGACATGCACTCTGGAGCTGGAGAGCTGTGAGTTTCACAAACACTGAGTTTACAGCCTTTTGTCTATCTGTGCTTCTTATTACAAGTGGCAATGGACATTCTGGGAGAAGCTGCTGAACCAATCTCACTTAGTGGAAACAGCTGTTTTAAGATAGCAGATTGTAATTCCACCATTTCTGTAGAACTCCTTAAAGATCCAGGGCTTTTTCACTCACTTTGCTGACATCCCTTTCTGTTGCTAATAATGTATATATCTGATTGTTTCAGCTTTACCGTGAAGGTGTTTCCCATCGAAAGCCTTTGTTCCTCTTCTAAAGTTCTTCCCTGCCTCCTCACATTTATGTTACTATTTAAACATAAAGTGCTTCTGTATTACATTTCCACTGAAACCTTTGAGCGTTTCTTTAAATCAAATCATACCTTCAATTTAGTGCAGTACACCAGCACAGGTGTTGCTGATTCAGCATCAGCCCCTGGGAACATTTGATAGGAAATGGAGCTTATAAAGGCACTGCCAAACAAAGAGGCAGCAACAGCTCAATTAACCCAGTGAAGCTTGATTTTTTTTGTCTCATGTTAATTGAACCAGCTTCTTCTGTGCAGTCTCACAAGAATCTGATAATCTCAATGTACAATTTTATTCAGCGTGAATTTTTCCTCTCACCTCTTAATGAATAGTCATATTTCTTGTACAGTAAGTCTAATTAGAAGGAGTCTTGAATGTAGAGATGAGTTTATTTATTGGTATGCTGACAGAACTGTGAGGTTTTGTAGATTTTCTGTTGCCTCACCAAGTAACCTAACATGGTAGAGATGCACAATATATCAGCATTAACATCATTATCCACCACTTGGCCCACCCTTAAAATGGAATGTTCTTGATGCCAATTACAAATTCCACTTTCTCTGTAAATATTTCCAGAACCATGGTTCAGGTTCACCTGCTTTCCTTCATAGCCATGAAAATATTATTATTGTACATCATCAGTTAAACTGTCAAGCTACTGTCATTTAGCTATCATAATAGTATCTCCCCACCAAACAGTGAAATAATTTAAAAAAAAAAAAATTTGAGTTTGTCCTAATTATTTCTGAATGAAAAACTGAACTATGTCCAACATTTCACAAAACAAGAAATGGATGCTTTATAGTTATACTGGTTGATCTGGTATTATTATTATTGATTTTTTTCTCATTGGTAACTCTGGTATGTTTGTATGTTTTGTAATGAAAACCTTCAATAAATATGTTAACAGCTAAAAGCATCTGATCCAAAGTGTCTCCTTGCTCTGGTTGTGCTTTCTGTTCCTCAGATGCTTACACTGATGAAGACCTGATGCTTTACTGGAAAAGTGGGGATGAGTCCCTGAGCACAGATGACAGGATCTCTTTATCTCAGTTTCTCATCCAGAAGTTTCACACCACCTCCAGACTGGCTTTCTACAGCAGCACAGGTATTTTTATGTGTCTAATTACCTAGTGAAAATCTGGTGTAAATTGTAAAAGCATTTATGATGTTCTAAATATCATTTGGGTTCTGTGCGATTGTGTTTTCAAATCTTCATATTGTAATTGGGCTTTATGTCAAAATCTAATTTGACATAAATTGTCAAATTATGTGTGCATAATAACACTACACAAGAAAATATTATTGATATATTTTGTAAAGATGAATGCAGAGTAGATGATAAGAAACTAGTATAAATCAACTATTGCTGGCGTGGGAGAGTTTGTTATGATCTGGAAGAACCAAACTGGAACTATTGGAACCCAATTTTAAAAGTTATTTGTAGCCCAGAAAGTACTAAGCATCACCAAAAGAACAGCAAAGTCACAGTGAGACATGGTGGTGGCAGCAACATGGTCTGGGGTTGTTCATCAGAACATTCACCAAACAACTGGGTTGCATTGTTTCCTGTTTTCCAGGCTGGTACAATCGGCTGTACATCAACTTCACCCTCCGGCGGCACATCTTCTTCTTCCTGCTGCAGACGTACTTTCCTGCCACGCTGATGGTCATGCTGTCCTGGGTGTCCTTCTGGATCGACCGCAGGGCTGTTCCTGCCAGGGTCTCTTTAGGTAACAAAAACCTTAAATGGGTTCTGAGACATAGAACAAATTAGGAGTGGACAGAAAATGAACATGTGGGTTGTGTTCAGTTCACAAAAATCTCTGTTTGGAAAATAAAGTTAACATTTTGATGGGACACTGGTCTTCCTTTTGTGACCCAGATCCTGAGTTCAACAACGTTGCTTATTTCTTTCTTTGCTTCATTCTCTGAGTCACTCTCTTTTTCCCTCTCTTCCTTTCTTTTTTCCTTCCTCTTTGCTTCTTGTCTTTCTTCCAATCTTTCTTTCTTTCTTCCTGACTGTGTCAGTTGCTTGCTGATATTCCATTCACAGCCCATTTAAGGAGTTGAAGTCTAGCTGTTGCTCAGAAGCATCACCTGTGCATACCTGTCTGTGCTCATGTTTTGTTGCTGCAGGCGGCTCAGTTACAAGTCTGACTGTCAGCAGTCTACATCATGAAAACATCTGCGGTCATAATCTATGAAATCTTTTGATGCCTCTTGTGTTTTCTCTGTAGCCTTGACCTCTACTCAAACAGAGTTGTTCTATTTTCTGTGCTTCAGGTATAACTACGGTGCTCACTATGTCTACCATTATTACTGGAGTCAACGCCTCCATGCCAAGGGTCTCTTACATCAAAGCTGTCGACATTTACCTCTGGGTCAGTTTTGTCTTTGTATTCCTCTCTGTGCTTGAATATGCAGCGGTCAACTATCTGACCACAGTGAGGGATGGTAAAGACCGGAAACTAAGAGAAAAACTAAAGGAACAGGTATGATATGATTTCAAAATCAGAAACAACCAGTTCCAAAACATCCCTAGACTCAGTCATGACTTCCTTCCTTCCCTTCTTTCTCCCAGTCCCAACCGTTGCCCTGCACTTGTGGCATGCCTCACACCAAGACCATGATGCTGGACGGAATGTACAGCGAGGCAGATGCAAACAGTCTGGCAGGGTACACCAGAGCCTCTATGGCAGCTGAGGACCCGTCCGACAAACAGGAGCAGATGGTGGTCCATCTCACATTGGACAATGAGTCCACAGAGACTAAGAAGAAGGGCATTCGCAGCTTCCGCATAATCCAGAACACCCACACCATTGACACTTATTCCCGCATGATCTTCCCAGGCGCTTACATCCTATTCAACTTGATCTACTGGTGTGTGTACTGCTGAGTTTGTGGATTTTAAACAAAGCTCCACAAGAACAAAGGAAAATGTTTCCTTCATTTTGGAAGGAAACATCTCCGAGTGTTGGAAGAAAACCTACTTGTAGCTCACATGCTGCTGTTGCTCCGGATGACATCCAGAGACGAGAGAGCATCTCTTTCCATACAGCCCTGGCTTCAGAGGGATTCAGCAGGACATTGTCTTATTTTGTGGGGATTTCTACTTAAATAGAAATACTTAAACAAACCTATTATGTCACCTTTCAAGTAAAACAAAAACAACCTTGTTTATTAATGCAAAATGAACAACAACTCATATAGGTACCCTTTTCCCCAGAAAGCCAATAAAGTGAATAGTACTACCCACTTTAGAACATAGATAACAACAAAATCAATAACCTATTTTTGTTAACAAGCTTAACATTACCTGCATCCAAAAGCATTTTCAGTTCACTCGGGTTAGTTTGGGGAAAAAACTGTAAAAATTCTTTGCCTCTTGCTGGTTTGTTGCCATGATTCATATTTTTAGTTTGCTGCACAGCGGCAGCAGGGCTCCTTCTCTGCCTTGCAGGTGTTAAAACCGGCGCAAGCATCTCAGGACTCACGTTGCAACAAGTTATGACATGTTGGCAAAGGATTAAACTGGTTAAACAAAAGTGCGCGGGACAACAGGCACAAATATAGGAAGTGTGGGAGTTTCTACTGTGTCAAATCAAGATATGAATGCGACTGGCTCTGTGGTCGAGCAATGCCCCATAATGCCACCCCCTAATCCGTTTGTTCTCAAAATTCACCAATTCCAAGAGTCCTAAGTGAGTTTAAAACAATTACAGGAATGAAAAGGCTCTGTGGACTTCAGGCTTTCACAAAAAAATATTTGTACAAAGGTCAAATTTTCCAGGAACGTAACAAAAAGTTGCAACCAGATTGCAACACATCAAGTCTACAGCTGTCCTGACTCTCCAGCTACAGGTACCAGGGTGCGCATGTATCCGGTGACCTCACCTGGAGTGACCTCACCTGGAGTGACCTCACCTGGAGTGGCAACACCTCCCGTCTGGTCAGGAAGGCCCACCAGTGTCTCTACTTCCTCTGGAAGCTGTGGAAAGCAGGACGTGGGTGTTCAGTCCTCAGGATCTTCTGTCACTGTGTGATGGAGAGCGTTCTCTGCATCTGCATCAAAATGTGGCACAGCAACTGCACAGCTGCTGACAGAGCCAGTTGCCCCCATTATCAATGTTAAATTGATTAACATCAATAATCATAACAAGAGCACAAATAGTTAAATGTGTTAAGATAAATATTTGACTAACTGCTCTTCTGTCACTGCCAGAAATCAATCTGAAGCCTAAATTGTTCTTCAACATGGCTCATCATCATTATTATTATTATTATTAATTATTATTAATATGATGGACTTCTCCATCAGTTACCCCAATATGGAGTCCATTCATATGATTGACTGAAACAAGGAAGTTATGTGATTGGTTGTTGTCTGATTGTTCCTTGTTAAAAAAAAAAAAAAAACATTTGTGGATTGAGCCTGTGAGGGGAGTGTCAAAATTCACACATAAATTCAGTGAAGCCCACTGGCCAGAAGCAGCTTGTAAGTCCAGATATATTTGTGTTTGCATCAAAAATAAAAGTGAATCTTTTTATGTGCACATGTCAGTCCTTCTGTGTATTTATGAATATTGATACAGCTTCAGCTCCATACATAAAGACACATGAATTTGTAAAAGTGAATTTACCTCAATATGTGAAAACACAACAATCTGCAGGTTGAGAATAACAGAGGCAGGCCTGTCTTTTTCATAACCAGCTGATAATAACAGACCTTTTGACATTTTGTAGAAAACATTTTGATGACTGGATAGCTGATGATGAAGAAGAAGGTTGAGCTCATTTTAGAGAGTACAATGTTAATTATGGACTAAATCCAGAGTCCTCTGTGTTATCAGCAGGAGTTGATGGGAGAGGGGGATGTGAGCTGACAGAAGAGTAAGAAGTTTGCTTTGAACAGCGAGAGCAAATCAGGAGCTCCTGCTTCTCGAGTCTCGGATTTCTCCTGAGGCTTCACAGCTTTGATTTTCACAGAGTTTGATTCTCAGTCTGAATGCTCTGAAACCTGAGGTTTTTATGTGCATACAGTTCCAACATAGCAATGTGAAGCCTCACTAGTAGACTGATTTCAGTTAGATATTTATTTATTTGGTACGTTTGTTGCTGATTATTATATTATGTTTCAATTGAATTCAATTTATACAAAACAGTGTTGTCAAGTGCAATTTATCCTGCATTCAATGTTCTCTCTCAGGGGTGCAGTTGGTAGCATTGGTGTTTGTCTACCATTCTCATGAGGATATTGTTTTATAAGAATATCTGTGTTATTGTATCATACATTTTGATTCAGGTTTTCTAGTCATTTGTTTTTAACTTCTCAGCTCTGAAACTGAGAATTGCTTTCCCCTGACTGCCAACTTCAAGTTCAACAGATTCTACAACAACATCTCAGCAACATCTGTCAGTTTGACCAACTTCAATTTGACTGAAAAAGTTTTAAAGCTAAATTTTTAACCAAAATGCCAGGACTCTACTGACATCTGCTGGCTGTGCTGTGGTACTTCCATCAAATGTGCCACATCAAATTATGAAAAAAAGACACTAAGTCATTGTCATCTTATTCTGCATATTTAAATAACTTTGAATGTGAAAGAGAAAGGAGTAGAAATAAGAGTGACTCACTGTTATTAAGTACAATGCAGCACCAGTCAAGATCAAAAATGTGCAGGATCTGGCTCCGGTCATCATCAGTTCAGTTCAAAAGAGGTTCACATTGCTTACACTCAATGGTGAAGAAGAAACAAAAACACTAGCAGAACATCACCTCAGGCTTAACTCCAGAAAAGGGGTATGCTGTAATACAGAGTCAGATTTCTGCTCTGGAATCCAAGTTTTCAAAAGTAGAAAGATTCTCTTTCTACTTTTGTTTAGAATCCCACTGCTGAACATCAAAGGTCGGCTGAGAAAGAAAGGCACATTTCACCTCAGCAACGTTACTATGATTTAACTGAGGATGGAAACATCAGCTGGCAAGTTGCTTGTGGCAATTTGTGGACGTTCAGGTTGAAAGCCTACACCAACCAGTTTGCTCTAAAGTCAGTGGGTCGGCTGTCGAAAAGTGCCAGAGTCTTTTATGGCTACATGAATGTCATTCAAAATGAAGAAAGAAAGGAGATGAGCACACAAACAAAAGAGGAAAGAAAGTTCGATCCAATAATTCATACATATCAAACTGATCCTACTTATCAAACAATGCAGTCAAGTTCAGTTCATTATTCAAATTGGGTAAAATGCTTTCTATATTTGTAAACCCAGCAGACTGCATGGAATCATTGGTGTGCAGCATTCACTCCTCCTAAACCAGCATGTAGGGACGGTGGGCTCTACATGCTGCGTGGAGTCAGCTGTAAACAGTCCATCATGCTCAGTATGTATGGCAATAGAATGAAAAGTTTCCTTTTACAGGAAGAACCCTGCTTCAAAGCCTCAGCTCAGTGTGAGTGCCCCGGGGCCACGGTTTGTTTCCCCTTCAATGATGCCACATCTGCAGAAACAATAGCAGAACTGAATTATATCCATGAATGAACAGATTTTCAACATTGGAATATTTAGGCTAAAACATGTCCGTACATGTATACATGTATAGGTACATGTATTTTCTACTTCTAACATAAGCAGGCAAATAAGACACCCAGAAATGTTTTTCCACCTCAGACATCCGGACCCAATCATCATCAGTTCTGATGTTGTCTCATACATTAAGTCTTATTTTTTCCTTTGCCATTTTTCTGTACTCTTTAAAATACAAGTGCTTTCTCTGTTTAATTGCCCTGTTGTTCTTTTTTGTAGGTTTCTGTAAAGTACAGTGAATGGGAATGTTCTGTCATAGATCCTCACTGTTCTTAGGAAGGAGAAATGTTTGGAGTAACACTGGAATACTGTGACATTGTATTCAAACTATACTCTGTCCTTGGTGAAACATTTTTCACATTTCCTCTAAAGTTTACCTATTGTTGTGCAAATTTTCATAAGCATGTTGTCTGTAAATTTTGAATAAATTGACAATTTGTACAATTCTGTTATAGTATATTGGCTCTTGATGGGGTGTGCATAAAACTGACATGAAACTGTCATAAACATTTGGTGACTGCTAGAAACATACCAACAGGTGTCATGAAGTGTCATTTGGTAAATAATGACGCTTTTAATGAGAAGTTGCTTTAAAAGTTGGATGACAGATGTTATGTTTATGACAGTGTCATAAACTTGTTATAAACAAACTTGTCAGTCTTATGCTCACTCTGTCAGATAAAGTGTTATCAAAATGGTAATATATTGAAAGCACAATGTAATTAGTTTCACAAGGAAAGTATGTTGTAATTGATCCTTCTGTGTTCTGGTACCTGATGTGTTTGCAGCACTGCAGTGTGTATGAAGCATGTAGTGTGTACAAAGTGGCAAAACAGAATAACAAAAAACATCAAGTAACTAAAAAGTGTACTTTATTAGCAATTATAATAAACCACCAAAAGAGTAATTGTAGCATACTGTAATCACACTATTGATATAGAAAATATGTAATGTCAATATACTTAAAATACATTCTAAATGTCTAGAAATATATATGAAAAGCAATATACTTCAAGTATAATTTGTGTAATTTAAGTTGTTCCAAAAAAGTATGTGAAAGTTTCTTAGTAGACTCTAAATTATGCTTTAATACAATTGAAATACTATTAAAGTATACTGAGCAGAAAATGAGTTGTTCCAAAATGTCACACATTAGGTTAACTAAGTAAACTTGAAGTATCCTCATTATTAGTCTGACTTAAAGTATGCTTAAGTATTCTAAAATGTAATATAACTAATATATTTATTTTTCACCTGAAACGCTTTTTAATATTTGATAATAAGAGCTTATAAGAGCCCGATGAGATGTTTACTCTCTGGAGAGATGAGAATGAGAAACATTAAAAAGTGAAAAATATTATTTTTCAATAATACATATATTATTGGAAAACTCCAGGCAGATTCTGAAAATGAATCTGCCTGGTAGAAAGGAGGAAGTGTTTCCTCAGTCCGAGCGTTGGGACAGACAGACAGAGAGAGACAGAAAGACAGACAGACAGACAGACACTGAGGGGGCGGCGGGACAAGCGCGGACGACCTGAGTGGGATTTTACTCATTTCCTCCAGGCAGCGGGGAGGACATGATGTGGCAGGTTAAGATAGGTTATAGTAGCCTATAGTAACTTATAGTAGCCTATGGTAGCCTCCCCTCTCCTCGCCTCCTCGTGCGGGCAGCGGGAACAGCTCTGTGGCAGCGGGAACAGCTCTGTGGCACTATCTGGCAGCGGGAACAGTTCTCTGGCAGAGGGAACAGCTCTCTGGCAGCGGGAACAACTCTCTGGCAGCGGGAACAGCTCTCTGGCAGCGGGAACAACTCTCTGGCAGCGGGAACAACTCTCTGGCAGCGGGAACAGCTCTCTCTGGCAGCGGGAACAGCTCTCTGGCAGCGGGAACAGCTCTCTGGCAGCGGGAACAGCTCTCTGTGCTGCTCGGTTGGAACCTGGACTCTCTGCCTGTTCGCTGAGGTGAGTTTGCTGCTGAACTCTCTGGTTTTGCGTGTTTTTGCAGCGCCGGACTGAACAGGAGCTCCGTGCTTGACATTTGGAACCTTTGTTAAAAGTGACATTTGTAAAGTAGAAGCATTAAATGTGAGATATTCTGACATTGTTGTCGGGGTTGGCTCGCCTCGCAGCGTGTGGAGCCACAGTCAGAGCGTCTACATGCTGTTAGCTCAGCCTCGGCTCGGTTCGGCTCGGCTCGGTTCGGCTCGGCAGCCTGTCGGGGTACTGGCTCAGTAGTCTTGTTAGGATCCGCTCTCTGCTCACATTACGTTCTCAGATTCTGACCTCCGGGGATTTCCTCAGAAGACAATGAGTTATGAGTTATTATGTAGAATCACAAAACCCTCAGTCTCGGTCGTGCTGGACATAAACGCGACTACAGGCTCCAATAATGAAGCACCTGGATGAGGTACAGCGGGATTCACGGAAAACTTCTCTGCAAGTCAGAATTTTGCCCGAGGTTTATCCTTAATATTCAGATAATACGTCAGGACAGCAGGTAATGAGATGCATAGTTATGAGGTTTACACTTCTGATTAATGTGTTCTAGTAATAATCTGCAAGAAAAACACAAGTTACTTCCACCCAGTAGGCAGAGGAACAGGATTCTGTTCTATGGAAGGAATGTTGTGGGAACAGCAGAAGGTTCAGGCTGAACAGGAACAAGCATTGCTTTATTTTGAAATCATTTTCTGTGGGTCATATGTTGGAGTTTTCACTGCTCTGCTGCAGTTCATGCTGGATGATGAACAAAGAGCATCCTGGTGATGATATGGATGATGAAGGTAGAATGATTTCATGTTTTAGTGGAGCATTTTAAAATTTTAGTTTCATCTTATATTTCTTTATTTTAAGAAGACTATTGTTTTACACTTCAATAAAAATCTTTCATTTATTGTCAAGTACATATTATAAAAAAGGCACAACAGATTATTTGTGGCCCCAAATGATAATATGAGAAGCTTTTAGGAAGAAAAATCAAATCAAATCAAATTTTATTTGTATAGCACATTTCAGCAGCAAGGCATTTCAAAGTGCTTTACATCATAAACACAAAGTAATGCATCATATAATAGACAATACATTGTTTCATATTACATTTCAAATACAATTCTAAACAGGTGTGTTTTTAGTAGAGATTTAAAGGAAGTCAGGGTTTCTGCTGTTTTGCAGTTTTCTGGAAGTTTGTTCCAGATTTTTGGTGCATAGATGCTGAAAGCTGCTTCTCCTCTCTTGGTTCTGGTTCTGGGGATGTAGAGCAGAACCAGAACCAGAACCTGAGAGTCTGGAAGGTTGATACAACAACAGCAGATCTTTAATATATTGTGGTGCTGAACCGTTCAGTGATTTATAAACTAACAACAGTATTTTAAAATCTATTCTTTGAGCTACAGGGAGCCAGTGGAGGGACTTTAAAATTGGTGTTATGTCTCTATCTTCCTGGTTTTAGTGAGAACCAGGAAAATGACTCAGTTATGTCCCTGATTGTTTAAATCAAATTGCTAACCACTTAGTGTATATCATTTCATGACTGTATGAAATGAAATAATTGAATGCAGTGAAGCAGCAGTGATACGTCCATCTGTCCACTTGCATGTGACCCAGGGGAGCTGATTAGCACAGAGCAGAGCTGACAGTGGCAGAAGTTACCAAGCGTATAACGCCATCATAGTGTGCAGGCAAAGGCCCATTTACACATTTATGAAACCAGACACTTGAGGTGATTGTTAGATTTATGAGGTCAGACTGTTACATAAGGATGGCATTACTCTGTATTTAAAATGTTCTTTTATACATCAAGATTTTACTGTAATTCTGTCTATTTCTTGTTTTCTTCTGTAAAATCTGGACATAAAGCTTCTTTTTAATACTTTTTGGCATTAAAAGGGGCTTTCATCTCTCTCTCATCTCAGTTCTGCTTAACTATTTATGCTTCGCTATAACCAGTAAACTCCACGCATAATGTTCACTCAAGTGGATGGGTGGTGAGGGGCATCTTTGTGGGATGCTCTGCTCCACAGCTGACACTTCGGTCTCCCAGCTGGAGAAGAGACAGGATGAGCAGCTTCCATGTTAGTAGGAATCATAAGTGAACACCTGATCCCTCTGAGTTCAGAGCATTAGCCTCATTATATCCGTCTGGATCAGGGGACGGTGATATAGGACTCCGACCGGCCAGTTTAGATTTAAAACACGTCAAAGGACAAAGGGGCTATTTTTTCTTTAGACTTCATCTTTGATACTGGTGATTTGCTAACGGGGTCTGAACAATGCAGAAAAATGTTAAAATGAATTTCTGATGGTCTTTTATTTCCATATGTGTTACTGAATCGGACAGAGGTGTCGCATTTCTGCTGACAGACGTTTACATCACTGACATGCATCATCATTCTGCACTAGACAAAGTAAATTTCGCTAATGGTGGTACATGTGAAGATAAACAATGGCTGAAATTTTGAAATGATGAAAGAAGCACATCACATCACAAAGCCTCCACTCCTGGTTTCAGCTATGCATCCTAATAAACTGAAGCGGCAGTCAGTGCTCCAAAGGCCTTTGTTTTTAGATGTGAATAGAGCATTAAATGAAATCATTGCCAAATATTGAACGCAGCATTTTCTTTAGGTGTGATTGACCCAATCATCTTCATATACTGATAACAGCTGTTAATCAATCTGGACTTTTTTCATTCTACAAACTCCTTCCTGTCTTTTGATTTGATGTCAATATATAAACAGCATGCTGCATGCTTTTCAAGATGGATTATTTCAAGATAGTGAAACCAAAACAACATTCTCGATAAATTAACTGCAGACTTTTAAAATACCACACTACAGTAACAATTTAACTGAAGATGGTTGTAGTTTTGTGACCCCAGTTGGTGACCCCAGTTGGTGACCCCAGTTGGTGACCTATTTGAGATCTCTAGAACTGAGTAGTTTTCTCATGTGATTAGAAAACTACTCGGGATACACATCACTGAGAAGCTGTGTGCATTCCAGTGAACGTGAGGAGCCAAGCTGTTGACCCCAGGTTGACCTCTTAGCAAAGGGTGATTAAAAAAAGCAAGGCCATTGTTGTGTCAGTCCAGCTGACATGAGAAAATGCTTAATAACTTGGTTCCTCCAAAGATTTGTTATATGTAATTGCAAAGATGGTTATTTCTCTTGGGAGAACAGTATATATAAGTATTCACCAAGGCCTCCTCCCCGAGCCATGTGAACAGGGAGGGCTTTCTTATTTTGAACTGAGATCAGACTTCCAGAAAGTTTGCACAAAAGCCTGTTGCCTAGCTGCAAAGTAAGGAGCCTCTCTGACCCCGCTGCGCCTGCTTTGTGAGGCAAGTATGACTGAGGGGATTCTCTGCAGAATTGTGTGGAATGCTGTCAGCCAGAGAATTCCCTGCCTGACTTAATTGTATTCAGTTTTTAGCTGGTCTGAGGGTGTCATTCAAGTGTAACCATGGTGCAAAGAAACGTATTTCCTACAAACAATTGACCTTTGACACCAAAAGAACAGGATCCTGTTAGAGCCTTCATTTGATTCTCAGTTTGTTTTATTGATTTTGAATATTTAGGAAAAGGTGACGTTTTAAATCTCACAAGACTCTGTTGTTTGTAGACGAATTTAGAGAAACTGAGATTTAAAGACTCTTTATTTGTGTCCCTTTTTGTTCAATGTGTTGACTGAAAACCACAGAAAAGTTATAACATGTTAAGACCAGCTGAAACACAAATGATGTTATCATCTTTAAGTCTTCAATCTGGTGCATTAGCCTTCACAAGCCCTTTTTTGAAGGACAGTTTTGTTTACAGAGACTTCATAATTCATTTTAATGATTGTTTCTCTTGTTTTCTATATTTATTTTGGACATTCCAAATGTCTTCTAGTGGCAGTGTTTAAATGTTCATTAGAATTTAACGTTTATTTATCTTTGAGGATGTGTTCTTGCATTTTTATGCCATTATTACTATCATATCACTTAAAAATGTTCTCAAAACAACAATATCATCGTTTATCGCAATAAGCTCTGGGATGATTTATCCCAGCACAATTTGTTATATGACTCATATATCAGTCTGACCCAAACATCAAAACCACACAGACACAAGGTAAACTGACATGACAGACTCAATTATATGCTATGTTTTAGATTTTATAGATGCATATCACTAGATCCCTTTTCTCTCTCTCCATCTGGGATATAAGCCATATGTATAAAATCACATCACATTGCAAATAAACGTTATATGAATGGATTCATAGTGGATTCTTCATTTTTTTTCCCTTTTTTTGCATTAATCAGAAAGCATCTTAAAGATAATCCATTTTGTCTGGATTTGGCCGTGCAGGGCCATGAGAGTGTGGCGTGGCTCAGTCCTGCTGCTGAATGCCAGTCACTTCCTGGCTTTCTGGAATGAAATGCATATGGTGATATTTAGGAGACTGTCATTACAGACTAATCTCTGGGATTCGTATGGAAATGTACGCTGTCCCTCTGCTCCTGTTTCTGATTTATAATCTTGTGTGCATGACTTTGTAAGGAGTCTGGAAGACAGAGACCCAAAATATAGTAATCAGAAGACACTGTACTGTTTATCGTTTTCCATTGCGGCTATATGATCTAGAGATGACCAATATTTCATAATTGCATCTGTAATGTTCCTTCTGAGACATGAGGGCTAAAGATGTTTGTTTTCGTCTTCTTTATTGCTCCATTCTTCTAAAATTAACTTGTTGATTATTGGGTTGAATGCGCTTCGTCTTTTTTTGCTGGAGCTGCAGCGTTGTGTTGGTTTCAACTTGGCTGCACTTTACTAATGTCAACAACTAATGGGTTGTTAAGATCAAATTGCTAGTAAGACTTTATAAGCCATTGTTACAGTAAGAATGAAACCATATACATATAGAATAACAGTATGTAATGTCTGTCGAATGCAGTTTGTCTGTCTGCATTCCACACTTTCCCTTTATTTTACTAATTTGTATTTGTGTCATTTGGTTTGGTCTTGTTGCGAACACGTTTCTTTGTTAGGTCCTTTTCTTTCTGTCTTCCCCTCACATGTTTCTTCTACTCTAACTCTAAATTTTGTTAGGTATGCCCTGTTCTGCTCTTCCTTTCTGTTTGTCCAATTTTGGTTTAAATAAGTCACGTAGACATACATAAATTTAAATTCACACTCTATCATACACACTCTAGGCTTACAGAAACTAGGTTGAGGTTACACAAGCACACACACATAGGTTAGGGAACATAACAGGGTGAAATACACATAACTGCATTTCTGAGTCTCAGTTTCGTACTACAAACAAGCCAGGTGCTATGACAATAAAAAATCCTTGAATCAAACACTTTTCATAGACTGTAAATTGTAAAACAAAAACTGTGAGATGTTGAAAGTTCCAGTTGTTATGGAGAAATTGGCAAAAATATTTACTCACAGGACATCTAAAGAACTTCTTAGAATTATGATAAGCAAATATATCCAGGCGGAGATTTGAGGCTTCATCCCAAAAGAGTTAACCCGGTAGAGGCTCATTGCATGTGTATAAATCCCAAAGACCCAATCAGATTGTGGAAATGTTCTAAAATCTCAAACTTGGTAACTTCAAATACTTGACTTGAAATACTACCGTAAGTCTGAGATTTTAAAAAATCTTCAAACACTTCTTTTTATTGTTAAAAATGTCTACATTTAATTTATGAAATGTAGATTTAGTGTTTTTATCGCAGCATGAGCTGCTCTAGTTCTGGTCAGAGCAAATCTGCCCCCTTTTTGTTGCTCTTTATGATTCTTTGGTTTGTCTCACATGATTCCAGAAGGACTGCAGATGGGTTTTACTAACTGGAAGCATACACTCATTTGTTTTTCTTTATCTGTTTCCCAGACTAGGTGTATGATGGCGTGCCGTCCTGGCCGAGTGGGTGACTTCTAGCAACAGAAATTCAGTGACACTGGCAGCCCCCCAGCAGGCCATGCTGTAGCCCTTGGATTAACAAGATTAACAAGCAGCTTCACCTTCTCAACATTTCTCAGCATCTGGAACTCTATGTTCAAAGACAGCCGTGTCACTCGCCCTGCTTCATGAGCCAGCAGGATGCAGCTGAGGTCCTCGCACTTTCCGAGCGCCTCCTCATAGCTTCACACAAGGGACAAGCCGACAATGTGGTTCAGCTTATCAACAAAGGTGCAAAAGTAGCCGTCACCAAGGTGAGATTTTCATTGAGATTGATCTTTGAGGATATGTCATGTACAGGTGTCGTTTGTTTTCATGTTCTTTACTCTTTGCTTCATTACCAGTGAAAACAGAGGATCATCTGGTTGGTTAGGCAGATCTGCTCAACAGCTCAGATCAATGAGTCCAAACATGTTTGTCAGATTTGAGTAGTTACTAAAAAGGTTTTTTTACATTTTGATGGCTTTGTTTACAGTCCTTCTTCAAGTCTTTCCAATTCTACAATATTTATAATGAGATTTTTGTTGCTATTGATCTCAAGAACATCATGTGTAATTTGCAAGGGCACTTTGCATCCTACATTTACATTCAAATTGATTGTGAATGATTAATATATCATTCAAAGGCTTTGGTTATCAACCTCTCCTCTGAACCAGTCGATTCTGAGCTGAACTATGCCGGCTTTCACAAACTCCCACACGATGCAGCTGAACAAACCAATATTGATGTGTATGTTGTTGTTGGAGACAGTTTTCTGATACAATTACAGTTTTCAACTTCACAGAACCCACTATAAGAGCACCAACAGATGAACCTGTTTATGTCAACAGGAAGTAATTTCATTAACAGTACTTAAGCTTAAATGTGTTGCACAAATTCACCTAATAGCAGCTGAGAGATTCCTGGTTTCAGGTGCAGGCTGGTTGGTTGGGCATCAGGGACTTTCTCTCCACTGATATTGCTGTTTCACGTTAGTCTATCTGAAACAAGAGAGCAGATAGAAATCACTGTTTCAGACCATGTTGATGTGTGTTCATGTGATTATACATAAGAACTACAGCAATGATACATTTGTTGCTTTGCTCTGATGGCTGTATTTTGACCAGTTGTATTTAGGCATTTTGGCAGAAGGCCATTATAAGAGCTTAATCCAGGGTAAAGAGGGCAGAGTTTCGTAAACATTGCTCTGTCCAGGAAAATCGAATGCTGGGACAGATATTAACAAGGCTACTATGGTGAACAGGTTTAGACTGAAAGAAAACAACAAGCCCCCAGTTAGGCAGTGGGGTTAGGGTTATTCACCTGTTATGGCAGATAACAGGTGAATAACAGCGGCATATCTTGGGATTGTAGATATACATAGGCAATGTATAGGCATTTTTTTACAGTATATTATATCTCAGATGAAGTAGACCAAGCAGTTTTGGAATCACTCAGTTGAGGAAAACCAACTATGGTTTTCCTTAGTATGAGTTCTTGTAATTCGATGAATGAGTGTATATTTAAAGGAGAGGACTTGCAGACTTGACAAGTTGCTAATAGACAGAAAACATGGCCCCAAAAAGGCCTCTTAACATCAGGTACACCAAGAAAAACATTCTGGAGAAAGTCCTACAAATGATCACGTTCCAAAACCCCGACACTCTGCGCTTATTGATTATGGAAACTCTAGCTTTTTTTTTTTTCAGATTTGGTGGTGTCAAAGCATTTTCATCCAGGAACATATAATTTGCTGACAGCATCATCCAACTATGATGTGCTGTGTGCATCACTTCAATGATGTGCGAGTCCTGTGTGGATGTGAGAATCCCACAGGCCAGCCTGAAGCAGAGGCCCAAGTCGGAGGCCTGTTGTATCTCTGTCACCGGCTTCGTTCCAGTGAGGTCCAGTGTAACCCAATCTGCAGGCTGATGAATGCGGATCTGTGCCGCACCCAAACACAGCAGACCTCAACCTGGCAAGGTTTCTGGTGTTTAATCCCACACACGGATCTTTTTGTGTGTAATTAAATTGTGTGTAGTCATAATAATTACAGATTCATAGTAATTATTAATACTATGAATGGGGCATCCGTCAAGGCTGTTTATCTTCATCCAGTTACAATAAAGAATGCTTCACTGTGCTGACTTTAGAAATTGTTTTAGAAAATATTCTAAATTAAACTATTTTGTTGCAACTAGGCCTGTCAGTAATGAATTAATCACATGGTAAATGAAAAAAACAAAACAAAAACTCAATCATTTTAATTTGCTTGATTAATCGTGTTTGCTTTTCTCTTTCTATTTGCCAAAAACTGAATGATAAACGTTTTCAATCTGGTGCTTTGGTCTTGACTATACCTGGGCTTGGATGTTTCAAATGTCTCCCAGTTCAAATGTTGAAATGTTCACTATCATTTAACGTTTATTGCCATTATTAATATTATCTTACTTGAAAAGGTTCTCAAAACAACAAAATTATTGTTTATCACCATGAGTTCTGGGACATTTTATTGTCCAGTAAAGTTTGTTGTCGTGACAGGCCTAGTTGGAACTATTATCTTGCAATATCCTCCGTGAGGCTGTACAGTGGCTGTAGTCTGAAGAGAGGAGGAGATCACTTAAAGGAGACTGCACTGTGTTTGGGTCCAAAGCCAGAGAAAGATGGTGCAAACAGACTATTGGAGTTGAGATGGGTTTAAGATGGACAGCTCAAGGATTTTGGACAGGAACAAAGGTTGAAGATGGGTCAGAAGTTTGCAAGATTATCAGGGACGAAACCAGGTTTCTTCAGAAAGTCGATGATGGCAGCTGGTTTGAGAGACTGTGGGGCAGAAGCAGAGTTGAGGAAAGAGTTAATCTTTGTGATGACGGAGGACATGATTAGGACACAGCATTTTATGGGAGCACAAGGGATGAGGTCCAAGGAGCAGGTACGACTTTTGATGTTTGACAGAAGTTCAGAAGATCATAACTGACAAAAATGGTTTTGTCGTAGCTAACTTTTTCTAAATAAATTCTTATTTAGTTTTCAAAAGGAAAACATAACTATAAGTAAAACAACCCCTGGCCATTTTGGTGTGGCTGGCTGTCCACAGACTCGTCTCCATCAGGATGCTCATATCATCACTCTGTATTCTCTGTTTGGCTCACATGAACAGCTGGGCAGATTTCCCGCTTCTCATAGCGCTTAGATTAAGGATTTGTTTGTTTCCAATGGATTCAGTGATGTGGTGCATTATGGTGTGTGACAGATTGTCTTACCTTGTGCTACCAGAGGATCACAGCCCATTTTACAGCAACTTAGACATTTAGAGCCATCCAACACTGAACTGTGTGTGGGATTCATCCCCTCAGTGAAGATGTGATGTCCTCTACCAACAGCATCATGTGTGCTTTTGTGTCCACAGTACGGCAGAAGCCCCCTACACCTGGCTGCCCAGAAAGGTCACCTTGAGGTTGTGCGGATCCTTCTGAAAGCTGGATGCGATCTGGACATTCAGGATGATGTAAGTGGATTGAGTCAGCCATATAGACCAGAGCTGTTTGTTATTTACTGTAATCAGCCACTTCCATTCCTAACTGATGATGGTTATGAGCAGCTGCTTCTTTTTTTGCTTTCAGATCCTTTTAAGTTGGAAAAACCATTTCAACTCTTAAGTTAATTTGAACGCATTAATAACTGTAGACTAATGGCCTTCGGTAGCCTTGAATGGGACCCTCTGGAGTGCCCACTTGTGGGAGAGCCTACAGGATGCATGTCCATTTTCCACACAGACAGTGATAAGCCAGATCCTTGGCGTTGTCAAGTGAATTCACTGTGGTCAGTGAGCCCTGCAGCTGGACGCAGTTTGTCCTCCAGGACTTGGGAGAGCAGGACTTGCAGACTAAAACAGGAGGAAGAGGAAAAGGAGGAGGATCAGGGAAGAAGACAGTGGAGAAAAATTGGGAGAGACACTGACGCATCAGAAAGAGTGAAGGAGGTTAGCCAAACCTAATTTTAATGAGCCGGTGGAACTCTGTGTCCCTTCAACCTTCCTTCCCTTAACAATCTCCAATCCTTCACTACTGGACTCGTGTCTGGCTCAGCTAAAGTCCAGCTTGGAATGACACCTTTCTCAGCTTTTCCCTCCCATTTCTCCTTTTTTCTCAGAGAAGTCATGTGCGTTGATCTTTCTCTCAGTGCTCTTATGTCACATTTGACCTGCTCAGTGTCCCTCACTGCTAATCTGCTTGTACCCAGCTATTCCCTTTGTGGTTAAGTTGAGATGTAAGCTGAAGCGCTTTCCTGGAACTCTACAATCCAATATTGTGCATAATTATGTTCAAAGGGGCATATTATTGTGGAGTATTGCTGTTTGTGTCATTTTGATGACACTTTAATCCAATTTGCATAATAATTTGGAACACAATGTATAGGGAAGCATTGCATAATGTTATTGTGGTTATTTTTTTAGAGAGACAAAGAGCTACCAGGAAACGAGAAGCACTGTGCTTTAGCATCGGACAGTGTCTGTTTTTAATACCAGCCCCTTGAAAATGACATGATATTACCTGATCAGCATGTGTTTATTACATCATGCAATCATCTGAAAAGTCCCAACATGGAATATGGGTTTTGATCATCACCCACCAATCTGTGCCTGATACAAGTCTGTTGGTCAGTTGAGTGCAACAACAATACTTAACATTTATAGCACTGAAGGCACATAAGCAGCATGGATGAGGATGATGACATAGAGCAGATGAAGGCTGAAAGTCATAGCTCCATGTGCTAGAAGTTCACGCGATGTGGGATCTCAGTGGATTACCTCGTATGATGCCAATGAACAAAGCGATCCATGAAGTGGGAGCTTGTGGTTTCATGTTCATTGCGGAACTGAAAGGAACTACCTTAAGCCTGCTCTTTAGGCGTGACATGTATCATAGGTGCATGTATTTTTTAGCATTTTGCACCTTACTAATAGACTTTTAACCTACCAATAGAAATACAGAGTGAACAAAGGAAAGCATTGTTGGATTTCTGCAAGATCCAGAGAATCTCCATCATAGCTAAACCCTTTTTTTCCTTTCTACCCAGATTTCATTTGTTTTAGTTTGGCCTCATTAAACATTTTTCCTGCTAGCATTTTGCTTAGCCTCCTCTCTAGGTGTCTTTTTTCTCATCCAAGTTAAAGATGATATGTAATTATGGAACCCCTTAAAGGACAAGAGTCCTCAGATTTAATGTCCAGTTGCTCCACTAACCACAAGTAGAGAACGTAGTTTTGGTGCACAGCAGAAATGGAAGCAGAACAAGAGTTTTCTGGGATAACTCAGCACATATATATAAATAAACAAATTGAACATATTTAATCCTATCTTTTCTTTTTCTGTTCCAAGAGTTATCTGTTGGTTTTTGAACCAACATAAAGAGTGTTGTGTAAATTACCAAGAACTGTTAGATAAAATCAGTCAATCAAGTTTATGTGTATATTGAGCACAATACAGAAAACTTATAAGACAATCAATTTTGAAGCAGGTCTGAATAAAAGCTCTGCCAGCCACAGTCAACACATGGGTTTTACAGCAAGGACAAGCGATCCAGACCAAAGGACAGATGATCTGGTTCCCACACAGCTGCAGGAAAACAACATTCAACCTTGTGTGTGTAACCCAAACAGGTTCATTTGGCGAGAGTTCACAAGCACATAATATAACATGATCAGCAGATGTTACCTTATAATAACATTTTCCACCAGAAGAGTTAACTGGGTGTGAAGTTCTATTTAAGCTAGAGTTGATCATGGTTACAAAACAACAAATGAACTTGGAACAAACACATTCATTTGGCTTTTTAATTATTACCACTAGTTCAAAGTGCTAAATGACCAGCCCTAAAACAGTTACAAGTTCTGTTTTTACAAGTTTTTTTTTGTTGTGATCCAGTGAATTCAACTTTCCACTTGGACCTTGAGGGACAAAATGATTCTTCCGTTCGCTGTGTGTCCTGCTGTAGCCTCTGGTGATCCGGGCCTTTAACAGCAAACTAATAATATTAGTATATCTCTGTAGATTTAGGTATTTTGACCACTCTTTTTTCTCCCCCCTCAATAACTTTGAACTACCAATAGGACACTTTTCTTTTTATATGTTGTTTCCAGCAACATAGTCTTTAATTTGGACAATATTTAAATGGGCTGATGTTCAGAAGATCCTTTTAAAATAAATGAATTTCTGAGTTTCAAAATGTGATCATATGTGACATTTTTATTGGTCACTCTCGTGCTCTTCAAGGACCACAAATTACTGAGAAAATGTTTGTGTTATTTTGTATGACACCGACATTTAAACCTGATAGACCTGTGCCCATTTACCTTAAACTTCCATTTGTTCCTCTTTCTCATAATTAAAAAGTCTGAAGGCTTTATTGAAGGTTGTCTTTAATGAAGGAGTTAACATTTTAAAGTGGACTTCAGAAGCCTGGATAGACTGCGCCTCTCTGAACTTCAAACATTCTGCTTAGCTTTAACCACATTCTCTGTGATGTGATCTGAACACAAAGACGAGATTATCTGATAATAACATGACATTAGAGGAGCTGCACTGCTGTGAGTTCTGGTTTCGAGAGTTATCTTTGGAGAGCGTCTTTGTAAGGAGTGGTTGTTCCAGTAAAGTTGGTTGATTTCATTCGTCATATTATAAAAATTGTTGATCCTAATCCTAACTACACAACATGAGTCTCTACTGTTGTTACTAATGTCTGGTGGCGTCAGACGTTTCTCATTGCCGTTCCTGTGTCTGTGTGCAGGGGGAGCAGACAGCCTTACACCGTGCTGCCATGGTGGGAAACACTGACATTATCAGCGCACTCATCCAGGAAGGGTGTGCACTGGAGAGACAGGATAAGGTGTGGGTCAAAAGGCACACATTCATTCACAACAACACGCAGATGCTAAAGGGTCATAAGGCCGTTCACGGTCACCATCACTTGCTCCATCTGAGCCTGCTGATTGCAGCCGAGTCAGTGTGAGAGTCTTCTCCTGAAAATAAAAATAGTACCGATAAATTATAACCACTAACTGTTTTGCTGTGCCTTTATCCAGTCACTCCAAACTCAGTGCAAAGCTGAAACTGTAAGAAATCTTGAGCGTATTTCATGAATGCTGACTTTCCCATTCACATCCGTTTGTGGTAGAGATCAGAGATGGTTTGTTCTTTCAACTAATCTTTGACTTATGGACAGCAGTTACGATCTGAAACAAAGCTAAAATCCATGCAGATCTCAAGGAAACATGTAACATTAGCAGATGTCTTATGACTGAAGCTGAAGCCAGATCTCCCAGTCGAGCGCTGCAGATAGAGCCAAAGCTCAACTTGTTTCTTTGAAACCCAAAATCCGCAAAAGCAAACAAATAATAAAAGAACAAAGATTTGTGAGCATCACGTTTTTATTTGTGCTTTTGAAGCTTATTGATGTCAAACATCCCAGTACATGTCTTTAAACTCTAACAATAACTTGACTGGGGAAGTTACTCCATCTGATGATCAGATGGAGTAAACATGATCCAAATGAGAAATCTGGAATCACTGTTAAAAGTAGCTGAAATGAATTATGAAGTTATGCTTGACTGACAGAAACATAGTGTGCTGGATACATTTAGTCAATATGAAATGTTTAGCAGCCCAGTGATTACTATCTGCTCTGCTCTTTTGTAAAATGTGTGTAACTGTGTTTTTGCTGACTATTTGTGGCAGAATGAAAACCTGAGGCTTTGACAGCATCAGTTAGTTGTATCATTAGGCTTTATGGATTCTCATACTTAGTTGTTTTATTTTGTCAATTTTTGGCTAACGCAAAGTTTGAAAAACATAACTGATTCATGCTTGACAAAGTTATACATCAATTAGTGCAGTGCTTCTCAAATAGTGGGGCGCGCCCCCTTTGGGGGGCGCGGTGCGATACCTGGGGGGGCGCGTGTGATCCTGGGGAACAGGCTTTTTTTTGGCCGTACCAGTATAAAGTGTAATTGCACACAGTAGGCGGCAGTGGCGCTCTCATTGTTACTTCTGTCACGTTTGCGACAGTGCAACATTTTACGACTTACAAGACAACAGGTTTGCCTTGGTTAGCAGTGTTAAGTCAACAAAAAGCTCCGACTGCGTTCTGTCTATGGCCTCCGTTATTCAACAACCCCCAACATGAAAAAGTTTTTCACAGGGATGAAAAGAAAGCGGAGAGAGACAAAGATAATGAGACAACAGAAAGTCAACCGAAAGCTAAGAAGAGGAAATACGACGAAGCGTATTTAGCGCTTGGCTTCACTGTGACTACAGTTGGAGAAGAGGAAAGACCGGTGTGTTTGCTGTGTCTAAAAATGCTCGCAGCGGACAGCATGAAGCCAAATAAATAAGCGCGTCACTTAAATACGTTACATCCCAATCACGCCGATAAGCCGCTAGAGTTTTTTCAGCGAAAACGTGCTGAATATTGCCAACAGTCACGGTGGGGATTGGGGGGCGCAAATAGTTTTCTTCTTGCTAGGGGGGGCGTAACGGAAAATAATTGAGAAGCACTGAATTAGTGTTTTGGAGGACCGTCTGAGACTCCTGCTGAGGGCCGGTTAACGGTTGTAGTTAGGCTGGAGAAGACATCTTATCCAACCTTAAAGTATATATAATTCTGCATTCTTGCTGTCAGTTCACATCTGTTTTTGTCCTCTGAGGAAGATTGTTGTAGATGATGCACCAGTTCAGAGTAGAGGGGTAGATGCCATGTTGGATGACATGATCGAGCGTGTCTGTATCTTTGAATGATGTAATAGTGAAATTTCACTTGTTTTCTCTGTAGTTTGTTTTAATTTAGTTAAGCTGATCGAATTGTTGAGCAAATTTGTTGTGTTTTATATAGGACAATACATGTTATAATGGAGAAAATATCAGTAAAACATGGCAAAAATCTGCATCATCAACATTTGAAAACTAATTTTAATGAATAATTTGAGGGTAAAAGAAGAAACTGAAATAATGAAGGCAGAATATACCTCAGTGTTTTCACATAATTTATTATAAATGTCGACACTCTCAAAATGTCAGTGTTCATTGACTCAAATAAAATCTTCCACAGCAGGATAACCAACTGTGTTTGTGCAGAATATAAGTATCTTTACTCCAGGTGTCTGTCTGTGAAATATTGTAGCTCTTTTTGCTTAATTTGGTGATAATTACACAAGATGCTGCTCAGCTGTAAGGCCCTCAAGTGTGTTGACAGATGTCTGACCTTTCTAGAGTTCTCATAACCAAAATTGAATGGGTCATTTAACATCTAGATTCTCAAAAGATGACTTTCTGTGTGAGACGGGGTTTGAAAAGAAATGTCCTTTTTGTGTTCAACACTGTCAGGATGGCAACACCGCTCTTCACGAGGTTTCCTGGCATGGATTCAGTCAGTGTGTGAAACTGCTGGTGAAGTCTGGAGCCAACGTTCATGCCAAAAATAAGGTATGTTATATGAGAGCATGTAAGGGCAATATAGAAGGGTTGCCCAGGTTCTTTCATCAAGATCTACCTCCCTTTTACAACTTAACATTCATCCCAGGAATTGTCCAGTTAGACAACTGAGCTCTGCAGAGGCCTGCTAATAGCCATTCATTTGATCATTCAAATTTGATTGATGATGTTACTGATCATCATAGCAGATGATCTGTAACATCTGCTATGATTCAGGTGTGTTGGAGAAGTAATGTGTCTAATGTGAGCTCTGGAGGACTTCATGTGGAAGCTCCAATGTTAGAGTTGAAGGATTTGGCCAGGTTACATGTACATGAGTTTGATCTGACATTTCTTTGACTTAATGAGTCTTTTGTTCTGCTTATAATATGCAATTTTACTCATTATGGCATATAATGTCTCAGAAAATCATATCTGAGACCAGACTAGTCAAAATAGATGTTTTAAGCACCAATGTCAGTCCACTGAATAGCAAAGGCACACCGTGGCATGGAGGGGATCAGCCTGTGACTCTACATAGAAAATAACGTGGCCAGAGCTCTCATTCAACATGAGGTGTTTTTATTCGATGTTAAACAAATAATGATGTGTTTATTCATTTGGGTTATATTTGCTTGTATTTCATTGAATTTCAGGTCATTTTTTTTTCATATAAAGCTACAAAGCCTAGTTTCTTTCTTTGGTAATTGCTATTCTTGTTCAGATGGTGACTACTGGATCGTAGCCTCAGCTGCCCCACAGGCCACGCTGTCATGCACGGCACCTCCACACACCTATGTGTGTGTGGAGGTGCTGGACTAGAAGAGACAGGGAGGAGAATCTGAAGTTATTGTCAGCAGTAGCTGATTTCTCCCTTCATGAAGGTTTCACAGCTGTTGCAGCTGTCACTGATGGCACCATCTGAACTGTAACACCTGTCAGTTGTAGCTTCTATGACAGAATCAGAATTATTGCTGGAATAATGACAACCATAGGAGAGTAGTAGGATTATGTAACAGAGTAAGGAAAGTTGTCACAGCACAATTTGTCATTTACGTCCGGTTACTTGAAATGTCTTCTGATTCAAAGAATTATTTTAGAAAAAATCTATATTTCACTGCTGTGTAAACGGTACTTCATGCCTGCATCTTGAATGTGTAGACATGTTGTTTATCAAACAGATAAATTGATATAGAAATGTAAGGGATTAAATGTGAGAGCATGACAGATAAATATGCATGTATTCAATCAGAAGGAATATGTGAGAGAACTAGAACCCATTTCAATACAGAAACTATCTGAGATGACAAATTGCTGCACAAATATGGCCTGCTTCCTTTTTTTCTTCTACAGTAAGATCACAAAAATCTAAAGATTGTGTATATGATGGATAAAAATAAATATCGGCATTAGCATATTCTGTTTGACTGTTTTCAGGCTGGGAACACAGCTCTCCACCTGGCCTGTCAGAATGGTCACACCCAGAGCTCCAAGGTTCTGCTGCTCGGTGGATCCCGACCTGACAGCCAAAACCATGTAGGTTTTCACCATGCTCCCGGGACAAGCACGATTCACTGCCAACATTCCGGAAATGAATCTAGAAACATTGTTTGTTTTTTTTCAGTATATTTTGGCTCCACATGGATCGCCACACCCAGTGTGCAATCCAATGTTAACATTTTGAGGCAGTTGTGAGAACTGATGATGGAGACATTACCATGTCTCTATCAGCTCTATGAAATGATCCGTCTCTAAACAATACAGACTGATTTTACCAACACAGCTGTTTAGTCTCGAATAACTTTCCAGGAATCCTTGATCATGTGAACCTGCTCCTCATTGGTCAAAATGTTAACCAGGAATCATTCAAACTTTGAGCATTTGTCATGTGGACCTCGAAGAGCTCCAACCCCTTTGAAACATCCAGTTTTTTAATGGAAGCCAGAGTTTATTAGCTCTTAGTTGATGATGAAACAGATGTTTGTTTATTGTGCCTTTGAAATGCACTCTGACATCTGGTTCTGAGCTGGGCAGATGCTGGACTATTTCCATGTCTCCATCATCTCTTAATTTTGCTGCTCAACTATGGTAAAAAACAAATCATAATTCTGTGTTAATTTTGGTCAATGTTAAAATCACCCACTTCTAACTCATTAACTCACAAAGTTTAGAAAGACTATGTGGCAAATTTTTTCCATAAGTAGGAAAGAGAACAAATTTGTTGTTGCACAATAAACTAAATGCCAGAAGAGCTTGTTGTTATTGTCTTAGCAGCAGATGGCCACAGCTGCACCAAGAGCTCACAGTTTGAAGCTTCACTCGTGTGTAAACTCTCTCAGAACAGCCTTTGTCAGTGTTGACGCCTTTCTGCTTTTGGTTCCTAGCAAACATACAGTGGACCTCAGCTAATGAGCCTCCATCCACATGTTCCCCTTCAAAATGTTCTTGGTTCCATCATTAGGGCAGGTTATCCAGGTCCTGATGTAACAATGCAGCCCCACATCATCAAGCTACCACCACCATGTTTGGAATGAAGTTCTTTGTAAAAATTTATTATTATTGTTATTATTATTATTATTATTATTATTATTATTATTATTATTATTATTATTATTATTATTATTATTATTTCTTTGTTTATTTTTTTCAAAGATCCACTTTTGTCTTGTCAATTTTTACAATAATTTCCCAACAGTCTTCTGGATCATAAAGCTATATTATCTTTGCAGAGATGTAGAGACATCTTCTCCTTTCTGTGATGTTTGAGTGAAAGCATATGGAGCAGTTGAGCAGCTAATGCTAATGCATTATACACTGCTTTCAGTCTATTATGTAACACTGCCATGTGGGTTTTTGTATGCAAAGTGGTTCACTAGGAGCTGGTCATTTATGTCCAATTTTCATGCTGAATATGGTTTTAATTAAAGCAGCATCTGAATCAGCCGAGATGGAGGCTAATAGCACAAGTGAACAGGATCCTTGTTAAATAAGGAGCAAAATCACAATAAACACATCAAACCTTAACTAATGAGAAATGTTTCTGTGGATATGTTTACTTTTGATAAAAATGTACAGTAGAGTTTTGAAAAATAAAATAAATAATGTTATGGGTTTTATTTCATTATAAAATAAAACATGAGGAGAAAATAGATGATCCAGTATTGTGGAAAGATTCCATTCAGTTGTTTAATTCCCACAGGCCTGTAGGAAACGACATCAGCATTTTTCTGCTTATCAGTATCATGAGAGGATGCAGGTGGCCTCGCGGTGCAGAATGCTGCAAACCACTAAGCGCGCCATTCCACTGCTTTAACTTTGGCTCAACACAATGCAGTTTTAGCACAGCTTTATCTGTCAAAGAGATTTATACACACATAATCCAAATGATATGTATTTGTTTGTGCAATGTGGTCTAATCATATTTAAGTACTGAAGTAAGAATAGTTTTGAGTCCTACACTATAAGTAATGAAAGCTGTGACAGAGCTCTGTGGTGGTTTCTCTGGAGATGCATCAGTGAGCGTCAGCCTCATCTTGTGTTGGGTCCGGACAGAGACCGGAGGTTTCTCTTGGCCTGACATGTTGCAATGGCAGCCTTTCAAATATGAGACATTTTTTGATGGACTGAAAGTCACAATATCTTACTGTCGTTTTGTGTTAACGATTAAAATGGTAACTGTATGACTGTGACTGCATGGCACATACACACTTACATCAAGTCCGAAATCTCAAAGGAGTTTCAACCTCAAATTTGTGCTGCACACACTGATTATCTTGATCACACATAGGAAGTGTGCAGCTCAGTAGTAAGAATCACTTTCCTTTATGTATCTGAAGATACCTATTTAAATGGGTGTGTAATTTAAGAGCAGTAGATTTGTGTCCTAAGGACTTGACTCAGACTCCTGGTCTGACACTCAAGTCTTAGTAACTGACATTATCTTATGTTTAATTGTGAATGTCAATGTCAAATTTATGTATATAGCACTTTAAAACAGGTATAAAACTGCACCAAAGTGCTGCACAGGAACGACAGTAACACAAGTAGATAAAACAGAATATCAAAAAATTGCTTCAGTTAAAAGCCAACGAATAAAAATGAGTTTTGAGAAGCGATTTAAAATGATCCAGGCTGCTAGCAGATCTAATCTGAAAAGGCAAATTGTTCCATAAATTAGGAGCAACAACAGAAAAAGCCCGATCTCCTTTCCTTAGTCGGGTCCGAGGGACTGTCAGTAAAAGCTGATTGTTTGATCTGAGGGTTCTGGACACAGACTGAAATTTTAAAAGATCCTGAAGAGAAGGGGGAGCTAACCCATTTAAAACTTTATAAGTTAATAAAAGAATCTTAAAATCTATTCTATACATAACAGGCAGCCAGTGTAAATTGACCAGCGTAGGCCTTATATGGTCATGCTTCCTGGTTCCTGTAAGAAGCCGTGCCGCTGCATTCTGGATCAATCTGTGATTTAACCATGCCACTATATAAAGAATTACAATAATCCAGACGAGTGGTAATGAAGGCATGGATCAGTCCTTCAAAGTCCTTAAAACAAAAATAAGATTTGATTTTTGCTAAAATCCGTAGGTGATAAAAACTCGATTTAACGACAGAACTAACTTGTTTATCGAGCTTTAAACAGCTATCAAAAGTAAAGCCAAGATTCCTAACTGAGGTCTCACAAAATTGAGCTAAAGAACCCAGAATCTGATCTGGTTTGAAAACGAATCTATTGATCAATGTCTCATTACAATCTGATGGTGGATTCTGCCAGAAAACAGAAAATGTTATCATCATTGGGTGTTTAATGAACCAAAACAAATTCCCACTACAACGAAAATAGTCCCAGGAATAGATACCAGAAAACCTGTTTGGTGAGCTGAAGAAGGGATTGCATAAGACAGAGCAAAGTAAATACAAAAATTAGTTTTCAAATGATAATTCATTTTTAAAGGAAAAGCTATCCCCTAAACCTAACAACTTGGTTGGACAACCTAGCGAAGGACAACCTTGAAGCGATTGTGATACATGAGTTCTTCATAGGATTGTGGAGGAATTTGCATCTTATTGGTGTGTGTGTGTGTGTGTGTGTGTGTGTGTGTGTGTGTGTGTGTGTGTGTGTGTGTGTGTGTGTGTGTGTGTGTGTGTGTGTGTGTGTGTGTGGGAGGGATGAGTTGGGGGGTTGTTGAGGGAAAGGTTTTGGAGGCAAGTGGTGTTGAAGTATTGACTGACCTTTTATACTTAAACAAATCCAGATGCAGTAGGATCTGGTTGGTTTGAATCATTCTTTTCCATAAGGAGGAAACTCTTTTTCACAACAGTTTGTGTGATATTATATACTAGGGGTTTAATGGTACAAGCCATACATTTCTGATAAAAACATGTTGGTTGAGGACAGACATGAAGAGAATGAATACAGCATTGTTTTATTTCTGGAAATATGCACAATATTTATGTGCAGAACTAAGTGCCCAAATGAAATGTTCTGTAGCACATTAATCAAAATGGAAATATTATGGTTTCTTGAGCACCTGCAGTTTTAAAAAAAGTGGATTGAACCCAAGCGTTTTAGAAATTTAAGAATAACAAAAATGTTTCGAGTATTTTAATAAGTTGTGTTGGTCATGTCCCTCCTGTTTTACACATATCTGCATATCTGAGTTCATGAACTTGTATTTTGTCCCAAGGCAGGCGACACCTGTCTGCATGTGGCAGCTCGCTACAATCATGTGGCCATGCTGCGCATCCTGCTGGGAGCCTTTTGTTCCGTGTCAGAGAAGAACACGGTGAGTCTGTTCAGTAAAGCCAGAAAAAATGTCAAAGCTTTTTTTTTTTGAAAAACAACTTTATTTTTAACCATATTATTTTGATCAATAAATCAGGAAAATTTAAAAAATGAATACATAAATCAATGTAGGGTGTGCCTCTTAAATTTTATCTGCAAAGTAATGTAAGTCAAGCTATTTAGCTTGTGTTAATATTAAATACATCTAAACCTTTGAAAACAAAACTGGTCCAAAACAAAGAAAGTTGAGGCTTTCTAGAGGCCTGCATTCATTAGCAGGAAGATGGACAGACCCAGGAATCAGACGTGTGTTTGTGAAACACTTACTCTAACACTGAGCCACCCAGGTTTCCTCAGAGTTGTTGTAGATCCTGGTGTCAGAAAGAATCTCCTGTAGCAGTCAGTGTTGCAGCAGCTCTGAAGAAGCATCAGCATCAGAGCCCAATGCTTCACTGATGTTTTAATAACATGAATCTGTTATTAAAACATAACAGATGCATGTAGATGATGATCTGTTTGTACGTACCCATCATTGGACAAAGAAGGTTTTTGAGAGCGTTGCCAGAACAGAAGCAGCTTCCTCAGAAGCTCCTTTAAGTCACTGGTTCAGAAGCTGCTTCACCAGCAGATGATGGGACATAACATTACACTTACACCTGTTGTAATAAACAATTAATTAATTAATCGCATGATAAATTAAAAATTTCTATTCTGATGATCATTTCTTCCTATTTTATTTATTGTGTTTGTGTTAGATTGTGTTTAGTTTTTATTTCTGTTTTATTTATTTATTTTATATGTTTAGGTATGAAAATTGGTGTTAATTATTTATAAAATGACAGTTTATTGGTCTTTGAAGGAACGACGTGCGTTACTTTGCCACTATCAGTATATTACTTGAGAATGACCTCAAAACAACAATACTATAATTTATCGCAATAATTACTGGAACTGGATGATAATCCAGCAAAACTGGTCATTATGACAGGCCAGTTGCATTCTCCGTAAGACATAAGATACATAAGATATGTTGTTCCTAAACCAAATCTGCACACTCAGAGCCTACTTAATGAATCCCTGAATCCCAACAACTTTATAGATATGAATGGGTTTTTTTGTCCAGCAGGTTGGAGACACACCACTCCATGTGGCAGCTGCCCTGAACCACAAGAAGACTGTTCGTCTGTTACTGGAGGCTGGAGCCGACAGTCACATTCAAAACAATGTGGGTTCATCTTATTGATTATTATTGTTACACCGCAAAGTAGTGGAACATGTTTCCAGTGTGATGGGCGTTAAAATAAGACTTAAACAGTAATGATTCTGTAGTTGATTCTGTCTCTTTCAATACTGTAAAAATAAAAAACCCTTTCCAATAAATACATATTCAGTATAACCAAACACCTACTTCATGAGAATCTGTCCCAAGATCTTTTCTCAAAATGCTTCACCTGAGGAGTTTGAACTACATTCACTTTATCAACAGACTAGTTGATATTTGCTTTTTAATTTTTTACAATGTGAGGTCTTGGAAAAATGAAATTAGTCTTATCAGATTTATTATTTGAGTCTGAATTCTGGTAGTCAGATGTCAGATTGATTTCACTGTTACTGTTGATGTTCTGTGACAAAAGAACAAAAGAACATCTTTGACAGACACAATAGTTGTTTATATAAATTAAAAACAACAACTTCTGTTGTGCTCAGTCAGGTAGAGGCATCTTTATGAGACGAGGAACTGATTCATTTTAATGGTGACATCTCGAGGTAAAACCTCCCCGTTCCTTCACTGATAGAAATCACAACGATGTAATAATAGATTATACAACTGGTTGGTGCTCTTGCTGTATCTATTAGAATCATTTTTTAGGAATCTATAATATTTTGAGCAATCAGTTCCTTGTAATTGCATGCATATTTCTATTAAGTATCAAGAAAAATAGACATGCAGGTAAAATATGTTTTAATGGTTAGAATATGAGACTTCAGTTTACAATTTAAACTGAGCAATAAGGCTCAGTTATGAGAAAAGATAAACTACACAAAATAATATTTTAATCTTTAATATTTTAATCTTTTTCAAATTCATCAAAAGGATGAAAACTTAATTTACAGAAAAATATATATTTTTACATAGAAAAGAATAACAGATTTGTGTGTATAACTCAAGATTCCAGTTTTTTCAAACCAAATCAAGGAACACTTTAATAAAGAAAAAAAATTGAGAGCTTAATCAAGAATTACAATAACTGTAATTTGCACACTACTATAGGAATAAAATGGGGCTGGAGAGCCAGGTGAAAGTTTGATGACTAATTGGATGTTTACCTGAGGCTAACAGGAAGTCAGACAAAGCAATCAGTTCCTGATCGTAAAACATGCATCATTTATTATGCACAGCCCTTTTTCTTTCTTGCTTGCTGTTGTCAGGTTGTTGCCAGGTTTTCCGATCAGCCACAATAATTCCCTCCTGACTGACAGGACTGCAACATTAACTCAAGCGTTGAATCGTGTATTGAATAAATCTCAATGGCTGAATTATTTAGCAGCCTTCAGACTTCTACATTTGACAAAATGAGACCACTGATCTTACTGAAACCTTTTCACTTATCCTGTCAGACATTCTGATAAACAGCTAGAGCACCTGGTGAGGTCAAATTGTCCTGTTCAGAAATAAGAACTTGCTTTGACTAAACATGGTTCTCTGTTTGAAGATGAGTTAAATTTCACATCTGTCTGATGCCTGCATGAAAAAAGTTTTTGTTCCTTTTTATAAAGTACTTTAGATCTGGCACACAAGCCTCATCAGAACATATATTCTAAATGACTAAATATGTCTGTAAAGAGAACATATTTAATGTTGCACTCAGTTTCTCTGCTTTGCTGTGTCTGTATCTGCAGGCAGGCCAGACTGCTTTGGACCAGTCCAGAGATCACAACAACCCAGAGGTGGCTCTGCTTCTAACCAAGGCTCCCCAGGTACATCGCTCTGAAGACCAATGAAGCAATAAGCACAACCATGCTCAAACAAGACCGACATTTTTATTCTCTTGCTTTAGCCGTCAGGAGAAAGTATTCAATTAGGCAGATATTCATATGAAGGCTGATGAAGGCTATTTTAATCTTAAACACACTACAAGCCCAAAGTTTGGAACTTATCCTACTTTTAGTGGTATTTTCTGCGTTAAAGTTAGCATGATATATTATTATCTTTTAGTACATGTTTATCCTGTACTAAATAATAACATCAGGAACTTTACTACTTCTTGCTTAGATGTGTCAGCTCCTCTAGCTTTAATGACTCTACAACCTCTGACACATGCTGTTACAGACTCATTTCAAATTGTATTAAAATAATCTCTACTCAAAAATATGCCATCATAATAATGGGATATTGTTATAATATTTCTTTTATATCCCACTATAGCATACAACAACAGGAACAATTATTTTAGCATTTTGTAGGTTCATTAAAAATAGAAAACTAAGAAACCATTTCTGTTCACAGCCTTTGCTTCACACTTTGTTGTTTCTTTTTTGGCAACAAGACAGAACCTCAGCAGCAGTTTGGAATATGAAGTCGCCAGTTTCAGGCACGTTAGCCCGTTGTTCTCCAGCTCCACATCTGTCAGACATTTTGAATCAGAGTCAAGTCAGGATGTTGACAGCATGGTTCTCCTGCCTTAATCATTTCCTCACATGGAAACTGCATTTGACTTAACCCTAAAAATAAATCCTACTTTTCTTTAGTTGGATATTTTCAGCACAACATTGTTGAACATTTAAATAGAGGAATGTGGTGCATATTTATAATATCCGATCATTCACTAAACACGTCGCAAAATCAATACTCCTACTGGTTTTGAACTAATGCATGTGTAACAGGAAGCTGGTCGCTTCCAGACCCGCTGTGTAAATAATCAGACATTTCTACCAACAGCCTCAGCAGAAATTTATATAATACTCAAATATCCATTAGAGTCTTTGGAGCTTTGGAATTAAACATGACTTTTATTCCACAGACATTAGTGGGCCTGGTTAAATGCATTGTGGCATGCTGGCAACAGGTCACCACAAGGATAATCCTTTGCACTTAACAGGACAAAGTATCATTCTATTTCTGTTGTTTATTAGACATGTCATGTTGTCAGAGAGCTCCTCTACGATCCCACACTGAAAAAACAAACTATGAACACTGTAGTTCATAGTACAGTGAAATATAATTTGCAAGTGAGTTTACACAAACAAAATGCACATCATGGATCAATGATTAGAGAAAAGTTAAAACACAGAGCTTCTTAGCTCCAAGAGGCAGTGTTCCCACCTGAGGGCTGATGTTCCCACCTCAGGGCTGATGTTCCCACCTGAGGGTTGATGTTCCCACCTGAGGGCTGATGTTCCCACCTGAGGGCTGATGTTCCCACCTCAGGGCTGATGTTCCCACCTCAGGGCTGATGTTCCCACCTGAGGGCTGATGTTCCCACCTCAGGGCTGATGTTCCCACCTCAGGGCTGATGTTCCCACCTCAGGGTTGATGTTCCTACCTCAGGGCTGATGTTCCCACCTCAGGGTTGATGTTCCCACCTCAGGGTTGATGTTCCCACCTGAGGGCTGATGTTCCCACCTCAGGGCTGATGTTCCCACCTCAGGGTTGATGTTCCCACCTCAGGGCTGATGTTCCCACCTCAGGGTTGATGTTCCCACCTCAGGGCTGATGTTCCCACCTCAGGGTTGATGTTCCTACCTGAGGGCTGATGTTCCTACCTGAGGGCTGATGTTCCTACCTCAGGGTTGATGTTCCTACCTCAGGGCTGATGTTCCCACCTCAGGGCTGATGTTCCCACCTCAGGGTTGATGTTCCCACCTCAGGGTTGATGTTCCTACCTCAGGGTTGATGTTCCCACCTCAGGGTTGATGTTCCTACCTCAGGGCTGATGTTCCTACCTCAGGGCTGATGTTCCCACCTCAGGGTTGATGTTCCCACCTGAGGGTTGATGTTCCCACCTCAGGGTTGATGTTCCTACCTCAGGGTTGATGTTCCTACCTGAGGGTTGCAGTCTGATGTTTGAGGGAGGATAGAGTTTGGCTGGTTGCTGTAGCAACAGAGTTTGGATTATCCAGGATGGTTCTGCACTGAACTTTTCTTTCACCTGATTCAAATTCTGCTAAAAATTTCTATTAAGCACCTTTTGCTATTCAATTCTTAATGTATTAATCCAAAGCGAATCACCAACTCAGCCATAAACTGTCAGTTTTAGGCTGAGCAGAAAGGTTTTAGCTGCAGATGCGTCCTTTGCTGCAAATGATCACTAAAGGAACGCTGTGTTACATTTCTGACAATAACATTTTCTTATGTAAAGGAGGAATTGAAATATTTGTTTATTTGAATCTTTTAAGATATTTTTAATTTGTAAAAAAGTGGATAAATGAAAAATCTGTAGAATGTCCCAAATATTTTGAAGCCGATTGATCGTCAGAATGACTGATTACTGAAGTAATGGTTTGTTGCGGTCAGGCTACAACCTGCTGGTGAAAGAGCAGACAGGAGGATCAGGAAGCCTGGACTCCTCCAGTCTGGTCTTGATGTGGACCCCTGGTAGTTGCAGTGTTAGACTAACCATTGTCTAAAGCTGTACTATCTTAATCATGTCTTATAAAAATATCATTTTTAATAGAAATTGGAGTTATGCGTGTGTATCGTTGTGTGATGTGCTCTGTTTGTGTCGTGTGCAGGTACAGAGCTTCATGCGCGGCAGGACTGTGAGAAAGAGGAGAGAGAAGCTGAAAGCAGAGCGCCGAGCGCGGTCTGTGCCCAGAGATGATCTGCTGAGCTGTAATGTAAGTAAATCAGGAGGACCGTGTTAAAGTCCATGTCGGATTCCAGAGTTTACCTTTAAAATAGGTCAAAGAAAATCAAATCTGCTTCTTTAAAAAGGTTTGATGTTTTATTTTGTTTCCGTCTCTGATTCTCACTGATGCTGAACAAACCTCTCATTCAATCTGACCAAATACAAATAAAACTAAATATTTATGCAAACATTCATAACTTGGCTCAAACACAGCTAATGAAAGACTTCTCCCTGTTGTCTAAGGCTCAGACTAGATGCTTTTTCCATATCATAGCAGTGGAAAAAACATCCCAGTTCAGGAAACATCCACAATTCATGAAATATGTAGCTATACTTACAGTACGTGTTCTTTATAATTCAGTGATTTGAGTTTATGGGAAATTGCTGCAGCTGACATTAAGTATATCTTGGTTTTTATTCATATCATTGTTTGGTATTTTCTGCCAATTTTGTACTTGTCTTATGTATGTATTGATTGATTGATTTTTTTTACCAAACATAATTTTATTTTTTGTTTTGTGATTTAGCTACTTGTCATTGTTGTGAAGCACTGCGGTCAGCTGAGGTTGTAATAGCGATAAACTTTGCCTTGACAATAAACCTCTGATGCAGTAATGAATCCAACAGCAGGAAAACAGAGACACAGTTAGCACTGCTGAGCTGAATCATAAAGAACTGAAGTGAACTCATCTGTAATCCCCAAAACACAGCTCCAGTCAAAGTTTTTCTTTTCATGATATTTCCATTTTTCTGCTTCACATTTGAAAACGTAATGCTTATTCCTTGAACTGTGTTTTGCAGGACAGTGCATCTGCTGCAGACGGCACCCAGAGCAGCGACCCAGCAGCTCCACTGGCAGAGGGAAGCAGCAGACAACAGAAGGCCAGGAAGCAGAAAGAAAAGGTGAAACGCATGAAGCTAGGGTTGCTGAAGAAATGGAAGAGTTGTTGCTGGGGAAGTGCAGGAAAACACAATAACTTGTGGGATCATTGTTTTGGCAGCCATCTTTGTCCGAAGCTCTCTGCAGCAGACAGATCAGGAGGAAAAAGCAGACACATGGAGCCTCCCCGTATGGACCCGTTCCACCTCACAACTATAAAGCTTATCAACTCTACACACTCTACAGGGGCAAGGATGGCAAGATCATGCAAGTAAGCAGCCAAGGTCTCCTCTTGTCAGCGTCATTCTGAGTTCTAGTAACACTTACTGGACTGATAAGTGCTCAGAAATTAGAGTTAAAAACATTATATTTTATCCTCCGGCCTTTTCTAGATTGTTCAAGATACCAGACCAGCAAATCCTAAATAAGTGATCATCCTGCATGTGTTACCCTGCAACCTTGGGTGGCAGAGTAATAATATATTAGAAAAGATCTTCCTCCAACGTGTGACACAGAAAAGATGAGACACACACGTTGAGTTCTCGTTAACAACCAACGGAAGATTTATTCTTTTTTTCTGCAAACATACTCCATATTCAGTACTTTATATCTTTTGTCATTTTTAAAAATCAAAACAGAAGCACATGAGTTTGTTTTCAACCACTCCAACAACTTTCCTTCAACACAATGATAAGATATTCTTTATAACTACTGGAGCCCAGAAAGATGAAGTCTATTGAACCCGTTACAAAATAGCAATATTTTACCCGTTACAAAAGAAAAACATAACTGAAAAAGGTGTAATGCTCCTTTAATGGCGGTCTCGTTACTAACTGACATATTAACGGCCCTTAGTTACAATGTCGTTGGTTCTTGACAAGAAAACGCCATTTTACAGAAAAAGAAATGAAAATAGTGTAATTTATCTGAAAATTGTTTCAATATTGTTAAGAATTAAAAAGAGGAATAACTTGATTTAGCTCGTTAATTCATTCCTCTTTTTCCCGAATTCTTGTGTCTGTATATATGCGCAGTGAGAAAGAGCAATCATACGATGTCAGACTTCAGATATCCAGAGTTTTATCCAGAGAAAATCAATGCAAGAAGAATGTTACAATAAGCATCTCACCTAGATCATCAAAAGTCCAAGACATGACAAAACAGAAATAATTAACTGAGTAAAAAGGGAAACAGAAACAAACAAAAGATGCATCTTTTGGGAAACTCTCACTCAGCACAAAGAGATTCGAACTTCTGCTGTAAAACAAACCATTTTATAATAATGTATATTCTCCTCATTTAAATATATGCATTAGGAGGTGTGTTTTTTTCCTTTGTGTGGGCTGTAAATGTTAATTTTATTACCTCTGAGACCCACTGAAACACCCAGCTCTTCTTGTACCAGCCTCTGGCCAGACTGTGATATATGACCTGCAGCTGGAACGTTATCTCTGCCTCAAAATGCTTTAACAAGAAACCAGTTGGTATTTAAAACAAATTCGCACAAAATCTATTGCTTAATACTAACTATAAGTTTGGATCTAAAACTAACTAATTAAAAACATGCCTTTTAATGCTTAAAGAAATATACCAATATGTTTGATTATATGTTGTATCGGACTTCTATAGTTTTTAATGTTTGTCTGAACTATTCAACCCTGAGTAAAGAATTTATTGCCCTGATAGGCAATACACTCCCTGTCTGAAATGTTCCTTAAGGAGTATAAGACTGCTTTCTGATTAGAAATTTATGTAAGTTCAGAGTCACCAGTTGTCATAGTTTGGATTTGTATCTAAGTTTATCTTAACGTAAAAGTTAACTTGTGTACTATTGTGCTATTTTAAAATTCTATTTCAACAATATATACAAAATTCAACAGTTCAATAGAAACTCAACAGTCTTTTAAACGTTTGTCCACACAATACTCCTCACAAACCGGACAACATGACTCACTAGGCGACTTCCCATTCAATAACATATTCAGTTCTCAAAAGTAATCTATATTCATGCATCAAGATACATTTGAACTAACCTGTGACACAGAAAAGATGAGACACACACGTTGAGTTCTCATTAACATCCAACAGAAGATTCATTCTTTTTGTGAGCTCAATCTTTTCTATGCCACCAATGGAATGTGCCCCTAGTGGTCATGTGGAGAATTGCATGGACTAACGGAAATAACGCTAAATAACTTATTACAACAAGAAATTAAAAGATACAAAATGAAAAATTATGTTTGGGGTGTGTCTATTTTCTTACTTATTGTGTTTATTTTCTAGAAACTTGTTTTTCACCCCTCTACACATGCTAGCTCACACTGCTAGAGTTTAAAGAGCAGATCTGCTGGCTGCCAGTGAGTGTGTGCTTGTGTGTGTGTGTTGTGCTGTAGGCTCCACTGAACGGCTGCCGCTGTGACCCACTGCTCAGTAAACTGGAGAACCAGCTGGAGGCCACCAAGGAGGAGATGAAGACAGAGATCCACGCCATGGAAGACCTGGTCAACAAAAAGATGGGTCAGCTGGACCGCAAGAGCAAACACCAGGTAGACTCTGCTGCTCTCTCAATTTTATCACACAAGCTCAACGTTATAAGTACTGAATGTAAACAATAATATAGTCTAGATTAAATGTTCAACATTTTTTGCAGAACATATTTTGTAAGTATTTCCAGCTTTGACCTGCGTTGAGCTGAGCAGCTCTGAAACAAAACACTTCCTGAACTCAAGCATCGACTCTGGATGATGCAGAATTAATTCCAGCTGCTATCATCTCCATAAAATGTCTGTTTGAATCCCATTTTCTCCTGTATTTGACATTCTGTATGCTGACACTGCTTTAGCATGAACAGACTAATTAGGAGATTGTTCAAATCTTTTCTTCATTTGATTGCTCCGTGGTCTCAGTCAGCCTGCCCTCGGCTCTGCAGCGTTTCCCCACCATATGCAGGGACACAAACAGAAGACTCATACTATACCTCCAACTCTCTTGATTAATGAAGATGCATGTGAGGAATATTGAGGCATCTGGTTTGTCAGCTCACCTCTGCTGATCCTGTTTGTGAGCAGGAAAGACTGTTTCCTGGGAACCACAAATAATTTATTGATTCTAGGAGGAGAGGAAGTCTGGGAATTTATTTATTCATAATGAGATTATATCCTTTGTTATTTTACATGTGGAATGAGTTATTAATGTTGGTGAATAATGTAAGCAATTTTATGAGCATCTTTTAAAGTTCTACCTTAGGTTTACTGTCTTATTGCAGCAAAGTTTGATCATAATATTGTTTTATTAGCACATCATTCATTATGAAGCAGGAGAAGTGATTGAGCATTAGATCTGGATTTCCTTCTGACTGCCGGGTCTGAGCCGTCCTAGCCGGACCCAGCCAGGGTTCAGTTCAGGCTTTAAGGCAGGAATCCTTAAGGCCACTCAGTGGATGATAGTCAGTCCTAAATAATGTGTGAAAGGCTTTCAAATAAATGCTTCTTTTATTTCAGTAGCTTCGTCTCACACTGAAAAGTTCTGAAAAAAAATCTTTTTTTCAAGTTACATTAGATCAAATGAGTTGTGTGTTTGATTCACGGTGTGAGCGCTGCTTTGTGTTTGTTTCCATGCTCTCAGGTCACTTTAGGAGATTCTCGTCATATTCTAGGTTAGAGGAGCCTCTGAACATTAGCAGCTGCTTTTAAATAAATGACATGTTTCATGTGGAGTCAGGACAGACAGTGATGTCTTTTCTGCTTCCACCCTGGCAGCGGTGCAGGAACAGTTGAGCTGAGTATACAGAGGGAGGATTACTGCATGCCCTGCTCTTTTGCCCAGCTTCCAGTTTTCTGTAGAAAACAGCTGAGGACTGGAAGGATGATGGAAGTTACATCATACTGTACTTCCTTAACAAGATCATGTCAGAGTCTCATTCAGACATCTTGGTATTTTAAAAAACTCCAAAGATCAGATACTTGGACATTGGCCCACAGCATCACAGATCCTTTACTTGTTACTAAAAATCTCAACCTTAATCTGTTTCATCAGACTGTTATGTTCCAGTTAAGAACCTGTTTTCAAAGCCTGGCCTCCACCTGATAGGCCAGCATTCATATGGCAGCTAATGGTTGCTATGGAGACTAGCCCAAGAGGCCAGTCTGTGCTGTAGTTTTGTCATAGTGAGTGGAAGAGCTCTTTACCTTCATTAACACTGAGTGTGTGTCTGTGTGTGTTAAAATATCCTCATATCTATAGCCAGAGAAATACATAAAAGTTTAAAACAGCTGTGACAAACCAAGCTGAACATGGAGTTCTATTTATCTTGCCACCGCACACACACACACACACACACACACACACACACACACACGCACAAACACACACACACACACACACACACACACGCAAACACACACACACACACACACACACACACACACACACGCACAAACACACACACACACACACACACACACACGCGCACACACACACACACATACACACACGCATCTCTCTGACTTCAGCTGCTTGTTGTCCTCTTGTGTTTTGTCTTTAGTAGACAGACTAAGAGAAGCAGACCTCTGTGTTTTGCATATTTATGCCTCATATTTGAAACTTTAAAATGGCTCAATACTTAAAAGGGAAAGTAATAAGCATATCAAAAAAGTAAAGTATGAATTCTCAATGCTTATCTTTAATATGATGAGTTGGAGTTGATGTTAACAGCAGAACGTTGTTTAAAACAAATATATGTTATTTTCCCCAGTGAATATGCAGTGTGAGATGCTGCTGCAGTAAAAACTACATGTTTTGAACATATTTCATGGAGGAGGTGGTGTTTCATTGACTTGGTGATGTGATGCAGTGAAGGATTATGGGATTTAGACAATCATTGTTTTTTAATGGTGACAAAAGGATAGAAAAATGTATAATTTATAAAAATGAGTTATCAGCTCTAACAACAACAATAAGATCTGATATCTATCAGTAGAAATTTCATGTCAGTGCCTCCCTAATAAATACATTGAAATGTGGATTTAGTGAAAATGAAAATCTTTTTTGAGTGCAATCAATCGATCAAATTTGATTTGCATAACACATTTCAGCAACAAGGCATTTCAAATTGTTTTACATCATAAAAACATAAAAATACAAAGTCACAGAACACAGTCAACAATTGAAACATTACATTTAGCTATTGTTACACCTCAGATTGATTAATGTTTCATTTACAATGTTTCGCAAGCAAATCTAAACACTTGGGTTTTTAGTCTAGATTTAAAGCTGTTTTCAGTTCTTTGGAAGTTTGTTCTTCCATAAAGCAGTTCATAATCTCTTCTGGTGACGAACCCAGAGGAGCAGAGATGGGCGTGGCAGAGCAGTACTTGGTATCAGAATGCTGCTCTGTGTGCTGGTCCTCAGATCCGAGCTCTGGATAAGATGACAGTGGAAAGAGTATCTGCAGAGAAGAGCGAGTGTCTGCAGAGGATGGAGCACTGGGCTCTGCAGGAGCGACTGGAAGCAGAGAAGAGACAGGTAACCAGACGCTGCTGGAATAAATCTCTATGACTGAAACATTGCAGGACTTCCTACAGGTTCTCCTCTCATCAGTCATCCTCTCTTCTTCTACATCTTTACCGTTCTTAGCTAAAAATCTGACCTCAAACAAACTTATAAACACAAAGTTTGATTTCCATGAATCAAACTTTGAACACATGGATATTTAGTTGATCAACTTAAAGCTTTGTGCAAAGACAAACAAATGTGACGGTGTAAAAGTTTCCTTTAAAGCTGGCCCGCGTGGTTCTGTGTGTTCTCTAAGCAGACGTCTCTGGCAACTGAGCTGAAGAGCTGGTGTCTGTCCAAACTACAGAACATGGAGGTCCGCTTCATGGGAGACTCCGGCGCCAAGCTGCAGCGCTCCTCCTCTCTGGCTGACAATCTGTGTGAAGCTGATGGCGCCAGCAGCACCGTGCAGCCTGCTGAGCTGGGCTGTAGCTCCCCGCACTCACAGCCCAACCGGGCTGAAGCCAGTAAGGTGGAGGGCGGCTCGGCCAGCCACTACTTTGTGGTTCATGTGGAGAACTCTCCAGGTGATGGTTCAACTGCTAGATCCACACAAGCAAACAGAACCAGCTCCAGACAGTTCAGCTAAAAGCAAATAATACCCTGCAATCAGAAAATAAAAATCTATAGGCTCTGAGTACATATGAAGACAGACTTCAGTAATCAGGACACACACACACTGTTTACACCAGTGGTCTCTGACTGCAGTCCTCCAGAACCGCTGGTCTGCAGCTGTTACACGTTTCTCTGCTTCAGCACATCTGGCTCCGTTATTAGCAGAGCCGTGTAGCTTTACTGCATGCTAATGACGCAGTTTATCCTAGAGATGGTGAGATGAAGCTTCATAATAAACTGAACATCCAACTGTTTGGCTCTGGAGCCGTTGGTGCTTCATTTGCTCTACTGCGACACCAAGTGGACAAAATATGTAAAATAGACAACATGATGCATGAAGCTTTAAACTGAATAAACAAGTGTTTGTGATACTAATATTATATTGGCCTTCAGTAATAATTAGATTTAAATTTTGAAGAATCCGACTGCCTGATGCAATAGTTCAAACTACAGGATTTTTTTTACCCCGAACGACAATCTAAGGACGTTATTCGATCTGAGATTGTCCCTTGTGCGTTACGGTAGATCGTTGTGGCCGTTCCGATCTAAATTAAGGATTTGCCCAGACTGGGAGTGTTAACGCAGCCTGTTGAATGTAACCGGTAGCCAATCAGAAAGCGTGGATTCTCCTCGTACTTTCTGAGAGGAAACACGGAGAGAATCCCGAACAGCTGACACGATGCAACCCGAAGTCCAGCAGACATCGGAGATGATATGTGGAAACGTGAATGTTTATTCAACATTACTAGGGGAGGAGTTGGAGCGAAATTTCTACCAGAAAACCCGAAACTTTTCAGCTGTTCTTCGTTAACGTGACATAAATAGGTTATAATGATTTTCATTCAGTCAGACTGACACTAGCCACATGCATTGCAATTAGATTGAAGTAGGGAATTGATTAATGCCTGGTTTCAAAATTAGTAAACTGGACTTATTATTTTGTGTCCATTGTTGGACACAAACACGGTTTGATTGAACCGTTGTACCGGTGATTTCTGTCTGCTAATTTGTGGTCTCAGGTTTTGATAATGGGCTGACAATCCGCGACATAAGATGGTGCAGTGCGCGCTGGGCATTACACTAAGGAAGTAAGGAAGGAAGGGAGGGTCAGTGGAGAGCACCGGAGTTGAACCTTTTTTCATTCAGTGTCATCAACAGTAAGAGAAAAAGGCAGGAAGAAACGATATAGCCGATAATTGAAATGAGGTCGATAGTTTTAATTTATCGTGCGATTAATTGACTTATCGTTTATCGCGACAGGCCTAAGTGCAGGTGTTGCCAGAACTCATCATCAGGTTTACATTAGTTGGGATTAAACATTTTCCCATTATTCTAGTGCAGTGGTGCTCAAGTCCAGTCCTCGAGAGCTACCATCCTGCAACTTTCAGAAGCATCCTTACTCCCAACAGGCCTGCTAATGAGCCATTCATTTGATTCAGGTGTGTTGGAGCAGGGAAGCGTCTGAAAGTTGTGGGATGGTAGCTCTTGAGAACTGGACTTGAGCACCCCTGATCTAGTGGATTCTCTGTTCTCATATGTATGACTGTCTGCTGTCTCATCCTACAGTGACCTGGCCAAGGTTGGCCACAGTATCCTTGCCTTTGTACAAGGATACTGTGACTCATCTCAATAAACTCATCTCATTCAGCTTCATTTGGACACAACACCTTTTAAAACATCAGAAATTAGAAGGATATTAGAACACACTATTAAATATTAAAACACTGTGTTGTTTTTCTTGACATTATAAGTGATGATTTATTATTACTCTGTGTGAACCTCAGGAGAGGGTCCACCACAAAAAAGGTGCACAAGTGAATTGCAAATGCAATAAAATCTTGGAATAAGAAAATGTGAAACATCAGGGTTTTAACATTTACTTGGATCCACAAGCAAACTGATGAGCCAGTTCCTGAACGCTGCGGTCTGAATACGAGGCTTCAAACGTCACAGCGGCTCCATCCACACAAACCTGGAAGCGCACTTCATAGAAATCCTGGATGACTTGACACTCGTTTTGACGCCTCAGCACAGAAAACACGTCACTCGGTTAGACCTCTGATTCAAACGTAGGAAGAAGGTCTCAAGGCCTGCAGTTTGACCACTGCTTACAGTCTTATATAACAAAATTCTATTAAAATGAATTGAAGTCATTCCAAACAGAAGAACCATGACTAAAACTAAACTACACACTGAACTGGGACTTTGTTCAACTTTAGGCCCCTGAAACCTACAATGCACTGATAAATGTACACCAATAAAGTGTTACTAAAACTAGTTGAAAACATAAATTAAAGGTTTTTAATAACTCCACAAAACATGATTTCTGATCAAATGGTCAGCCTTCCTCAAATTGATTAATAGTTTATGATGGCATGACGGCTCACTAAACTAATCCTTTCCCCCTCCAACCAGATGGTGAGAAGGAGCAGAAGACCGAGGCTGCAGCACCTTCGTCTGTCCAGGTGGTCCGGCCTAAGGAGCGCTCTGCAGACAAAAAACAGAACCTGCAGAGAGCGGGCTTGGACCCAAAGGCTGCTGGTAGACCGAGGCACAGAGCCAGCAGCCTGTCTCCGGCCACAGGGCGCCACCGCAGCAGCAGAGATGCAGAGAGAGGCCGAGTCAGAGTCAGGCAGCGTGAAAAGCATGGAGGCAGAAGGACCAGGTCAAGGGGAGACATGGGGGTCCAGACGACAGAGCTTCTCAGAGACCCCTCTGGTGGGCCGACCTTTGCCCAGGAGAGGGACAACATGCACGCTGTGGAGGTCACCCAGTACTTCTTCGAGGCCGTGTCCACCCAGATGGAGCGCTGGTATGAGAGGAAGGTGCAGGAAGCTCGCTTGCAGGCCGACCAGAGGGCTCAGGCCGACAAGGCCGCTCTGGTCCAGAGGATCGCTAACCTGGAGGAGGAGCTCCGTGTTCTGAGGACAAGTCGCCATCACGACTACTAACACGCCTCTTCAGAACATTGTGGCCTTCCAGGGAGGGAAGATGCCTGGAATATTCAGCACCTCCATCCATGTGACGCTGATTGTTATTGCAGACCTGAGCAAGTAATTAATGTGTTCAGACATTCTTTTTTTAAAATGACGTCCTTATGCTCTTAGCATGTTTGAAGAAGCACAGCATCTTCTTCATATAGCATTCATATAGCAAATGGATGCTATATGAATCCATATCACTAGTGTTCACTATGATCACACCATCATGTGGGGACTCGCCTGCCTGCCTGCCTGCTGAATTCAAACAGATAAGCTATGATGTATTTAGAACACTGAATGTGGAAAAAACTGGTGGATTTCCAGCACTTTGTGAGTTTTATTAAAGCTGTAGAGTTAACACTCAGTTTGTTGAAGATGAAAGAAGAAATATGTTTAAAATGCCACTGATGTAACTAATCTGCTGTTTGCTGGATGAGACAGGAAGGAAGGCCACAAAAAACACATCATGACATTACTGAAACAGTAACAGCTTTTTTCTACTTAGGTGAAATATTAGACTAGATATTAGATAGAGTAAATTTAAGGTAAGCATTTCATTAGTTGGAATTTTACATGTTGTAATAATATATCATCACTTATAATGTCAAGAAAAACAACACAGTGGATCCTGTGTTCTACCCCAGGAGTAGAACATTCATCCTTTTTAATCGAGTGCACACTCAGGGAATCCAGGGGAAATTCATCAGAAAAATCATGGATCTTTGTCTTTTTGTAAACATTTTCTTTTATATGAGCTTGATATTCAGAAGAAGAAACAGTTCTGACATTCCTGAGACTAGAAACAGCTATTTTGTCCCTCAGGATGTACTGAGAGCCGTACATCCTGCAGTGGTCTCTGTCTGTAGTGGTCTCTGTCTGTAGTGGTCTCTGTCTACAGGGGTCTCTGTCTGCAGTTGTCTCTGTCTGCAGTGGTCTCTGTCTATAGGGATCTCTGTCTGCAGTGGTCTCTGTCTGCAGGGGTCTCTGTCTGCAGTGGTCTCTGTCTGCAGTGGTCTCTGTCTACAGGGGTCTCTGTCTGCAGTGGTCTCTGTCTGCAGTGGTCTCTGTCTATAGGGATCTCTGTCTGCAGTGGTCTCTGTCTGCAGTGGTCTCTGTCTACAGGGGTCTCTGTCTGCAGTGGTCTCTGTCTGCAGTGGTCTCTGTCTACAGGGGTCTCTGTCTGCAGTGGTCTCTGTCTGCAGTGGTCTCTGTCTACAGGGATCTCTGTCTGCAGTGGTCTCTGTCTATAGGGATCTCTGTCTGCAGTGGTCTCTGTCTGCAGTGGTCTCTGTCTACAGGGGTCTCTGTCTGCAGTGGTCTCTGTCTGCAGTGGTCTCTGTCTATAGGGATCTCTGTCTGCAGTGGTCTCTGTCTGCAGTGGTCTCTGTCTGCAGGGGTCTCTGTCTGCAGTGGTCTCTGTCTACAGGGGTCTCTGTCTGCAGTGGTCTCTGTCTGCAGTGGTCTCTGTCTATAGGGATCTCTGTCTGCAGTGGTCTCTGTCTACAGGGATCTCTGTCTGCAGTGGTCTCTGTCTGCAGGGGTCTCTGTCTGCAGTGGTCTCTGTCTGCAGTGGTCTCTGTCTACAGGGGTCTCTGTCTGCAGTGGTCTCTGTCTACAGGGGTCTCTGTCTGCAGTGGTCTCTGTCTACAGGGGTCTCTGTCTGCAGTGGTCTCTGTCTACAGGGGTCTCTGTCTGCAGTGGTCTCTGTCTACAGGGGTCTCTGTCTGCAGGGGTCTCTGTCTGCAGTCCTCCAGGGCAGCTGTTACACGTCTCTCTGCTTCAGCACACCTGACCACATATAATTCTATATCATTAGCAGAGCCTTGTAGCTTGACTGCAGGACTCTGGACCTTCAGTCTGCAGTGGTCAGTTTGAGACCCCACAGCAGAACTTTCTTCAGTGACGTGATTCCATCATGCTATTTTAGTGCATCAGGTAATCTTCAATGTAGTTAAGTATAAAGACCCTATTGCAGTTTACACTGAGGTCATAAACACTTTGGCTTTCATAATAAAACAGTCAGGAGATATCGACATGGAACACGAAACCTGATAAATCTGTCCTGAAGCTCAGCTCTGTGTTTAGGGCTGAATGTGTTGCATGAAGAACAGCTGCAGTGTTACTTTCTGATGTCAACTTTCCCTTCACATGAATAATGCACTCTGATCATGAAGCCAGACAACATATGATGAAAAAAAAAATCAGTTTCTTTATTGCCTTCTTAATTTTCATGAAATACCTGATTGGCAGAAGCTGCACTGGACTCGTACATGAACACACAGGGCCACCAGGTGGCGTATCATATTGTCAGTCCAATTGAAATCCTGATTTTCTTCACTGAAGAAAAGTAAAGAACACTCCTGCAGAGGTCAACTTCTGGCCAGTAACAGAGACTTCTGCAGCTCCTCCAGGTGGTTGTTGGCCTGTGTGATCATCATGCGGATAGCATCCTGAGCCAATGAGAGAGAGAGCCCAGATCAGTGCAGCTCACATACCTGATCATGGGGTCAGGTATGTGAGCTGATAAACAATCACACTTTTTTAATCCCAAAGGGAAATTACACAGCATTTCAGCACAGACAGAATACATAAGCAGACAAGTGTCTGAGGCTTGCAGTAGAGAATATAATCCATGAGGATGGATGAGGAGGAAAAGAATCATGGTAGTAAGAAAGCCAGCTATCTTCCTGATTACATTTCTGGATTACATTTTTTGTTATGGGCTGATGTAGTATTCTTTGACAAACTGAACTGGGTTTTTATTATCTGTGAGCCTTTATTAAAATGACACAATGCTGACGTTCACAATAAAGTTGTGCTGAAAACTTCTGGCCAGCAGGGGGCTCCCTGTGTTTTTTTGGTTTAGTCCCAGGCTGTCTGCATTCTGTCCAGTTTGGACCAACCTGGACAGAAACCTGAAAACCAGTGACAGACTAGAAACTTATTAAAACGCTTCACTCCTGCTAGAGCCAGATAACGTCAGGACTTACATGATGTAACAAAGTGGCATAATTAAAGATTTCATAAACTCAATTAATTTTACTCAAGGTCTGCATACATTAGACCTTGTGCTGACATACAACATTTACCTGTGAAGACAGAACATTACCTTTGACTTTAACTGAGAGAAACATTTCCAGAAGATCTTTATCAGATAATGCTGCCTGCCAGAACCTTTAAAGAATCACTTCCATGTTTCATTTCCTCTGAATCTCAGAAAAACAGATGGAGGGAGCAATTTAATCTCTACTCCTTCTGAAATTGATGTTCTTGTTCATAGTTTTACTTCCTCATTAGACAATGTGGCCGCCTTAACAAAGAATGTAATTATCCATAGGAGGTTGGCTCCTAATTCATAACTGTGTGCTTTGAAGCAGAACAATAGGAAGTTTGAGAGAAAATAGTGCTCTTTGTATCTAGATCTGTAACTTGTCTACAGTAGTAAACTGTAGACAAGTTACTGTAGTTATACAGTTTACTACTGTATAAAAAGACTCCCCAAGTTAGTCCCAGGCTGTCTGCATTCTGTCCAGTTAATAGAGAAAGATGAAAATAATCCTAGTTTTTTTTTAAGCGCTCAGTCAGATTCCCCGCTCTCAGAGGTAATGATTCTTCTTAAATAAAATTGATTTAGTCAGTTGGGCTTTGTAAATTGTCAGAAATATTATCTTTATCTAAACCTTCAACCCATCCCAACTAAATTATTTCCAGAAATATTCTCTTTGATAACCTCCAGAACTATATATGAACTTGCTTAGTACCTAGAGATGAACCACGAGCTTTGAAGGTTTCTGTTAAACATTTTACTACCAAGATCATTGCATTTTGTTTGGCTGCGATTCCTTCCTACAGGAGGGCATCAGCTAATCGCTCATTTATTTCCATGATCACTGAAAATCATCCGACATCAGTTCTTTGTTTCTTCTGCATTCTGCTTCCCAAACACAGTTCTGGTTCTGGTTCTGCTAGAGGTTTCCTCCTGTTAAAGGGGAGTTTTTTTTTCTCTCCACTGCCACTACATATATGAGGGACTGCTGTAAATTCAACTGTCACCGCATCCAGAAAGCTGCAAGTCCATCTGCTGACTTTCACAGCATGTTGTCTGATGAACTGAGCTCAAGATAATGTTTGATAATTAGGATTCATTTAAATCTACCTGTGATATAAATGAATAAAGTTCTTTGACATGGCGTGCCATTTGGCGCTATATAAATAAATCATAGGAAAATGAACTATGACCCTCACAGGCTGATTATTGTTAGCTTATTCTGTCTCTGCCTGCTAATACGGGACAAACTTACACCATCAATATTTATGAGCTATTAACTCCACATATTGTCTTTGACACATTTCTATGTTGTATTTTGAATCGAACTACTGGAAAGAATCTATGAACTATTGAAGCCATGATGAGCCGTTATGAAACGGAAAAGCTAACAGTGAGAACCTGGTTGGTGGCGTTCTTGTTCCTCTTGAATTCCTCCCGGGCCCAGTCTCTCAGGTACTTCCTGTCCGCCTCGTCCGGAACTTGGCGGATGGTCCTCAGAATGCCTCTGTAAAGCCCCAGAACCTTCTGCCTCTGTAGGAACTGACACAGCAGCAGCTGCTGTTAGCTACCAGCGTCCAGCAGTCTCACAGCCGGTCTCGGTTCGGCTTTACCTGCTTTAAAGAGAGTGCTGCTGGCGGTAGCCTGGAGCCCATCTGTCTCTGCCTCTGTCTCTGCCTCTGTCTCTGTCTCTGTCCGGGTAGGATCACACAGGCTGCCGGGGTCGTGAGGAGGTTAACAGCTGCTTCACTGTTACTCTGAAGGACTCGCTCCCTTTGGTACAATAGCGCCAACTGCTGGATTGGAGGTCAACCATGACATAACAGGAAATTCTGATAAACCTGTTCAAAAATGACTAAAGTCTTCAATTTTAGTTTAAGCTTTGTTAGTTAAAGGATTTTTGAAACGTCACGAAGGTCATGATCTTCTGTAAGGGAGTGGAGGACTGGAGATCAACTGACCTCCAGCCAGTCTGGATTGACTTTCTTGCACTGCAACATGTTAAACGGGGATTTCAATAACAAGGAACACTACATGTTGAAACTGTAAGTGTTTGGAAAATGGGTTAAACTGATTTTATATACTAGTGTAACGGGTAATAGATACAGATGAAATTCTTGCTTATTTATGTTTTGTAATTACCATGTGATGAATGGTTTTTGGCGCCCCCTACTGGTTGCCTATAAATAGGGGGAGAAGCTGTTGATTCCACACAGTCTGTTCAGCGCTCTACTGTGGTAAGTCACCAAATCCAGTTCTTTTCTGAACAGTCATAGTGGGTGTGCTCAAAGACTGACGTGGAGTTTTATTACAATATGCGGAGAGCTGGTGGACCACTGTGCTAATTTGTGTTGACCATTTATTACAGGTAATTATGTTATATTATTTATCAGTAATTTATGTTGTTGGTTATGTTTGTCAGTTGTCTATTATGTTGTCGGTTTGCTGTATTTACCAGCTTGTCAGTTTGTTTGTTCCCTGTTTCAGTTAGAGGTTACTGTTAAATAGTTTTAGTTAAATTTGACTGCTGTCTATGTCTATTTTTTTGTTTTTTCTTTATTTATAGGAGATAGACCAGATTGTGTTAAATTAATTTTAAAGAAGTATTAATAATCAAATATCATTATACGATCCTCTGTTAGAAAAATATGTTGTTAAGCCAGATTGTAATGATTGTTTGTGAGGCAGCTGTTCAGCGCTCTACTGTGTATGCGGAGAGCTGGTGGGCCAGTAGTGAAGCTCACTGTGCTGATTTGTGTTGACCATTTATTACAGAAAATTTAACCAACTGGCCTCCTCTGTGTGTATGATGGGACGGGCATAAGGGGAAGCTGTTACACTAGAATATATCAATAATAGTGATGCTGATTGTCAAGATAAATATTTATGATAAAACAAAAAACCCACATAACCTGTGAATTAAATTGCCCTGAAAATGTACTTGATCTCACCTTAGTTACCTCTGGTTACACTTATATTTTTATCATGAGTGTCGTTTATTGGTCTAAATAATACATCCTAGCATTTGTCTTAAAATTGATTGAGCATGTATGAGAACATGACTCCTCTCTTTTCAGGGGAGAAATGATTTTAGAATCATCAGAGGAACACAATGTTTCAGTCTGAAGCTCACACTTTGTACTGTTCATCACCCCATGGGATTCCATCAAGAATTTATACATTTGCTCTTTATTTGCCAGTTACCTGAAATAATCTGTTGTTGTGAAGTAAAACTTTACAATAGCTGAACTTTAGTTCCACTCCATGGCACTTTATAATTTAGATTGACATTCTATCTGCCTATCAAACCATCACTAAGTTCAAGCAGTCCTTCAGTTCATAGGTTAATTTCAATTGGGCAGAAATGGAACAGATTGGAGATTATTTGTAGTATTTGAACAGTTTTGTTGTCTGCTGGGATTCATTGAGTCTGTCTGGCAGAATGAGCCAAGTATACATATAATGACTGTTAGCTTTGTTTTCTAGCCTTCTGCTACTCTTGATAATAAATTATTGATAGTTTTAGCTTTTCTGATGACAAATTTATAGTTTAACCAAATTCATGTTCTTTCCATAAAACTTTATTATGATCATTAAAAATAATAGTAAAATAATGATCTACCAACATGGAGCAGAGTTGTGTGCTCTTCTGCCGGGTGAGAGAAATGTGGCACAACCTTTGAACCTCCGATCTTTACATCATTCACATTAGCAGGTAAAACATGAAACTTCAATATTTCTGCTCATGTACACATCAGAAATGTCTCACATTTGTCCTGTCAGCATTAGGCTTTCCTTCCACACAATAGCTGAACAAAGTGTTGAAATCAAAGCTTGAGTATCCTGGTGGTGTTCCCCAAGGCACATGATTAGGTCCCCTGACCCCCCGACCCCACATACTGTAACCCAGTGAAGACATGGACAGTCTCGTCCACACAGCAGCTTCACCCAGTCTAGTCTGTCGTCTTCAGAACAGTTGTTCCATCTTTGCTCAAAATGTTTCATGTTAGATGTTGAAGATTCTAACATGAAACATTATCAGACTGACACCCTGCTGTCACACATGGTCAGAGGCCCTGCTCTGCAGGTTCCATCAGTTGGCTGCTGCTTCTGGCCTGCCTATTGGTCAACAGCTGTGATGAGCTCAAACCACTGCCTGAGCGCGTCGCTCAGCGTCTCCGGCAGGGCGTTGACGTCCCGCAGGATGACGTAGAAGGGGAAGGGGAACTCGTCCATGTAGGAGCGGATCTCTGGCAGCTCTCCTGGCCCTTTGAAGATGGGCACCTTGATGTCCAGGATGGAGTCCTGCAGCATAGCACAGGGTTAGTATTCATTCTACAGAGGACAGAAGGGTCGGTTGTCATGCTCTAACCCGGGTGTTGGGGTTGTCCAGAACCACGAAGATCACAAAGATGTTAGCTGTGCGTGCTGCCTGCACAGCTGCCACTACACGCTCCTTGCCCTCCAGGAATAATCCCCTGCCGTCAGACACGATGAGCAGCAGCTGGGCCGTCTCTGAGGGTCATCAGGAGTCAGAGTATGAATCAAGATTTCTGCCGACAGAAGCTCATCACTCTGCAGTGCAGAACAACACTTTGTCCTCAAACACAATGCTGACACACCGTCTCATTTAAAGTCAGCAGCTGCCACAAAGCGTTCATCAGGCTATTATCTCATATTATTATTAGTGAACAGGTCTTGTCCTGAGTTGGTTGAACATTTAAAGGTGATCCAGTTGTGGTGAATGATTTATCTTTATAATACTTTGATTAACATGAGAACGATTTGAACTAAAGACCTTCATCCTGAAAGGCATCAGTGAGGAACTGTTCCATTCTCAGCTGTCTCTTTTACTACTGAATGGATATGATGTTATAATGTTATGATGTTCTACAACAGCTCCATTGGATTCCCATCTCATCAACTATTAAATACTCCTTCCAACTGTCAAAGCAGTTCACAACCTTGCCCTCCATCTTTTGGACATCCTTCACATGGCTACACCCCCGATTCCCTCAGATCCTGTTCTTTTGTTCAGCTGCTCTGCTTTTCCACTCTTCAAGTCCAAACTCAAACCCGTCCGTTTCAAGTAGCTTTGATTGCAATTGCATTATCTTTTTAAATATTGTTTGGTTCTTCATTTTTACTATATATTTAAATTTTGTGTTTGTTTTTATGTTACATTACGTAAGGTGACCTTGAGTGACAAGAAATAAAATGTATTATTGTTATTATTATTAGCAGTGTGATGCTGGTTTACCTGAGCTCAGAGATCCTGGAAGTTGCTGTCGTGCTGAGAGAAACATCTTAGTAGACGTTTCCAGAAACTGCAGAAGAGAACAGAGAACCAGTCAGGCTGCCGTCTCAGAGTCCACAGGGCTCCAGAGCAGCTGACCTCCAGCCCAGCTGACCTCCAGCCCAGCTGACCTCCAGCTCAGGCTCTGTTCCAGCAGCAAAAACACAAGACTGTGAACAATCCTCAGAGCCACTGGGGAACTTTCTACCTGGGCTATCCTGGTCTTCTTCTGTTGGAACTGACAGAGGCGCAGAATGCGAGCCCCTGACTCGTCGTTAAACTGCTGCTGGAAGGGATGCAGCAGCTGCATCTGCTCCCCAAAACTACACATAGGAGGAGGAGACAGGACTGTTATCACTTCACGTTTACATGGGACCAAAGCATTCGTTTCATTTCTCGCTCCAGATAAAGCGACTGCAGTTCTGCGGGTTTATCTTAGTGCCGTCACCTGCACACAGACACCTGGCCGACCTCCAGCAGAGTGAGAGCGTTGATGATCACTGACAGGGACTCAAACGCCAGCTGGATCACAAAGAGGAAGCACAGAGAGTCACAGTGTTTCCATGCTGCTGTCATACGATTGGACCGTTTTGAGTTCAGGGACAGAAGGCACTTTGAGCTCATCCTCCTTCCTAATGAATACCCAGCAACATAAAGTTGTGAGCTCTGTTAAAGTCACGTCTGCAGTCTGGGTGGTGTACCTGTTTGGAGTGGTTGTCCACCATGCTGGAGGAGTCGTCCACTGCTAGACAGATCTGGTACTCTCTCTTGCTGGGCTTGGTCCTCCGCAGCCAGATCTTGTCCTTTCTGAACTGACTGGCGATGTAAGGGATCACTTTCCTCATGTTCAGCCGCTTCCCTGTGCGGTAATCCCCTCTGAGGAGCAGCCACAAGAAAACACACACACCCATCACCAACACACAGTCATCTCAGGGTTCTGGCCCAGTAGGGAGATACATCCATGCAGAGTGTGTGTACAGACCGGAGCTTGGCAGCCTGCGTGGGCTCCAGGATGAGGCGCAGCTGCTCACACAGCTGCTGGGACAGGGCAGAGGTCAGGGCCTGGTACTGGAGCCACATGGAAGCTGCTGCAGCCTCCTGGAACCAACAGAGCAGCAGGGAGAGTCTGAGCTGCAGCAAACACCACGGCCTTCCCTCCATTCAGAAGTCACGCTAATGCCAGCCTAGTTCTGCATTAGAACAGAACTAGGCTGCTAGAAATCAACCCTTGTTCTACACTTGGTTTGGTCCAGAGGCTCTGGGCTCACATGTTGAGAAACGATTGCTTCCTGGAGGCGTGGACCGAGTTCAGGTTTGAAATTTTAATGTTTGCCTGTGACATGTCAGTTTGATGGTAAAAAGCTTCCTGAAAAACGACTTCCTTTAATCAATCGATCACATGTTAAAAACACGTAATCCGCACACGCAGACACACACACCATATGATGTGTCTATTGCTGCATTCCCTCTTGAAGAATTGATTATGGTTAAATTTGTGTTATTATGTTATATGTTTATTATTATGTTTGCATTATTTGTATTATTAACATTGAATGGAGTTGCTTATCTAATAAGCAGTTTTTCCTTGGGACTCAATAATACTCTCCTCTGTGGTAAAACCACCAGAATCTTGAGTTAATCTGAACTTCCTGCTTCCTGAAAGGCTAACAGAGTCCAGCTCACTGGTGACCTTGCTGTCAAATTCAGTTTTGACATGGGGGCCGGGGGTGGAGCTTTGTCACCCTGTTTGTACATGTCAGGTGTACATGATGTGTAACCCTTGATGTGTAACCCTTGATGTGTAACCCTTGACCCCGGGATGCTCATCGTTAGTAACATCCTGGGTCCAACCAGCTGAGAGTGCCTCACCTCTTCCTGGGTTCCTGGAGCCAGCTGACGCCAGGCCTCCAGCTGCACCTCCATCTCCCTCCTCAGCTCCTCTGGGTCTCGCTCTGTCTTCTACAGGAAGACATCTGCAGTTAATAATAACTACTCCTTACAGTATTGTCTGATGTTATTCGATTTTGGGGCATTGATGCTTCTGGACAGGAAGCAGCGGTCAGGGCTCCACCTGCTCAGACAGCAGCAGGACAGCAGGAGTCGTGTGAATGGTGGATTCAGAGCTCCTGGTGGATGGCTCTTCCTCTTCAGGAGGCTGTCGCTCCTTCGGCCTCTCATCTTCCTCATCCTGCCTCTGTTGCTCAGTCTCTCCGCTCTCCACACCTGCACAACAACATCATGAGGCTGAGCCAGAACCCAGCTCAGTATTCAGGGTCATGAGGAGGAATCGGAAACCTTTCTGGGAGAACTTGGAGGTCTCCAGCTGCTCCGCCTTCAGCTGCTCCGCCTTCAGCTGCTCTACATCAGCAGACTGGAGCTGTTCCTCCTGGTCCTCTGTCTCCATGGCAACATCATCATTTCCATCTTCATCCTGATCCTTCAGAGGTCCTGCTGCCATCTGTTGCTCCGTACTGGCGACATCTGAAAGCAAGAATCAGAGGATTCCTGAGCTCCAGAGTGCTGTGTGTGTGTGTGTGTGTGTGTGTGTGTGTGTGTTTTTTTGTGTGTGTTTGTGTGTGTGTGTGTGTGTGTGTGTGTGTGTGTGTGTTTGCGTGTGTTTGTGTGTGTGTGTTTGTGTGTGTGTGTGTTGGTGTGTTTGCGTGTGTTTGTGTGTGATCACTGACCGTAGGTCTGGGAGTCGTAGGCCGTCTCCCCGGGTCGGATGTGTTCATACAGGTCTGAGTCGTGCTGGCTGTCTGCCGGCCCGCTCTCAGAGCGCTCCTGGCTGCTCTCTACCGTTCGCAGGCGCTTGTTGACGCGCTCGCTGTAATCCCCGGTTGAACGCTCGTTATCCGCTTGGCCCGGTTTCCTCTTAAAGCTCTGAAACAGGAAGTGGAAGAACATCGTTCCAACTGAACACAAACGTGGAGAGCAGCAGAGTGGGATGAAAGGAGAAGTACCTGAGTCTGGCTCTGAGTCTGCTTCTGAGAGGCCATCCTGGCTGTCAGCTTGGACTGGTGGCCTTCTGATTGGCTGGCATCAGCTGCACCGCTGCCATGCTCCTAGAGGGGGAAACAAAAAACCAAACAGGAAAGACAAAGAAGCAGGCCCGTGTTAGTGTCACTTTAAGGCCACTCTACATTTCTCAAACTGTTAATTCCTCAGTCCTGATGCAGCCTGATAATGTTTCGGTTGTGTGACATGCAGGCTACAAACCGTTTGATAATTGGTCTCAGGTGTTTATACTAATTTTCTGCCTTGAATCCTATAGACAAACTAAGCATGTGCTCCTCTCAGTCAGTTGCTAACACAACATTAAGAGACATTGATGTCTGAGGCAGAGAATCCATCTGCCTCCTGAGGATCAGGAATTTTAGAGGCCAGAAATGTCAATCAGCTGGAGATGTGTTTCATTTTAAATAAATGAACATGTGTGCTGATTTTTTGAGTGCCCAGTTGATCAGAGTGCAGACTGTTTTCATGTTGTATGCCAGAGTGGCTAAACGAGGTTGAGATTTGCCCCAGTCGGGGGCAGCTGGGTGGAACGTTACCTCTTTAGCCTGATGTGTTTCTGCAGCGGCGCCGGCCAGCTCCACAGCGGAGTCGCTCTGAATGTTCTGTTCTCCAGTCTGACCGTCTGCACTGTGCTCCTTCCTCTCAGCAGAGCTGGGTGGCTCATCCTGCTCACTCTCAGCTTCATCCTCCTGCTGGACGCCCCAACAAACAACAAGGCTGTTAGCAGCTCTGGGTTCTGACACACCATCAACTGTGTTTCTACTCAGACCTTGGCTTTCTCTCCACCGTCATCTCCAGCAGCCTGATCTTTTTCTTCCTGTGCTTCTCTATTCTCCTTCTCTTCTTCCTCTTCATCAGCTGCCTCTTTCTCATGTCCTTTCTCATCCTCTTCCTCATATTTGGGTTCCTGGTTCTGTTCATCGTCTCCCTGGTTCTCCATCTCAGTTTCTCCTGACTCCTCTTCCTCTCCATCTCGCTGTTCTTCCTCTTTCAGCTCCACCTCCATGGCCTTGTCATCGATGTCTAGTGGGTTTTCATCTGAAAAGTCCAAACAGTCAATAAGTCATTCACTATTTGTAGAAACAGGACAAACAGGACATCTAGGAATTAGTTTTACATATTAAACAAAAGGAAAACTTAAAATAGTTAATTTTAGAAGACTTTTTTGCAGCTAGTCAAGTCCTGAATAAAATTCAGATTCTAATAAATGGGAAACAAAACAAGAGGATTTTGAAATAAGACAGATCTGTTGATCTAGATTCCTAAAGAAAATTACAGATAGCTTTAGTTTTAATAATCAACATCCAGTTGTAATCTTATGACTAGATTATTCAAAATCCAGTCAAACGTCAGAAAAAATCAGATCATGAGGAGAGACGTTCAGACGTTGAGCAGCAGCTTCCTCACCATCACCATCCTCATCATCATCATCTCCTCTAGACTCTTCCTCCTGGTCCAGGTTGAGGTCATCAGGCAGGTCCATGGCCTCTGGTTCTGGTCTCTGCTCCTGCTGACCGTGGTACGGGTCCACCTCGTTCTCATCAAACTCTCTCTGGAAGCCGGAGGAACACACACATCAGCTTCGACCGCCACCATTATCCTGAGCTTTTACAAAGCTCAGGATAAGCTTTGTCGGAGGACGAGACCTCCGACTTGAAGTTTTTGTTGTCTTCCACCTTGAAGACAACAAACTGATTTATCTTGTCATATTTCAGGCGAACTGATTCTCCGGTTCTGATATGGAGACGACAGGAAGTGAACAGCTGCAGGGGATGTGAGGTCACCTCGTCTCCTTGCTCGTGGATCTTGTCCGTCTCCTCTTGGCGCTGCTCTTCATCCTGGTCCTGCCTCTTCTTGTCCCTGTTGGAGTCGGCTGCATCCAGGTTGTCCTCTTTAGCCACCAGCTCAGATTCGCCCTGCAGGAGGACAGAGGACAACGTGGACATGAAGGTGTGTGAACCACTGTCTCACACACACACACCCTGAGACCCGCTGGGATACCTGGTCCATGCCCTGTCCAGACTCCTCTTCCTTCTCACTGCCTTCCTCTTCATCCTCTTCTTCATCATCCCCCCACATTCTCTCATCCAACGTGTCTGTCTGACCTTCTCCGAGGTCTCCCATCTTTTTATCCAGCTCCTCTTCCTCTTCATCATCAGACTCCTTGTCTGTACCTATTAACACATAGAGAGGCCTGCGGGTTAATCACAGCATGTCCACGGCCAGAGACGTGTCCTGGAGGACACATGTGTCCCCAGGTTCAACTCACCACCTTCATTCTCGTCCCCATCATGAATTCGTCCATCAAAGTCTTCAGACATTTCGATGCCGTTGTCCTCTGACTTGATGTTCTCTTGGTTCTGTTGCTCCTCCTTCTCTGCTCCCTCCTGGAAGGAATCCTCCACCTGCAGGAACAGGAGGGTCAGAGATGAACCTGCAGGGCCCTCGCGACGGGGGCCCGGCCCTCGCGACGGGGGCCCGGCCCTCGCGACGGGGGCCCGGCCCTCGCGACGGGGGCCCGGCCCTCGCGACGGGGCCCGGCCCTCGCGACGGGGGCCCGGCCCTCGCGACGGGGGCCCGGCCCTCGCGACGGGGGCCCGGCCCTCGCGACGGGGGCCCGGCCCTCGCGACGGGGGCCCGGCCCTCGCGCAGCACAGTCACCTGGAATGCTACTCAAAACAAAAACAGAAAAATTCCCAAAAATCGCTTCCATAAACAGATACAAAATGGCTTCCCCCCAGATACATAACTAATAAGCTATGTTAAGGTCAAAGATCAATAAGGGAATCCTCCAGGATAAGAATGAATATTCTGTCCCAACCTGGGACTGATCAGAGGACAGAAGGACGTGAAAGCAGATGAACACAGTGTGCGATATGATCTGTTTTCCTCTCACTTTCTTTTCTTGAAAGGAAATTCAAAATGAGGGAAAATATCTGTAAACAGGTGCTTCAACTCAGTCATTCTTTCTGAAATCTGACCTGAATTCCAAGTCCAAATAACTGCAAAGTATGAAGGTTATGGTGGCCTGAGTGGGCTGACGTCACTCTGAACTCGCTCTAACAGAGTCTGTTAGACTGATGTTCATGAATCCATGACTTCACATGGACCAGCATACTGTCCATGTGAACTCGGTTTCTCATCACCTGGTCTTCATTCTCGATCTTGTCGCTGACGTCCTTGGTGCCGTCTCCGTCTCCGATGCCTCCGCCCTCGTAGTCATGGAACTCTGTAGCTCCGTCCGCATCGCCTCCAGGCATCAGCTCCTGAGGCAGACAGAACCCCTGCAGGGACACCAACATAGTGGGTCAGTTCTCCCACTGAAGTCCCTTCCAACTGGCTGAATGCTCCGACACACACTGGGCCCACTGCACCTTCTGGGCCAGCTGGGTGAAGATGCTGGACAGCACAGACAGCAGCTTGCCGGTGCTTCTGTGGACTGTGAGCGACACAGAGAGGTAGTAGCGGGCCAGGTCTGAATAGACCCCCAGCACGGGCAGGAACCGGACCAGCGCCCTGCAAGCCCGGTTCACCCCCTGGAACACAGGAAGCACAGGGATCAGGACACCAGCAGAACCTGCTGACATGTTCCATCTGGTACCAGAGCCAAATAGGCACCAGAAAGCAGAGACAGCAGATGATTCTGATCAGTCCTTCTGTCTCCTGTCTGTTGCAGCGCTCAGCGGGTACCTGCAGCTGTGAAGGGGGACAGGAGTCTCTGTGTGTCCTCACACAGCCCAGCAGCTTTGTCACAGCAACGCTCACACTGCCAACAGACAGAGCCTCCACCTCAGCTTCAAGCTCCGCCTCCAAGAGCCGGGTCAGGTGACCAGGCTTCAGCAGGTCCTCCACAGGCTGCTCCTCCTCCTCAGCTCCACCTGAGCCACAAACAAGAAAAAAGACAGATTTATGTGTGTGTGTGTTTCATCTGACTTCAAATACAACTTTAAAGTGTTAGAACATTACAACATTTACAATGCCAAGTGCTGAGCTCCATAATCGTCACACATTGATCTGATTTGTCTCAAAGCTCTGGCTAATCCCAGACTCAGACCTGGAGCCTGGTTCGACCTGGACGCTCTGGTCCAGTCTGGTCCCAGGCTCAGGTCCATCAGAGACCAGAGACTTCATGGTCACCTGTCTTTGGGTCCTGCTGCGTCTGTCCTTCGTCCTCAGTGGTCCTCCTCTTCACCAGTCTCTGGACAGCATGCAGCAGGGTGCTGATGTTGGCCTCCAGCTCAGCAGAGAAGACGCTCCAGAAAGCAGACTGCTGACCTGCAGACAGAACCAGAGGACAGGATTATTATCTGTCAACAGTCCATCACGTGTGACTGACAGGAAAAGCACATGAGGTGCGTGTGTTGGTGCTGACCGATGGGCTCGGGCCCCGGGGACAGTAGCTGACTCCTCCAGCTGGTAAACTCAGTGATGGCCGTCTCCACCTGTCCTCGGACGTAGTTCAGACTCTGTGTTATGGTGGGCTGGGTGGTGACACCACCCTCCCCGCTTACCGGGGAAAACAAGATCGCTATGCTGCTCATCCGGGCTGCCACGCCCCCCAGCTGCTCCATGGCTGAACAGCAGGTGGTAAAGCTGCTCCTGAGGGACAAACCAAAGGAAACACATCTGTGTTCAGTTTTTGTCAGAGTGGTGGGACTGAAGATGTCTGCATGATGCTGTACCAGGAGCAGAGGATGAACCCCGAGGAGCCCAGCTGCTCCTTCACACTCTGACTGTCCTTCAGCATGGCAGAGACCTGCTGCTGCAGCTGGGTCCAGCCGGGGTCTCCCCTCCTCAGCAGGCAGCCGGGGGGCTGCTGCTGCACTGCCAAGGGGGAAGGGCACATGAGGGTGTGGCGCCTGCTGCTGGCGCCCGTCTCCTCCCTCTGCTGGGGTTCTTCAGGACAACAGTGGAGCAACCAGGACAGTTGTTGCAGAAGCGTGGCACTCTGAGCTGCCAGCCCCCGGCCTCTTCTGAACCAGTCCTGCAGAGAGTCCTGGGGGGGCAGGCAGCAGCCCCCATCCTCACTATGGCTCTGGAGGTGGGTCTGCATGTCCTGGAGGCTGGCAGTTAGCTTCCTGGAAAGGGGGAAGTGAGGCGGGGGGGACAGCAGAGTGGAGAAACATAAGCAGTATAAATGAAAAGGGTTCATGATGCAGGAGCCAATAGAAAACCTGATGAAGTCAACCAGTCAGACAGTACTTGGTGTGTGTTATGTGAGAGTGAAACATCTGTGACCTTGACTAGTGGATAACCTTGACCTCGCTGTACATCATGTGGTTGTTTCCTCTTTGGATTGTTCTGTCATTCATTAGAAGATGATCTGAACCACTTCAATCAAGCACACACTTCAGGTCTAGAATTGAACTGATTCTAGACTTTATGTTGTTTTTTTTCTTTGCATATCTTGTCGTGTTCTTAGTATTTGTATATTTTTTCAGACTATATTCTATGGTACATACCTCCCTACTTGCTGAACTAGAATCACAGCCAAAGCTGATGTCTCTTCTTTAGGTTCTGTTGATGTGACTCTGCCTGATCCAGATCAACTCAGAACTAATCCCAATATCTGCTGCATAACCCAGTGTATTAGAGTGAAGTCAGTTACAGAAATCAAATTGAACATGATTGATAACCAGCAAAAGCAGAGAGGATGTAGAGGATGTCTGCCTGTTCAGCAAAGTTTCAAGATGAGAAGCAGCCTGATCCTTCAGCCTGACCCTTCAGCCTGACCCTTCAGCCTGATCCTTCAGCCTGACCCTTCAGCCTGACCCTTCAGCCTGACCCTTCAGCCTGACCCTTCAGCCTGATCCTTCAGCCTGATCCTTCAGCCTGACCCTTCAGCCTGACCCTTCAGCCTGACCCTTCAGCCTGACCCTTCAGCCTGACCCTTCAGCCTGACCCTTCAGCCTGACCCTTCAGCCTGACCCTTCAGCCTGACCCTTCAGCCTGACCCTTCAGCCTGACCCTTCAGCCTGATCCTTCAGCCTGACCCTTCAGCCTGATCCTTCAGCCTGACCCTTCAGCCTGACCCTTCAGCCTGACCCTTCAGCCTGACCCTTCAGCCTGATCCTTCAGCCTGATCCTTCAGCCTGATCCTTCAGCCTGACCCTTCAGAGGTCAGTCAGTCCTGTGATCCCTTGAGAGGTTTTTATGCATGTGGAGCAGTTGATACTATCCACCTTTACTTGATCTTTTCATGGATGAGCTGAATGCTCTCAGAATGTGAGGGTGAGTTGTGTTTCCTGTTTCCTTACAATGATAGTCCAGCTCAGCAAGGCCTCACCTGAGGGAGACCCAGTGTTGGGTCAGCTGGGCCAGCCGATGCCTCTGTCTGAGCAGCAGCTTGAACAGGTGGGAGGAGAAACCTCTGCAGCGCTCTATGTTCCCAATGCCGAGCTCCTGTAACCATGGAGATGCACAACACAGACAGGACAACAGCAGGAGATCAGTGCTGGTCTAACAGAGCAACAAAGCGTGTCCAGCAGTCTAAAGCAGTCTTGGGTTATGAACAACCTTTGTTCAGTACACCAGGAAGTGTTTCTGTATTCAAAGAAACACCCGATGAATTCATCAGGATTCATCTGAAACTCTGTTTAGTGGCAGAACAGTTTTGGGGCTGTATAACACACACGTACACACAAAACATTTGTGGCGTCATATTTTGCTCACAAGTCAAGATGTATAAAACTGAACAGCTCCCTCTGTCCATCTCTGCTCTCTCCATCAGCTTCCTTAAAATGCCCATCAGTAGAACTGAGTGAGCCCTTCTGTATGAAACCACACTACTGCTCACAAACGTTCACTTCTGACCGAAGCCCGCCACTCATCCCCACAGCTTCCTTGTGTGACTTTATCAATCTGTAGCTAACACAGTTCTGTATGTCTCCCTTGTTTTTTCTTCAATTCCTCTGTCGTCTTGATCACAGGATCTTGGAAGGTCTTGCTCAGCCTTGGCAGTCACCAAAAACTCTACTGCCAGCTTTCTCAGACACTTCATACCTCCACAGCTACATCAACAGCTGGATTAGTTTATAGTTTTTGATGAAACAGCAGTGCAGCTGTGGACTGACCACTTCACCCAAACATCTGAGACGCTGTTTAATCTGCTGATTTAATCAGATGTCCTCACATGACCATGAACGCAGATAAAGCTGAGACTTTTGATGTGTGCCTCACCTTTGAGGCGTGCTGGAGAGCGGTCTGCAGGGCCGTCCTCCTGGCCCAGGAACGGTAGAAGTATTTCTGACATCCTTCCCAGGCTCCCAGTAACTCTGTGAACAACCTGCAGCATCAGGTTTTGGGAGAAATGAGCAACTTGGACAAAAGTTGAATGCTCTCAGAATGTGAGGGTGTGTTCTCTCGGCACACAGTGTGGGTCTTTGTGCATCAGTTGTGCTTACACACGCTCAGGCTGGCCCTGGGTCTTCACAGCAGAGAGAGCAGTGGTCATCTCTAGTGGGTGCGTGCAGAGGGTGCTTTCTGGGTCAGCGGTTCTGTTCCACATCAGCCCTTTGCGGTACGACAGGCCTAACCGTGACAGAAACAGCATCAAGCGCTTACCTAGCAGAAGTGAGAGAAAGCTCAGCAGGCTGAGAGAAAGCAATGAAGAGGAAACAAACCTATTTCAGAGAGCATCTTGAACAGGTCAGACAGCGCTCTCTGCTTCTGCTGAAGGATGTGCTTGACCTCCATCTGCTGCTTTTCTTTGGCTGCTGCTGTGTCTACGCTGAGGCTCTGCAGCTCTCGTAGGTTGCTGATTATCTCACCTGAAGAGTGAAACAAGAGCAGCACATAAATATGGTATTTGCAAAAAGGCAAACAAATTCAAATAACTCTTTCAGGCACAAATTATGGTCCGTTATGTCACGATTTTGTTTTTAGTTTTTTTTTGTTTTTTAAGGAATAATAAATGCCACCATTTATTATTATAAAAAAATTCACACAAATTTTTTTTTTGAATTTTTTTCTAGATGATCAGGTGTAATTTTCTCCAAATACAAAGTTATTTGGTAAACACATGAGTATCATTGGTCTTCAGGTGTTAGTTGGTGTCACAATGTTTTTCTACAGTAGAAGGAGGGACTGGATATTTTTTGCCTGTCTGCCATATTAGATTTAACAAAAATGTTTTTGAACTTGCAGTGGATGGACAGTAGTTGATATTGTAATGTATGATGCACTGGTGTCCACTTCAGTGGTCAGTGTGCATTTATAACAAGAAATGGCTTTTAGATAGCTGTCCGCTGCAGTGACCACTATGCATGAGACAGATAAAGTGGAAATAATACCTAGACTCCATCCATTTGTCATGATCTAAATGATATTAACATTTGGTACATTTGGTCAAACCTGACCTGTGTTTTGCAGAAACAGGAATTTTACCTGTAAAACAGTCCAGGTCTTCAGCCAATTCAGGTACAGATGTTCTCTTCAGCAGCTGGATGCTCATCTTCTTCATCTTCCGGAACAAAACAGGCAAACGGGCCTGTAAGGAAAACGACCCAGCGCCTTCCTCCACTTCCTCATTCTAAAACACATTTGTAGTAAAAACGGTGAGAACAAGCATGTGATTGGCAGGTCAAACAGCTGAAGTCACAGACAGAGGGTGTCTTGTGTTTGGGGCGTTTACCTGAAGCTCCCTGCCCTGGCCAGGCATGGCGCTCTTCAGCGCCTGATGAACCCTCTGGATGGGCGCATCCCCGGCCCCGGTGGGCTCTGGGTCCCAGCTGGAACTGCTTCCTTGTTCCACCAGCGCTGCTAGACTGGGTCCACTCAGAGCATCCTCAAACCTCTTCACAAACTTAAAGAGAGTGCTAAGAGAAAGCAGAGCGCAGAGAGGAGTTGGCAGACAATCTATCATCCATAATCCATAATCAGATTAAAGATGAGCCCAGGTTCTTATGCACC